CACTCTCCTACTTTGTCAAGGTCATTGCTATGGTTCTGATATGATTTGGGCATTCTCCAGGGCACATTTATTCTGAGCAAGGTCACCAATAACACGGTATTAGGAGGTGGTGGAACCCTTAAGAAATGAAGACTAGTGGGAGGTACTCAGAAAAATTGGGGCACTGCCCTTTGGAAGAGATCAGGGAAGAGATTCCGGTAGTTCCCCTGTAAACCTATGCATTCTCTGGGTAATTTTCAGAGGATTGTTTAACAAATGTCTGGACCAGCAGGGCATGGTGTCACAGGTCTGTAATCCCAGCACTCAGAAGACAGAGGCAGGCAGATTCTGAGTTTGACATCAGTCTGTATTACATAGTTAGATCATGTCTCAAAAAAGTCCTGAGCTTGGCCCTACCCAGCCTCTCTCTGGCTATTGAGATGTGAGCAACTGTCATCCCCAGTGATGTGACATAGCCAAGAGCGGCCTAACCACAGCCTAGCCAATGCAAATGCCATTCCTTTGAACCTCCACAAGCTGTGAGCTGAATAAACCTCTTTTCTTCATAAGTAGCCCATGACAGGCATTTCATTCTAGTAATGAAAAGCTGACTAATGCATCCATAGAAAACAGTTAACCTTAAATTCCTGCATGTCCTCACTTCCCAACTGACAAAAATAAATAACTGATTTCAGGTAGAGTATGGAGCTAAGAAAGATAAAGTTAATACAAGTTACATCAGATAATACAGGAGAGTATCTTTAGAGCCTTGGAGATGGTAAAGATTACTTAATACACATACCACCACCCATAAAGGAAAATATTCATGAACGGGACTCTACTGAAATTACCATGCTACTCTAATTTCAAGAAAGGCAAGAAAATATTTGCCAACAAATTCACCAAAACATCTGTGTCCACGAAAACAACAAAAAAGATAACTTTATCTTAAAAAAAAAAAACTGGGCTGGAGGTGTGGCTCAAGAACTGGTTAAAACTTAAACAAGTCATCTCACAAGAAGATACCAAAATAGTAAGTAAAAAAAGGAGTCAACTTTATTGGTCAGTGGGGAAATGCAAATCAGTGGCTCCAGGGGAGAAGTAAGTAGTCTTAGCCAGCAATACTTAAAAGATACCACCAGCTGGTCAGAAATGCAAATTAAAACCCCAGAAAAGGGCACATATAATCTACTCAGAAGGCTGAGGAAGTTCAAACACCAGCCACCACCACCTCCCTGCCCGCCAAAAAAAAAAAAAAAGGCAGAAAAGACCAGAGGTAGAGTGTTTGCCTAGCTTGCCAAAGACCCTTGGTTTCATCCTCTGCACTGCTCCCCACTTCCCCCAAAACCCAAACACCAGGAGATACCACAATACATATACTATAAGGGCTAAAATTAGCAAGACTATATAACTATACCAAGTGTGGTCAGAATGTGTAGGAACTGCAACTCTCTCACACTGCTCAGAAAAGTATGGTAAGGTATGATCATTTTAGAAAAGTTTGTTATTATCTACTAAAGTTAAAAACACCTAGGACCCAGCAACTTCTCTTATCAAAAATGTATATACAGCCAAGCCCTATCTTGAAAACACCCAACACCATGAGGTCCTGAGTTCAAGCCCGAGTAGCTCCAAAAAAACTCCCAAAATATTTATATACAGCCTCACGTGGTGGTGCACATCTGTAATCCCAGCACTTGGGAGGCTAAGGCAAGAGGGTCTCCTGTTCCAGGCCAGCCTGGCTCCATAGTAAGAATCTATTCCAAAAAATAAAAAGCCAGCCAGCCAGGTGTTGGTGGCTCACATCTATAATCCCAGCTACTCAGGAGGCAGAAATTAGTTGGTTTAAAGCCAGCCCATAGTTCCCTAGACCCTATCTCAAAAATACGTAACAGAAAAAAAAGGACTGGCGGAGTGACTCAAGCAGTAAGGACACCTGTCTAGCAAGCATGAGGCTCTGAGTTGGAACCCCAGTGCCACCAAAAAAAAAAAGTGGCTTTTTAACTGGTGGGGGAAAAGACTGGACTATGCAATAAACAGTAGCCATTGGGCACAAGCATAATAAAAATAAATCCCTACCTTGCTCCCTAAATCAAATTATAATAAGACCAAGATTGCATAAAAGGAAACCATCAGCATTACAACAATACATGGGTACTTTTGTAGTCTTGGAATTGGGAAACCCAGAAATCATTACGTAACAAATTGACACATAAAAATTTTTAAGTTTTGGGGGGGTGGGGGGAGAAATATGTATGCACATATGAATAAAAATAAATAAATAAATGAAAACAAAAAATTTTTTTAAGTTTTTATGAACCAAAAGGAAAAAACTCGTGAAATTTAAAAACAAAAAAAACCCCTGGGGATAATACCTTCAACAGAAAAATTTAATAAGCTCTTGGAAATGAGTAAGAAGTCAGATGCTGGTGGCTCATGCCTGTAATCCTGGCTACTCAGGAGGCAGAGATCACTCTCAGTTTGAAGCCGCCCTGGACAAACAGTTCTCCAGACCCTATCTTGGAAAAAACCCACCACAAAAAAGGGCTGGGAGTGACTCAAGATGTAACCCCTAAGTTCAAACCCCAGTATCCCCCCTCCCAAAAAAAAAAAAAGGAAATCAGTAAAAGAAAAAAAAAAAAAAAAAGGCCAATAATCCAGAGCCCACAATTTACAGGAGAAATACACTTGGCCAGTTAACAACAACAACAACAACAAAAAAAAGGCAAAGAAAATAAGATGCTATTTTTTACTAATCAGATTGGTGCTGGAATTAGGCATGCTTGGGCTGGGCAGCAGTGACACTCAGCTGCAGGTGTAGTGTTAAATAGCGTGAACTGTCACTATCTATCTAAATTTTACATGGCCATGCCCTTTTACCCCACAATTTCTCAACACCCTCACTACATGGACAGGGATGGTCACAACACCACTATCTGCAGGACCAAACCCTGCAGACCCAAAGGCCCAACAGGGACCTGGTTAAGTAACTGCTAACTCCTATAACCCTACACAATGATCTCGGGGGCATTCGGAACCATGTCTGATCCAGATTGCTTTAAGAGTCAAAGTTGCAAATAAAGTCAATTAAGATGTGCAAAAATAAAAAAATTTAAAAAAAAATTCAAGTTGAATTTAACAGGTACACATCGAGGAAAAATAAAAATCAAACAGTTGTTCTACACAGCTATGGGCTGGCACGAAGGCTTTCACTTCCTGCTAGTGTAGGTGTGCTAGACAGAAAGATGTACAGAATCAGGACAGACAAGGGTACTGGCTCTGTGCACCTATTAAACCAATAATACACATTAAACTGGTAAGTTTTGGTGTACAGAGGTTTAGTAGAAAAACTAAAACATGCAATAACAAAATGAAGCAAGTGATTACCCAGTGTTAACTGAAGCTGGGTAATGAGCACAAAGAGGTGCACTGTACCACTGTCTCTACTTCTATGTTTAAAATTTATAGGGCGTCTGCCTAGCAAGCACAAGACCCTGAGTTCAAATCCTTGTCCCACCAATAAAAAGAAAAAAAAGAACTGGTGAGGATGAAATTTGAACCCTCATACATTGCTGGTGGCAGTGTAAAAGGGTACAGAATTTAGTACACAGTTCCATACTAAGTTAAACAGAACTGCTATAAGACTTGGCACTTTCAATCTTACATACAAATCCAAAAGAACTGAACATATTCATCCACTGAAGAATGCATATACAACCTGTGGTATATCCATACAACAGAATATTATTCAGTCATGAAGAATAATGCAATGACACATGCTACAACATAGATGCAAAAAAAGGCACATATCATACTCCATTCAGATGAAATGTCCAGAATGGAATGCTTGGTGCTTGGGGAGAAGATTAGAGGGGAGCAAGGGAGGACTCAATGCTAATGTAAGGGGCACAGGATTTCTTTTAAGGGAGCCAAAAACATTCCCATGGTAATGGCTCAACAGCCCGGTGACTATCCATAAACCACTGATTGTACACTTTAACTGAGTGGATGTTAGATGTGAAAGAGATCTCAATCATTCTGTTTAACTTCTATTATTCATAGACTTCTGTCATTCCAGTACCTACGGTGGGGAGTCAGATTTGCCCTCCTTGTAAGCCAGACACCCGCAACGTCGAATTATTCATTTGCTTTAGGCAGTTCTAGAGCCAGAGACCGTAACTTCCATTCCTTCTGGCTCTCCTACTGGAATGTAAGACTCCACAAAGCACTTACTAAATAAATGCCTACTGAGAGAAGGCTACTGAGCATGCCCGGTTTGGCCAAGTCAATTCAACATTCCGCCACGAAAATTGTATTTCCCGCGTCACAGGTGGAAAAGGGGGGACAGGCACAACGTCTAAGGATTCACTCTAAAAGATGGAATTTAGAAAAGGCAAGGCTCAAGGGCTTAGCAGAAGGGAACGGAATTTGCACAACTCAAACACGTTATTCCGCAAAGTGGTGTAGTCAGAAAGGCTTGTCTCCCGCCCCCCTCCCCCCCAAAAAAGGCTAAAAAGTGCGAGTCCAAAAGTGAGGGAAGGTCCACTGCAGTGGAGGGTACTGGTGACGTAGGCTAATCAAAGGTTTTTCTAAAGCTGCTCCCTTCAAATACTAAGGTGATCAAGCCTCTAGCGTCAACTCTAATAGCAGATATACTGTGACGAAGCTCACTTCCAGCAAGTTCCTTTTTCCAAATGCAAAAGCCGAGCTGTGGCCAAGATAAACCAACCACCAACGTTTGCTAAGCTCTCGGTCCCTACCTTCAACCATCTCCACCGCCATCTTCTGGATGAGAACCCAGCGCCCTTTCTTAAAGGGCTTTTAGCAGCAGCATCTCCGTGCAGAGCCCGGGAAGACGGCATTTCCCAGGTCACCCAACCTGGGAAAAGGGGGTACCCTCCACCCCGATCTCGGCGTCTTCCAAATGCACGCAATGGGCCGCCCTCTTCCTTCCCGCACCCCGCCTCGGCTTTCCAAGGTCCAGCCCGCGGGGGCCGCGAGGCCCGGTGCACCGGCCTCACCTGCATACGCCTCGGATGCAGGGCTCCAGCCAGATGCGGTAGGCGGTCTCGATGTGCTCCTGCGACACCTCCTCGGGCCGTACGGTCTCCGCCCAGCGCCAGGCCGCCTTCTCCAGCTGCAGCCGCGGGGCCATGGCCTTGGCCCAAGGAGCACCCCCCGAGCCGGGCCGCCGCCGCCGCCGCCGCCCCTCCGCAGCCGCCCAAATGAGCTCCGCCACCTGCCAGCGAAGAGAACCCGGCGCCTCCTCAGCCAGCTGGCCAGTCAATCACCTGTGCGCGCCACGGCCGCCGCGCCCGCCCGCGCCCAACCTGTACGACCGGCCGCAAAGCGCCGCCGCCGACACCCGATACCCCCAGCGCCTGTAGACGTTGGAGGTGTACGCTTCGCTGCGGCGGGCGCATGCGCGTTCCCAGAAGCCCCTGCGCCTCCCGCGCCTCTAACCCGACTGGCCGAAGAAAGGGAAATTGGCTGTCTAAGGCAATCTAGCCATGTCCTCTCCACCGTAGCGGGCAAGCCGTGCCTCAATGTCTGTTCGGAGTAGCTTTCTGCGTAACACTAGTCTCACAAGCCCACGCCTGGAGGCCGAAGGCAGGCTGCTCCTGCCTCCAATACTTTCCCCTTTAACTGTGAAGGATTCACGCGAGAGGCTACTCAACGCACACCATAGGTCCGCCTGGACTGCGGGGGTGGGACCTGGTTACAGTAGAAAACCTGTCGCCAAAGAAACCAGGATTGGCTCTCTGGAGGAAGATTTAACTTGAGACTGGGCCGGTTTCGATTCCTTTCCCGAGCCCTCCTGGCGTCACGGGACGTTCTGGATTTGGCCAGATTTGGGACGGGACTACATGTCCCAGCATGCATTGCGTCCTTGCCACTCACGGAGTGCAGGGCATGCTGGGATTAGTAGTCTTGGAGATGGGAGGCTCCTTGAGAAGCAAATTGTGCAGGGGCTCCAGCTGGTCCTGGGGCGGGCTCATGTTCGCTGTAGGCTCTCCACTGAGTCTTAGCTCTAGGGGATGATTTCTTAGTTCTTTGTCAAGGCTCCTCCCTAGCTCCCGGGTATAAAAGCATTTCTTTTTTGCAACTCTTGCCCCAGGACATTAAGAGTAAACTTATCACAGTGTTTTGCAAACTGAAAAGGGCATAGCTTAAGAGGGTATTTGAGGACTTTAGATTTTAAGTACAGCCCTGCTAGGATCTAAGCAGGAATTTCTGACTGAACTGCTTTCTATATGCGTAACCTTGTACTGGATTAATTAATTAGCTATTTACTGAAGGCATTTTGAAAGTAAGACCTGGTCCCAGAAGTTGGGGTGGGTGGGGTTTGAGCGATAGAAACACCAAGATCTCCTTCGTAGTCTTGAGAAAAGGCTTCTCAGAATAATTTAAACCCATTAATTAAAAGATGAGTCCAATTTAGCTGAGATAGGAAAAGGCACCATTCCCAGAGCAAGGGCACCAAAGAAAGAAACCTGATCAAGGAAAAGTGAGAGATTAGATTTGAGAGGGAGCCAAGACCTGGCTTTTATCTAAAGGAGTCATTGAAAGTTTTAATGCTAGTGAATGATATAATGGAGATTTGTATTGTGGATAGTTTCTTCAGTCTGGGTCAAGGTCAGATACAGAGAGACCTCTTAGTCTTCCAGAGCCAGGGACATGGAGCCTATGTTTGTAATTCCCAGCACTCTGGTGGCAAGAGGATTGGGAGTTCCAGGCTGGCCTGAGATATATAGTGAGACCCTGTCTCAAAAAAAAAAAAAAAAAAAAGAAAGAAAGACTTGCAGTAATATAGACCAGATATAATGAAGGCTTGAAGTGGGACAGTGTAATAGGTGTGGAATGGGGAGAGAAACTCCACAGATAGTTAGGACATAGAACTGCTGCAGCTTGATGTTGATCTTACCAGTATTTCTTCACCTCTTATTTGACCTTCAAGTCTAGGTCAAAGCCCTTTTCCTGGTGCTCACTGATAGCTCCCTGTCACCCTTCACCTCATTTAGCACAAGATGAAATTGTGAATCTACGGTGCTGCCAACTACCATATGCGTGTTTTTCTAACTTGGGTAATTAAGTAGCATTCTACCAAATGGGGTAGAAACTACAGAAGAAGGAGCAGATTTAGAAAGGTGAGGATTTACATTTTGAATGAGTTACATTTCAAGTGCAACAGGAATCCTATGTCAGGAAAGCTAACAGGAATCTAAGTCTTGGGGGATCTAGCCCCCTCCATCATATATTTCAGTCTGTACTGGCCCATTTTCATCAGCCTTCGTACATGCTGTGATGCCTCCCAAACGTAACAAATCACCTCTTACTCCTACATCCCTCTAGGCTACTGTCCTCCTTCTCTGTTCCCCTTTGTAGCAAAACCCTGGGAAGAATTCCTCCGTTCTCCTTTTCCCTGCAGCTCCTCCTTAACCGTGTTCCAAGTCAGGCTCCTGCCTTCCTTACTCCCCAAGCCACTGCCAAAAGAGAAGATCACAACTTCAGTTTAAAGCTCTTAACTGACTTTACTGCAATTCTACAGTCATTCATCCCATAAAATAGGGTGTCAATGAGCCGAGGTTGGTTTTATAGGAGGCAGCAGAAACAAAGAAGGAAAAGTGGATTGGTCATCTCAAAATGACTTTCCTTATAAGGCAGAGACGGGGCCAGGACAACAGAAACATTACTGATTGGTAACATGACAGTACTCCGGGTTCTTTGTGGTGGTGTGTGTGTGTGTGTGTGTGTGTGTGTGTGTGTGTGTGTGTGTGTGTGTGTAAACAGAGGGAATGTCACTACGTTAATTGAAGCTCACCTGGGGGCAGAAATATGATTATTTCTCTCCCAATTTCTTTCAAGATCAGGTAACTTAGTTTTGGTTTAGTGGAATTTTAGCATGAGTGACTCCATTTTGATTTTTAGTCTGTTCTGCTGGAACCTGGAACAAGAGATTAATCCAAAACAATGACCTCCTATAATTTTTTGTGTCCTCTTAATTTTAACATCACTCATATTGAAGTTAGCAGCGGACTCCACACTGTTAAATCCAGTGGGAAACTCACACTGTATTTTATAAACCTATCAGCAGCATTTGATGCACCTATTCACTTTTTCCTCTTGGAAACACTTTCTTAACTCACAGGACACCACATTCTGGTTTCCCATGACTCACTGGCTATTCTTTTCCAGTGTCCCTTGCTGTTTCTTCCTCATCTCTTCAGCCTGCAAAGTTCAGTGGTCTAGGGTTCAGGCCTTTTAATGTCTCCTCTACCTATATTCACTTTCTGGGTCATCTCATGACTTTAAATACCCTCTGTGTGTGCCTGGCTCTTAAATTCATACCTCTAGACATGTTCCTAAAATGCCAGCTGTGTATATTCTGTTCATTTGGCATCTCTGATGTGCAACAGGTATATCACACTCTACAGGTCCAAAATGTATCCTTATTCCACTTCCAACTGTCCCCCAGTGTCCTGTAATCTTTCCCATCTGGGAAATCTTAGAAGCATCCTTAATTTCTCTCTATATCTTAAATCCCCATCTAGGTCTTCCACAAAACCTGCCAGCTGTGCGTTCAGAATATATACACAAGCAGGATGTAGTGGTACACACCTGTAGTCTTAGCTACTTGGTTACTACTGAGTCAGGAGTTTAAAAGTCACCCTGGGAAAAATAGTGAGACCCCATCTATAAAATAAATAAATATAAATATATCCTTTTTTACATGTGTACATATAATCACAAACATACAGGACTAGGAGTGTAGCTCAATGGTAGAGTGCGTGTACATGGTCCTGGGTTCAATCCCCAGAACAATAAAAAAAGGTGTATAAATATACACACACAGAGGATGCAATCCCGTGCTGTTAAGGTCACCATCCTGGTCTTTCACCAAGATTATTGCAAAAGTATCCTAACTGATCTCCCAGCTTTCACTCCTATTTCTTTAAAGACTTTTCTTGGCATGTAAGCCACATGTTTCATTCAAAACCTCCAAAGGAGGGCAAGGGGGAGAAATGACCCAAGCATTGTATGCACATATGAATAATAAAAAAAAATTTAAAAAAAAAAAAAAAAAAAACCTCCAAAGTAGCTGGGTGAGGTGTTACATGCCTGTAATCCCAGAATTTGCAGCAGGAAGATCTCCTGCTCAAGTCTAGTTTAGGCTTCATTATGAGACCCTGTCTCAAAAAAAAATGATAAGAGAGTCTACATTCTTTTTTCCACACTAAGTTTTGGAAATCTGGTGTGGTTTTGTACGTACAGCTCATCTCAATTCCAACCAGTCCATTAGCATGGGTTACCCCAATGAACAGCTCAGCGAACCTTTGGCCTCCTCATCTGCTACCCAGTCTGACCTGTGACCTTCTTGCTCTTCCATACCTGCTTTTATCAAGGTTATCAGACCCAGTGGTCATCTCTATCCCCAGCTCTGTGCAGTTACCAGCAGATACAGCCACTCCAGCCATCTTAAGACATCCTGCTTGCCTGGCTTCCGAGCAGTACCTCTTCTGGTCCTCTTCCTTCTTCAGTGTCTTCCCCGCCCCCTCCTGTACCGACTTTCTAAATGCTGGAGTTTTTCTTGCCTTTGTCCTTTGTATCAGACAATGCAAAAAGAGAGGACTGGGGTGGGGCTCAGTGATGGAGTGATTGCCCAGCATGTGCCACATAAGGAGACCCTGTCTCTGAAAAAGAAAAAAGAAAAAAAGAACCCTTTCAGAGAGAGAAAGAGAGAGAGAGAGAGAGAGAGAGAGAGAGAGAGAGAGAGAGAGATGTGTTATTGTCACTACATTTTGGCCTACCTTGCACTTTGACTAAAACCTAAATTCTTTCCATGACCTGTTGGGCTGTAGCAGAAAAAAAAAAAAAAAATGAGTATGTCCTAGCTCCTGGAGCCACTGAATATGTTACTTCGGTACAAAAGGGACTTTGGAGGTGAGATCAATATAAGAATATTGAGTTGGGCACTGGTGACTCACACCTGTAACCCTAGCTACTCAGGAGGCAGAGATCAGAAAGATCATGGTTCAAAGGCAGGCCAGGCAAATAGTTCAAGAGACCCTATCTTGAAAAAACTCATCACAAAAAAAAAGGGCTGGTGCAGTGGCTCAAGGTGTAGGCCCTGAGTTCAAACCCAGGTAACATAAAAATAAAGTTATTGTTTTGTTTTATTGTTTAGCATGTGCTATTTTAGGAATACCTCTTCCCCTTAATCATTTAATTAACTATCTGCCTGTGCCCTAATGTCTGTTGTTTTGGGATGCACAGCTAGCTAGTATTTTGATCAACAGAATTTTTTTCTTCTTTTTTATTTTGGCAGTACTTGGTTTTGACCTCATGCTTGCTAGGCAGGTGCTCTACTATTTGAGTCAGGCTCCCACCTCTTTTTGCTTCAGTTATTTTTGGATAGGGTCCCTAGTTTTTGCTCTGGCCAGCCTTAGACCTACAATCCTATTGACAACTCCCATGGAGCTAGGATGACAGGTGCATCTACCACACCTGGTTTCTTTGTTGTGATGGAGTCTCCCTACCTTTTTGCCCATGCTGGCCCCCAACTGCAATCCTCTCAAGTAGTTAGAATTACAGGCATAAATCACACCACCACACCTGGCCTCTTTTTTTTTTTTTCTTTGCGGTACTTTGAACTCAGGGCCTACACCTTGAAGCTCTCCGCCAACCCTTTTTTGTGATGGGTTTTTTCGAGATAGGGTCTCGTGAACTATTTTCCTGGGCTGGCTTTGAACCATGATCCTCCTGATCTCTGCCTCCTGAATAGCTAGGATTACAGGTGTGAGCCACCAGTGCCTGGCTTTTAAAAAAAAGAAAAAGTTCTCGTCATGCAGCTCAGACTGGCCTCAAACTCCTGATCCTCCTGTATCTGCCTCCTGAGTGCTGGGGTTACAGGTATACACCACCACTCAACAGAACTTTTTTTTTCTGCACTGGGGCTTGAACTCAGAGTCTCATGCTTGATAGGCAGGGGTTCATACTACTTGAGCCACTCTGCCAGCCCTTTTGTGTAATGAGTTTTTGAGATAGGGTCTCAAGAACTATTGGCCTGGGTCTGGCTATGAACCTGGATCCCCCTGATCTCTGCCTCCTAAGTAGCTAGGATTACAGGTGAGAGCCACTGGCGCCAGGCAGTATCTTGGGTCTTATCTAGGGGCCACAGACGTCCTCTGCATCTGCAATGCAAGGAATGTCACCAGTACCCTTTATGTAGTGGGCTGGTTTTCTGGATCAGACAGTTCTCTGTTCAGGAGGCAAAAATGGTGCTGTGCCTGGTAATGCAGAGTCCTGAGTTTGAGTGGCTGGTCAGCACATCCATGACTGGCGTCACCATTTCACCCTTGAATTCTTATTGTGTGATTCTAACAAGCTCTGCCAACATACGATACTGAGAAACTCTGCTCACTCATTGCCATGGAAAGAGTACTGACTCCGAGTTCAAATCCTGACTCTGCCATTTCGGTACGTTGCTGGGTAAAGGCAGACAAGGTGGGTTCTCAGCAGCCTCCTGGGCTTTGCGTGTGCTTCTCTGTCAGGAGCATTGCTGACCTCCTCCTGCCCAGGCTAGGTTCTCGTTCCACTTCAGATCTCAGCCGGACAACCCCACCTCTGGGAAGCCAGACTGCTCCCACTTCCTGGTTATGTAACATCGCGATGCTTAGCATCTTTGTGTCTCAGTTTCTCATCTGTAAGGTAGGGTTCTTGCCACCTCATTTCACTCTTGTGAGGAATAAATGTGACAAGAAATGCACACAATCCCCACCACAGAGTAAGCATTCAGTAAATCATGATTAATTTATAGTTTTTTTTTATTTGGTGGCACTGGGGTTGGAACTCAGGGCCTCATGCTTGCTAGGCAGGCACTCCACCACTTGAGCCATTCTGTCAGCTCAATATAGTTTTGTTATTAATGTTAATTAATATTTGTTAATTTAGTAATCATATCTGTTTAGTATTCCATGGCCTCTCCACTCCAGACAAGGCTGGGTTCCACCCTCTCTGTTTCCATAGCCCTCATTCTTTTTGCTTTCTTTTTTCTTTCTGGTGCTGCTGGGGTGCCTGGCTACCTCCCAGCTGGCCCTTGTTTTTAAAATACCAAGTTGTACTTTTGTTTGGTATGTTTTCTGGGCTCTGATCTGCCTCCAGGCAGAGGTGTGTCCTTCGCCTCTGTGCTCCAACTCCTCGAGGGCCAGGTACGTTAGGACTCAGAGTCCAAGTGGGAGGACACAGCCACTTGGCACTGCGCAGAAGTGGCAGTCCCAGCTCTGTGTCCTAGTTCCTGGGTGTCCTGAACAAGTTCGTACTCTGGCTGGATTGCTGCTTCCTCCTCTCTCTATACAAAGTAGCGACTATACTTCACTACTATTATTATTCGCCATGCTGAGGACTGAGTCCACGGCCTTGCGCACGCTCAGCAGGCACTCTGAGTGCCATCACACCTGCCTTACAGCATTGCCGAAGCACCGGTGTCCAAAGCCTTAGGCTTGGACTCAGTCAGTGTCAAGCAATGGTTCCTTACTAGTGACATAAATTATCACGTCTGTCACATGAAAGAATGTGACAGAGATGTGCCATCCTCCGTGTAGATTCAGAGTCTCAGAAAGATGGCCCAGTCTTGCAGTCCTATTGTACAATAATAAGGGCACACGTGACAGAGGCAGGTGTCCTTCCCTACAGTGACCATAAGTGAAGAGACGGAGACCTGGGTCCCCAGGTACAGAGGTTTGTGTTTTGTTTTTGTTTGGTTGTTTTTTTTTTGTTGTTGTTGTTGGTTTTACAGTGTTGGGGATGGAACCCTGGGCTTTACCCATGCCAAGTGAGCCCTCTGCCTCTGTGCACTTTTGTTTTTTAACTTTTATTTTGAGACAAGGTCTTGCTAAGTTGCCCAGGCTGGTTTTGAACTTAGAATCACCTGCCACTCGAGTAGCTGGGATCACTGGCATGCCCCACCTTTGGTTTCCTGATAGAGTGGCCACCGTCCTGGATTTCTAAGCTGAAGTGGCCTGCAGCCTCCCAGTGCTGTAACTGGCGCTCATGTGTCCCTCATTCTTTGACTGCCTCCTACAGGGCGTTTTTCTCCAGAAGCACTGGTACCAGTGGAATTCCTGAGAAGGGTTAACACTGGGAGCAGAAAACCTCTTCTCTTTTCGTGGTCAGTCCCTGAAAACCTCACTCCATCTCAGAGCTTACACGCCACCCATGTGCAGACCACTCCCCAAATGGTATCCCCAGTCTATGACCTCTTCTCTGAACCCCAGACTCAAAATCCATCCTGTGTGTGTCCTCTCCCTCCACTGGGTGTCTAACAGGCATCCCAGTGGGAATGTGTCCAGAACTGAACTCCTCTTCCTGCCCCAGTCCTGCTCCTCCAATGTCTCCCCACCACTTTAACACACCCCCGTCTTCCCAGAGGCCTGGCAGAAAGCCTGGCACCATTCTTGCTCCTCTCTGCCCTTCACACCCATGTCCAAGCCATCAGTAACTTGTTGACTGTACTTCCAAAATATGCATGGAATCTGCCTGGTGTCAGTGACTCATGCCTATAATCCTAGCTACTTAGGAGGCAAAGATCAGGAGGATCAAGGTTCGAAGCCAGCCCTGGTTTCAAGATCCTACCTTGAAAAACTCACCACCAAAAAAAAGGACTGGCAGAGTGGCTCAAACAGTAAGAGTGCCTGCCAAGCAAATGTGAGGCCCTGAGTTCACACCCTGGGGTGCCAAAAAAAAATTATATATATATATTTTTGGAATCTGACTACTACTTACTACCCTGCTCCAGGCTACGATCATCTCCAGCCTTATCCAAACAGACTCCTATCCGGTCCTGCAGCATCTGGCTTTGCCCACTGATTCTCATCTCTTTTGGAGAAAAAGCCAAAGTCCTTATAGTGACCACTAAGGCCTTCAATGATCTGACTCATGTATCATTCTTGCCATAACTCATTCACTACATCCCAGCATTCTGGTGCCAAACATTCTCCTGCCCCAGGGCCTTTGCACTTGTTATCTCCTCTGCCTGGAATGTTCTTCCTCCAAATAACCATCTGGCTGGCTCCCTCTCTTTGCTCATGTCTTTACTCAAAAGACACTCTAAGCAAGCAAGGCTTTCTCTAGCCATCCTATTAAACTTTCAACATTCCTCATACGTCATGTCTGCCGACCTTGCTTTATATTTTTTCCCTCTAGTATTTATCAGTAGTCAACATATCATACATTTTACTCATTTATCCCTTACTGTGAAATTTCTCTAATGCCTGCAATAGAGGTTTAATGATATTTGAAAAGTGAATTTATACTTTTTTTGGGGGGCAGTACTGGGTGGGGTTTGAACACAGGGCCTACACCTTGAGCCACTCCACCACCCCTTTTTTGTGACGGTTTTTTTCAAGATAAGGTCTCTTGAGTCATGCTCCCAGCCTGAAAAATATCAGTTTATATATTAAAGTTCTATGTAAGATACTTTTAGGAAAAAAAAAAACTAACTCTTTCACTAAGAACTGGTATCCAAGCTCTCCAGTAGTTTTGGTTTTTTGGTTTTTGGGGTTTTTTTTGGTGGGACTGGGGTTTAAACTCAGCTTCAAACTCACAAAGCAGGTGCTCTACCTCTGGAGCCACATCTCCAGCCCTCCAGTAGTTTCTGCACAGTGAGAAACACAGAGAGGGAGCATTTGCTCAATGGCACACATTCTCTCGTTCTTCCCTGGCTGCCTGCTCTGTGCCATGAACTGCAATGATACAGGGTTCAGAAGTCACCCAGACCCTCACAGCATGGAATCTTAGTGGGACCACTGGACAATACATATACGAAATAAACAAGCCCGGTGCTGGTGGCTCACGCCTGTAATCCTAGCTACTCAGGAGGCAGAGATCAGGAGGATCATGGTTCAAAGCCAGCTCGGGCAAATAGTTCTTGAGATCCTATCTTGAAAGAACCCTTAACAAAAAAAGGCTGGTAGAGTGGCTCAAGGTGTAGACCCTGAGTTCAAACTCCAGAACCACAAAAAAAAAAAAAAGAAAGAAGTAAAACAATTCCAGAGGGGTTGGAGATGTGGCTCAGTGGTAAGAGGTCCTGGGTTTCATTCCCACACCATAAAAAAATTTACTCTAAAGAGCTCTCCAAGATGATAAATTCTGGGAGATGTGACTGAGTGACAGGAGCGACAGGAGGGAAAGCATTCATTCAGATTGACAGGTGGTCAGGGAAGAGGGGCCTGAGGAGGGGACACATGACCTAAGAGCCTGGACAAAGCCTTCCACAGTCAGCTGTGGGAGGACAGCACTCAGGCAGAGGATCCAGAAGTGCAAAAGCCCTGGCGCGGGAGCACTTGGTTGGTAATTGAGTGGACTCCTGGTCCCCTGTGTCACCACTTGCTGCTTCTCCAGGCCCTCAGAGAGGTTCCTTTGACGTCCCAGGCAGGCCTTCTTTCAGCTCAGTGCCTGAGATGCACTTACCTAGGAAGGCAGCAGCGGGAGTCCCTGTCCTAAAAGCCTTGTGGCTAAACCGGATCTGAGCTTCCTGGTCCCTGTAGGGAGGGGGTGAGCACACATCCTCTCTGCCTTCTCCAGCCCTGGCCCCAAATCTCCATGGCAACCCTAGACACAATTCTGTCCCAAAGGAGGACCTGGGAGGGGAGAGACCAGAAGAGTGGTGAGCTTGCCTCCCCTGCTCCTTGGGTCTGCTTCTCTGCTAGCTGGCCAGGCCCCCATACCCAGTCTCCCAAGACCCCAAACTAGAGATTCTGCAGGTCCGCCCTGGTGCTGGGCACAGTGGAGCCTGGATGGCAGCTTGTCTCCTGCAGCTGCCTCTAAGGCTGCTCCTGCTGGGGATGGCTGCCCTGACCACATCTGCCGTGGATACAGGTGAGTATGTTGGCACCCCAAGATGTGTCCCCTCCCCCAGACTGCTTCCCCAATCAGCACTCTCCCTGATGGGCTGGGACCCCTTGCGTGGGGAGGCTGAGAAACCCTGGGCCTAGTTTTACTTGGTACCCCGAAATCCACCTGAAACCTTTCTAGAAAGTGAGAGCTTCAGAGCATCCAGAACCAGGTCACCTGGGTCTAGGGGTGGGCAGGGCAGCCCTCCAGTCTGGAAATGCAAACTGTGTGGGCTTTGGAATCAGACAACCGATGTTCAGACACTCACTCTGCCACTTCCTCTATTTCTACCCCAACATCAGTTTCAACTAAGTCTTCTTCAGTAAAGGAGCTGGGAGGTGGAGCTCAGCTGCAGAGCAGGCTGGCTCAGATTTGCAAGACTGCAAAGTGGGCTCCATCCCCAGCCCTGCAGAGGAAAAGAAAAAACTACAGTAAAAAGAGAATTATAAATAGGCCCTCGACCCCCAGGGATGAGGGATGATGATCATTGAGAACATGAGACAGACTGTGCATGACGCTGTGACAGTGCCTGGCACATTACAGGTGCCCAGTCTACTCTAGGTGCCACCCCCATCCCTGCACCTCCAGGGTAGGCTCTGGCTTTAGTAGACCTGCACAAATATGGAAAAATGCTTCTGCATTCTTGGCCCCAGTGAAGGATTATCCTGACTGGTCCTCAAGTACCCACTGGTGCCCCTGCCTTGCACCAGAAAACTCACCTCCTCCTCTGTCTGTCCTTAACAAAAACCAGAGGTGAGCACTTACGTGCCATCTCACTTCATTCTCACAACAACCCTGGAGCAATGAGGGTATTTTGTGCTGTAAGAAACATACATCCAAGTACATGGGGCTTAAACCATAGAACATTTATTATCTTACCTAAGAAGAGTGGCTGCAGGTGATTCCAGAGATGGTTAATTCAGCAGCTCAACCATATCATGACCTTGACCTTGCAAAATAGCTGCTGCAGCTCCAGACATCACACTGTCAGTCAAAAGCTTTCAGAAGCAGGAAGAAAAGGGGGATCCTCATTACATAGCTCTCCATCTTTTTTTTGATCAGGGTAGAAAATCATTCTCCAAGAACTCTCAGCAGACCTCTCCTTAAGTCTCATTAGCGGAGAATTCCAAGATGGCGGCTAGAGGGAGGAAGCAGAAAGCGACCCTCCTATAGTGAAATCTTGGAGAGACGCTGGAGACACACTTTTCAGGCATAATCACCGAGAAAAGGCATAACTTTGACCCCTCCACACCTCCAGCCGGCGCAGAGAATCTCCACTTCACATTAAACGGAGAACCGAGGAGGCCCCCGGGGCCGCCAGTGGCCGGCGCCCATACGGCTTGGGAAGACGTGGACCAGTACAGGGACAGTAACAACACCAAGGACAATGACAGGAAGACAGAAAAAACAAGGAAACCAGTTTCCCCACAGCAAAAAATTAGTACAGGAACCAGAGGGGAATGAAGAGAACAGAACTCAGATCCAGACTCCAACAAAATGAAGAGAAACTATGCCAAAGGACCCAATGAAGCCCACAAGAATAATTTAAAAGAAGACATACTACAAGTACTCAATGAGAATTTTATAGAGATGATACTGGATAGGGTCAAGGAAAATGTACAGGAGACACTCAAGAAATTCCAAGACAATAAAAATAGAGAATTTGAAAAAGCAAAAGAAGAAATAAAGGAAACCATAGAAGCACTGTATAAACACCAAAGTGAAAGAGAGAACACAATGAATAAAGGATAAATGAACTCAGGACAAAAATAGACAACATAAAGAGAAAACAGCCAGGATATGGAAAACCTCAGAAAAAACAGAACTGCAAAACAAAACGGAAGGCCAATCCAGCAGAATAGAACAAACAGAAGACAGAATCTCAGAACTTGAAGATGAAATGGTAATTAAAGGAAAAACTGAAGAACTATTAATTAAACAACTCAAGACCTGTGAAAAGAAAATGCAAGAACTCACTGACTCCATCAAAAGACCAAACTTGAGAATCATGGGCATCGAAGAAGGAGAAGAGGTGCAAGCGAAGGGAATGCGTAATATATTCAACAAAATAATAACGGAAAATTTCCCAAATCTAGAGAAAGATATTCCCATACAATGCAAGAGGCCTCCAGGACACCAAACAGACCAGATCAAAATAGAACTACTCCACGACATATCATCATTAAAACAACAAGTTCAGAAACTAAGGAAAGAATATTGAAGGCTGTAAGAGAGAAAAAACAAGTAACATACAAAGGTAAACCCATCAAAATCACAGCAGACTTCTCAACAGAAACATTAAAAGCAAGAAGAGCGTGGGGTGAGATCTTCCGGGCACTGAATGAAAATAACTTCAACCCCAGGATACTCTACCCAGCAAAGCTATCATTCAAAATAGATGGAGCAATAAAAGTCTTCCATGATAAGCAGAAACTAAAACAATATGTGACCACAAAGCCACCATTACAAAAGATTCTGCAAGGGATCTGCACACAGAAAGTGACACCCAACTTAACCATGAAAAGGCAGGCAGCACCAAACCACAGGATAAGAAAAAGCAAGACAGTAGAGAGTAACATCAAGTTAGGTACACACAATCAAACCTTCAAACAACTAAGATAACTAAATGGCAGGAATCACCACATACCTATCAGTACTAACACTTAATGTTAATGGACTTAATTCACCCATCAAAAGACACCGTTTGACAAAATGGATTAAAAAAGAAGATCCAACAATTTGTTGCTTACAGGAGACTCATCTCACCGACAGAAATAAGCATATGCTTAGGATGAAAGGCTGGAAGAAGATTTACCAAGCCAATGGCCCCGAAAACAGCAGGAGTAGCAATACTTATCTCTGACAAAGTAGACTTCAAACCTACATTGATCAAACGAGATAAAGAAGGACATTCCATACTAATAAAAGGGGAAATAGACCAAAAGGAAATAATAATCATCAATCTGTAACCCAATGTCAACGCACCCAATTTCATCAAACATACCCTGAAAGACCTAAAAGCATATATAAACGCCAACACAGTGGTTGTGGGAGACTTTAACACCCATTATCATCAATAGATAGGTCATCCAAACAAAAACTCAATAAAGAAATCCAAGATCTAAAATATGCAATAGATCAAGTGGACCTAGTAGATGTCTACAGAACATTTCATCCAACTCTACACAATATACATTCTTCTCAGCAGCCCATGGAACCTTCTCCAAAATAGATCATATCCTAGGGCACAAAGCAAGCCTCAGCAAATATAAGAAAATAGAAATAATACCATGCATACTATCTGACCACAATGCAGTAAAAGTAGAACTCAACAACAAAAGTAAAGACAAAAAACATGCAAACAGCTGGAAACTAAATAACTCATTACTTAATGAAGAATGGATCATCGATGCAATAAAAGAGGAAATTAAAAAGTTCCTGAAGTCAATGAAAATGAAAACACAACCTACCGGAACCTATGGGACACAGCTAAGGCAGTCTTGAGAGGAAAGTTTATAGCCATGAGTGCATATATTAAAAAGATGAAAGATCCCAAATCAATGACCTAATGATACATCTCAAACTCCTAGAAAAACAAGAACAAGCAAATCCCAAAACAAATAGAAGGAGAGAAATAATAAAAATAAGAGCTGAAATCAACGAAATAGAAACCAAAAAACCATACAAAGAATTAATGAAACAAAAAGTTGGTTCTTTGAAAAAATAAACAAGATCGATAGACCCCTGGCAAACCTGACTAAAATGAGGAGAGAAAAAACCCAAATTAGTAGAATCAGGAATGCAAAAGGGGAGATAACAACAAACACCATGGAAGTCCAGGAAATCATCAGAGACTACTTTGAGAACCTATATTCAAATAAATTTGAAAATCTAAAGAAATGGACAGATTTCTAGATACATATGATCATCCAAAACTGAACCAAGAGGAAATTAATCACCTGAATAGACCTATAACACAAAATGAAATTGAAGCAGCAATCAAGAGTCTCCCCAAAAAGAAAAGTCCAGGACCTGATGGATTCTCTGCTGAATTCTATCAGACCTTTAAAGAAGAACTGATACCAACCCTCCTTAAACTGTTCCATGAAATAGAAAGGGAAGGAAAACTGCCAAACACATTTTATGAAGCCAGTATTACACTTATCCCAAAACCAGGCAAAGACACCTCCAAAAAGGAGAACTATAGGCCAATCTCCTTAATGAACATTGATGCAAAAATCCTCAACAAAATAATGGCAAACCGAATTCAGCAACACATCAAAAAGATTATTCACCACGACCAAGTAGGCTTCATCCCAGGGATGCAGGGGTGGTTCAACATACGAAAATCAATAAACGTAATAAACCACATTAACAGAAGCAAAGACAAAAACCACTTGATCATCTCAATAGATGCAGAAAAAGCCTTTGATAAGATCCAACATCATTTCATGATAAAAGCTCTAAGAAAACTAGGAATAGAAGGAAAGTTCCTCAACATTATAAAAGCTATATATGACAAACCTACAGCCAGCATTATACTTAACGGAGAAAAATTAAAACCATTCCCTCTAAAATCAGGAACCAGACAAGGATGCCCACTATCTCCACTCCTATTCAACATAGTACTGGAATTCCTAGCCAGAGCAATTAGGCAAGAAGAAGGAATAAAAGGAATACAAATAGGTAAAGAAACTGTCAAAATATCCCTATTTGCAGACGACATGATCCTATACCTTAAAGACCCAAAAAACTCTACTCAGAAGCTTCTAGACATCATCAATAGCTATAGCAAGGTAGCAGGATATAAAATCAACATAGAAAAATCATTAGCATTTCTATACACTAACAATGAGCAAACGGAAAAAGAATGTATGAAAACAATTCCATTTACAATAGCCTCAAAAAAATCAAATACCTAGGTGTAAACCTAACAAAAGATGTGAAAGACCTCTACAAGGAAAACTATACACTTCTGAAGAAAGAGATTGAGGAAGACTATAGAAAGTGGAGAGATCTCCCATGCTCATGGATTGGTAGAATCAACATAGTAAAAATGTCGATACTCCCAAAGTAATCTACATGTTTAATGCAATTCCCATCAAAATTCCAATGACATTCATTAAAGAGATTGAAAAATCTACTGTGAAATTTATATGGAAACACAAGAGGCCACGAATAGCCAAGGCAATACTCAGTCAAAAGAACAATGCAGGAGGTATCACAATACCTGACTTCAAACTATATTACAAAGCAATAACAATAAAAACAGCATGGTACTGGCACAAAAACAGACATGAAGACCAGTGGAACAGAATAGAGGACCAGATATGAAGCCACACAACTATAAGCAACTTATCTTTGACAAAGGAGCTAAAAATATACGATGGAGAAATAGCAGCCTCTTCAACAAAAACTGCTGGGAAAACTGGTTAGCAGTCTGCAAAAAACTGAAACTAGATCCATGTATATCACCCTATACCAAGATTAACTCAAAATGGATCAAGGATCTTAATATCAGACCCAAACTCTTAAGTTGATACAAGAAAGAGTAGGAAATACTCTGGAGTTAGTAGGTATAGGTAAGAACTTTCTCAATGAAACCCCAGCAGCACAGCAACTAAGAGATAGCATAGATAAATGGGACCTCATAAAACTAAAAAGCTTCTGTTCATCAAAAGAAATGGTCTCTAAACTGAAGAGAACACCCACAGAGTGGGAGAAAATATTTGCCAACTATACATCAGACAAAGGACTGATAACCAGAATATACAGGGAACTTAAAAAACTAAATTCTCCCAAAACTAATGAACCAATAAAGAAATGGGCAAGTGAACTAAACAGAACTTTCTCAAAAGAAGAAATTCAAATGGCCAGAAAACACATGAAAAAATGCTCACCATCTCTAGCAATAAAGGAAATGCAAATTAAAACCACACTAAGATTCCACCTCACCCCTGTTAGAATAGCCATCATCAGCAACACCACCAACAACAGGTGTTGGCGAGGATGCGGGGAAAAAGGAACCCTCTTACACTGTTGGTGGGAATGTAGACTAGTACAACCACTCTGGAAAAAAATTTGGAGGCTACTTAAAAAGCTGGACATCGATCTACCATTTGATCCAGCAATACCACTCTTGGGGATATACCCAAAAGACTGTTACTCCAGAGGCACCTGCACATCCATGTTTATTGCGGCACTATTCACAATAGCCAAGTTATGGAAACAGCCAAGATGCCCAGCACTGACGAATGGATTAAGAAAATGTGGTATCTATACACAATGGAATTTTATGCAGCCATGAAGAAGAACGAAATGTTATCATTCGCTGGTAAATGGATGGAATTGGAGAACATCATTCTGAGTGAGGTTAGCCTGGCCAAAAGACCAAAAATCGTATGTTCTCCCTCATATGTGGACATTAGATCAAGGGCAAACACAACAAGGGGATTGGACTATGAGCACATGATAAAAGCGAGAGCACACAAGGGAGGGGTGAGGATAGGTAAGACACCTAAAAATAGCTAGCATTTGTTGCCCTTAACGCAGAGAAACTAAAGCAGATACCTTAAAGCAACTGAGGCCAATAGGAAAAGGGGACCAGGAACTAGAGAAAAGGTTAGATCAAAAAGAATTAACCTAGAAGGTAACACACACGCACAGGAAATCAATGTGAGTCAATGCCCTGTATAGCTATCCTTATCTCAACCAGCAAAAACCCTTGTTCCTTCCTATTATTGCTGATACTCTCTCTACAACAAAATTAGAGATAAGGGCAAAATAGTTTCTGCTGGGTATTGAGGGGGGGAGAGGGAGGGGGCGGAGTGGGTGGTAAGGGAGGGGGTGGGGCAGGGGGAGAAATGAACCAAGCCTTGTATGCACATATGAATAATAAAAGAAAAATGAAAATAAATAAATAAATAAATAAATAAAAAAAAAAAAAAGTCTCATTAGCCACAAACAGGTCACATACCAATCCACAAATCTTTAGCAAGAAGCAGGGAATGGCTGTTAGGTGGGCAAGCACCCAAAGGTGTCCACCCCATCCTTGCATGAAAAGTAGAGGGTCTCTGTCACTTGGCTAACATGCATGAAACGTGGAGCACTGTGGGAAGCCCCGTACGTGGCTGTGTCCACAATCCTGCAGTCCTGGACATGCTCTGAAAAGAAACTTTCTTTTTTTTTTTTTTTGGTGGTCTGGGGTTTGAACTCAGGGCCTCATGGTTGCTTGGGAGACGCTCCGCCACTTGAGCCTCTCTGCCAGCCCCAGTTTGCTCTTATTTATTAGCAACTGGACTGGGAGGAGGTCATCTCTTTTTTGGGTGTCGGGGACGGAGCCCAGGGCCTGGCTGGTGCCAGACATGGCTTCCCCACAGGGCTCCACCCTGGCCTGCTTATTGCCCTCCCTTCAGTTGCTGGACCTGGGGTCAGTGCTGGCACACCTCTCTGGAGGCTGTGTCACCTGCGGCTTCCCCTTGCAGCGGGCGCATCATTTATTGTGCTTGTTATCTGTCCGTCTAAAAATCTGGAAAATTCTTCAACATCCGAGGGCTTTTGAATTAATTCACTTAATCCCCTTAACAATCCTGAGCTTGTTTAATCACCCCCCTTTTACCGACGAGGAAACTGAGGCTCAGAGCGGGTGACCCGGCGCGTGCTTGTCGTGCAGCCGAGCTGGTGGCCGCGTGCGGCGGGACGTGGCGCGGGGACGCGCTGCTGCTGCGCTCCCACGCCGCCTCGCGCAGCTTCTACTTCGTGACTCCGGACACGGACTGCGGGCTGTGGGCGCGGGCGGCAGCCCCAGGCGACAGGATCCGCTTCCAGTTCCGCTTCTTCCTGGTCTACAGCCTGGAGCCCGCCAACGCCTCCTCCTCCGCGCCGCCCGCCCAGCCCTGCGCCCCCGGCTCCTTCCTGCAGTTCTACGAGGGCCCGCCGGGGGCGCCCCGTCCCCTGGGGGCTCCGCTCTGCGGCCTGACCATCCCCGCCCTGGTCACATCCTCCGGACCCTTCCTAGGCCTGCGCCTGGTCACCAGAGGCCGCCAGCCCCGAGTGGACTTCGTGGGAGAAGTCACTTCTTTCCGGCTGGGTGGGTGTGTGGTCTGAAGGCCAGGACGGGGCCACAATGGGGGCGGGGGCGGGGAAGGGACACCACCGTGGGCACAGGAAAGTGGAGGGCTGCATTCCTAACAGGGAAGGACGATGGCAGGGGTGAGGGGGCGGTGACACAGTAAGGGAGGTTCTAGACCCGAAGAGCCAGTCCTACAGATCTGGCTTCCACGGAAGCGTGTACCAGACTGCTGTCCTCCCAGCCCCGGGCACACCCACCCACGCACACCACCCCCCCCCAGCTCCCATAGGCCTCACACTAGCATTTGCACTCACAGGTCACACCAAAACTCACACACCTTGCACAGTCACACCTCCCACACATACCCACGCATACCCACCCGTCACACTCCTCACACCACAGACACCCACACAGTCCACATCACACACACTTCATGAACCAGCTGCCACCTTGCATGCTTACACACAACTCACACATTCATGTTTACACACTGGCTAGAGGTTTGCAGAACGAGAAGGCCAGAGCTGGGCATGGTGGTGTCTGCCTATAATCCCAAGAAGCAGAGGCAGGAAGATCATGAGTTCCAGGTTAGAGTTGGCACCCACAAAGTTATCAAAACCAAATGCAAACAAAAGGGCATTGTTGGGAGGAGCAGGCATGGTGGGAGTGGTAGAGCACTTTCTAGCATGCTCAAGGTCCTAGGTTCAATTCCAAGTAGGTGGGGGCAGGGGGAACCCAGTGAAGCACGGACAGGGACCTCTTGGACCTGAAACTGACCCGTTTCTTAAGCTTTGCCTTTGGCCCCATGCACCTGGACCTTACAGCAGCTCTGCCTGCAGCACTTTCTCCTCCCATCTGTACGTGGGGACATAGGCAGCTAGTGCCCAAGGCCTCCTGCTCGTGAGGACAGCCGCTTGGCTTTCATGCTGGACTATGTCCTGCATCTCCAACCCAGGTCAAGGCTTGAGCCCCAGCAGGTTCCCTGGGACATTTGGTGACATTCCAAAAGAAGCCATCTACCAGTGGTGAGCAGGTGAGCTCCCAAAGCCCCAAGGATTCCAGAACTACAGGGAACTTGAGTGACATTTTTGGCCAAACATTTAGACTAGAGAATTGCACAGGATGGTGAGCACTCCTTGGCAAGGACATGGGGGCCTTGGAGGCCCAACACAGGCTCCCTGACCTTGACACGCCAGGCCCTGGACAGCTCCTCACCGTGGAGCTGGTCAGAACTGCCCTCTCCTACTGCTGTCTTGTTACTCTCCCTAGCCAAGCCTTGCCTTCCTTCCTCCCCAGAATTGTGCAGGGCCTGAATTGTGGATTTTAGACTCCCTTCCCTGGTAGAGTCTCTGGGCTTTAGGAGAAGCAATTTACAACATGCCACGGGGCCATGACTCAGGTTCTCGGGTCCCCCTTCCCTGTCCTGGAGGCTATAGCTCGCCACCGCTCCTATTATGTTGTTTTTCAAACAGCTCTCGCTAGCTGATCAAAAAACCATGGCCTGCCTCCCTCCCTCTCTGCCTCTCTTCCTTTCTCTTTCTCCCTCCCTTCCTTTCTGTGGCTTTGCCCTCCTGCTCTCAGCTAGGAGGCTAGGAACATTGCAGCTGCTCTGTGTGTAGCAGGATTGACTCTTAATAGAAGGTGGCAGTGGCCTAACCCTACGAGGTCTCTGGCTTCCTGATTGGTTTTGTCATCAGAATGACGAATTGCCCTTTTCATGTCCTCCGGCCACAGTCTCAATCACTCACACCTACAGGCACCCCTGCCTGACTCACTACATTGGCTCACAGTCTGACTTCTCATACTTCACCACGCTACTGTGGGTTTTCTCTCTCAAAGACTCCACTCTTCCACCTGTGCACCTTCTTGAGATCATTCACTTTCATTTGTAAACAAAAGAAACCAAACTCAAGTTTTGGGGAAGCCAAAGGAGAATTCGGGGAGGCTCTAGTAACTGGGATATGAAGATGCTGGTTCAGGTATAGCTGGATCCAGGAGTTCAAGCAATGTCACCTGGGCCCCAGGCCTGTTCTCTTTCTCTGTCTTTGCACTGTGTTGGTCTGTTTGGTTTCCACCTCAGGCAGCTCCTCATTTTATGTTACAGCAAAATGACCCTGAAGCTCCAAGCCCACACAGCGTGACATAGTGAAAAGGCTTCTTCTCCCACAGCTCTAGCAAAGGCGCTCAGTCTGTTAGTCCTGTGTGTCATGTGTCCATTCCTGTGGCCGGGAACTTGAATGTTCTGACTGGCCAGGCCTGAGTCCCATGGCCACAGCTGAGCCATGTTGTGGTCAGTCCCATATGAGCTAGCTTTTGTCCACAGCATGGGATCCTGGGTTAGCCAACCTGTCTGCCAGACCCTGTGCACCGAGTTGTATCATTATCTCATCTGTGTGTACAGTCATTCATTAATGAACTTAGCTGAGCATCTGCTAGGCACCCTGTGCTCCTAGGTTTTGGGGATACAGCAGTAAACAAAAGAGAGGTCCCTGCACTCTCAAAGCCGAACTTCTGATGGGGGAGAGAGGCTATAAACAAAGAATCAGGACTCTATTCTGTGGAGGTGTAAGTGCCGCAGAGAACCCCCCACTCTAAAGAGGATAGGACACTGGGGAAGGTGGCATGCTGTTCGGGGGGTGGGAAGATGGAGAAGGCAACACAGAGTGGAGATCTGAAGGGAATGAGCCATGCAGGCCTCCAGGGAGGAGAATTCAGATGGAGTTGATGGCAGGCGGAAGGGCAAGGAGCAAGGGTTAGTTGGTAGTGCTCAGATTCATGGATGGACACACGCATGCACACACACATGCACACGCACAGACCCACATCAAACCACTGTGTGCTGCCCTGTTTATTTATGAGCATGGACTGCAGACCAGCGGGCTTCCAGCTGATACAAGCTATGTGGCCCTGGGCACCTAACCTTGTGTTTCGGTTTTTTGTTTTTTGTTTTTTTTTTTGTGGTGGCACTGAGGTTTGAACTCAGGGCTTCACACTTGCTAGGCAGGCACTCTACCACTTGAGCCACTTCACCAGCCCAGCCCTTTTTGGTGATGGGTTTTTTTAAGATAGAGTCTCACAAACCATGTGCCTGGGCTGGCTTCAAACCATCATCCTCCTGATGTCTGCCTCTTGAGTAGCTGGGATTACAGGCATGAGCCTCCAGCGCCTGGCTATAATCATGGTAGATTTTTTTCTATGTCTTTTTTTTTTTTCTTTTTCTTTTTGGCAGCACTGGGGTTTGAACTCAGGGCCTCACACTTGCAAGGCAGGCTTCTTACCTCTTGAGCCACTTGGCCAGCCCATGCTTCAGTCTTTTTATATAAAATAGGGTTAATAACAGTATTTACTTCATAGGGTTGTCATAAAGACTACGCGAACAGGAGGTAAAGTGTTTAGAACCATGCCTGGCACAGAAGAACTTGACAGTTTTAGCCATCATGCCACCATCACCCTCACGGCCACTGTCATCAACATGTTCGCCATCTCTGTTGTCATCATCCTCATCATCCATGACCATGGTCATCCACCCCTTTAGGCCATGCTTCTATAGTTAGCAGGATCTGATTGAGGATCCTCACCCCAGGCTTCTCCTTCCCACCCCAGGGCCTTGTGGCACCTACTTCCACTGTCGGAATGGCAGGTGCATCCCTCTGAACTTGGTGTGTGATCGCTGGGGCATGGACAACTGTGGCGACAGCAGTGACCAGAGCCCCTGGCCACCAGCCAACTGCAGAGGTAAGTGAGAGTTGTGCCCTGGACCCTGCCGAACAGCTAGGAGGAAAGCCAGGCCCTTACTCCCTTCTCCCAGCACAGGGCTCAGGGGAGGAAGCACAGCAGGAGGGGTGCAAGGGGCAGGAGTGGGAGTCAGAGTCCACCGAGGCCCAGGGCCTGAGCAGGCGGGACTGGAAGGCTGTTCCTGAGAGCTGGTTCAGGACTGGAGGTGGAGCTCAAGTGGTAGACAGCTCGGGAGCACCTGAGAGATGGTTCAGTGGAGGCAACTCCCTAAGTAGGATCTGGCCCAGGGGCCTAGGACATCAGGAGAAATGCTTTGTTTAACTGGGTCTGGGGGCCTCGGCCCTGGCTGATTGATGTCTGAGGGCCCCAGTACCACCCTCAAGACAAAACAAAAACCACCAATCCAGTCCCACCTTTTACAGATGGAGAAACTGAGGTCTAGAAAAGAGATGACTTGCTCAAGGTCATAAAGTAAGAGTGACACGAGAAGGAATGACCTCTGTGGACATTGGGAACCAGAACAGAACACCCAGGGATAACCTTTCTGGGGATCTGGAGATGTGAGTCAGGGCTGCCATGGATGGTTGCATAGGTTGTTCATTGCAAAAAAGCTGAAGTGAAACCCACTTCCCAGGACCCCACACTTACCTCTCTGTGTCACTTTTCAGGCTTCTTTGTAGGTTTCTGGGTATTTGCCTAAAACTTTGTACTTTGGGCCCTGAGGCCCAGTTCCTGTGTCCCATCTCTTCTATCTGGGCTCAGTCCTCTGCTGTCTTACTTATATCTTATCCCCAGCTAACTCGTTTGAGTTCCAGACACATTCCTCCTCCTCGCTGCACATGTCCTCGTGAGTATCAGGTGGCATGACTTTAACTTGCCCCTGACTGCACTCCTGGTTCATGGGCCCTGACCTCATGCTGTCCCCACCAGGGCAGCTGCAGTGGCAACTTCATGGTCCACTTACTCCAGCCCCAACCATCCAGTCACCCTTTACACCTTTCTTACTTGTAACCCTGGGCCAGAGCTGATCTTTCTAATACCCATCTCCTACAGCACAGTCTTCCATAGAAGCCCACAGGAGCCTTATTTTTCTTTTCTCCTTAATAAAGTTAATTTTTTTAGAGCAGCTTATTTTTTTGGTGGCACTGGGGTTTGAACTCAGGGACTTGAGCTTGCTAGGCAGGTGCTCTACTTGAGCCACACCTTCAGCCCTTTTTTGCTTTAGTTCTTTCGGAGGTAGAGTCTTATGTTTTTTCTCTGACAGTTCTGGAGTTTGATCCTCCTATTTGTGCTTCCTGTGTAGCTGGGATGGCAGGTGTGCACCTCCATGCCCAGCTATTGCTTGAAATGGGGGGATCTCACTGATTTTTTGCCCGGGCTGGTGTTGGACTGCAAACCTCACCATCTCTGCCTCCCAAGTAGCTGGGATTAGACATAATCCATTGCACCCAGCTCCAGCAGTTTTAGATTTACAGAAAATTGAGAAGGTAGTTCAGACATTTCTCACATCCTGACACTCAGTTTCGTCTATGGTTACTATCTTCATTCACACGAGGCATTTGTTTTGGTTAATGGAACAGTACTGACCCAGTTATTAATTAAAGTCCATCATCTATTCTGAGTTCCCTAGGTTTTTTTTAACCTAATATTCTTCCTGTCTCAGGACCCATGTAACAGTTACTTGTTACTTCTCTTAGGCTCCTCTTGCTCTGCCACTTACTCAGCAGCTCCCTGTTCTGATGACCTTGACGGTTTTGCCCAGTCCTGCTCAGATGCTTTGTAAGGCTGTCCCGTCACTGGAACTTGGCGGGTGTTTTTCTCATGGTCAGACTGGAGTTACGGGTTAGTGGGAGGAAGACCACAGAGGTAAGTTGCTCTTTTTATCACATCAGGTCAGAGTTATACCACAGACATGAGGACCATCGATGATGCTGACCTTGACCCAGCTGAGGTCATGTTTGTCAGATTTCTCCATAGGTACTCTCCGCCTCATTTCTCCGTGCTGTACTCTTTGGGGTCACTAGGTGCAGCCCATGCTTGAGTAGGAAGTTATGCTTCCCTACGTTAGAGTGTTTTAAACATAAATCAGACCATGTCACTCCTGCACTCAAACCCCTCCTCGGCTGTTTCCTCCTCTCGCTTGGCTAAAGCAAGGCCTCCCAGAAGCCCACACCCTTGGCATGACCTGGTTCTTCCCCTCTCACCTGTCTTGCCTCCCTGTGTGAAACCTACCCCTCTGCAAGGCCCTGCCCCTCCACACTGGGCCCTGCTCCTCTCATATGCCCTCAGCCCCTCTGCAACGCCCCCCTCTACCCCACACCCACCACGCACACCTCCCACGCTCCAGCCTTTGCACTAGCTCCTTCGCCACCTGGAAGGCTCTTCTTTAGAGACCTGCGCAGTCATTTGCCTCCTGGAGTGGAAGGGCCTCCTCAGGTGTCTGCTTACCTCTCACTCTTGCAAATGTGGCAACCCCGTGACCAGCAACAGATGAATGCATAAATGAAATGTGGTCTGTTTATAGGACGGAGTATTAGTCACCCTTACAAAGGATGGACATTCTAGCTAGGCACCAGTGGCTCATGCCTGTAATCCTGGCTACTTGGGAGGCTGAGTGATGGAGGATCGAGGTTTGAGGCAAGCCTGGATAAACAGTTTGTGTGGCTCAAGTGGTAGATCTTGCTGGGCACTGGTGGCTCATGCCTGTAATGCTAGCTACTCAGGAGGCAGAGATCAGGAGGATTGTGGTTTGAGGCCAGCCAGGGCAAATAGTTCGAGAGACCCTATCTCAAAAAATTGGACCAGTGGAGTGGCTTAAGGGGAAGGCCCTGAGTTCAAGCCCCATTACTGCAAAAAAAAAAAAAAAAAAAAAGGTACAGCTCCCGCTTTGCAAGCATGAAGCCCCGAGTTCGAATCCCATCCCACTTAAAAAAAAATGTTCTGATGCCTGCTGTGGATCAGTCAGTACTAAGTGAAACCAGTCATGCACAAAAGGACAAATACTGCATGACTGCACTGAGTTGAGGAACCTAGAGTGGCCAGGCTCATCAAGTCAGAAGCAGAGCTATGGTCGCCAGGGGCTTGGGGCAGTGGCGGGGTGTTTACTGGATGTAAGAGAAGATGAACAGAATTCGAGCTGGATGAGACCGATGGTCGCATGACAGTGGAAGTGGACTTACGCCACTGAACTGTGCGCTTTAAAGTGGCTCAAATGGTGAGGAAAACAATTATGTGTTTTCCTACAATTACAAAAATAGCACCCCAGCCATCATGCCTGCTCCCTTCCCTGCTTCATTTTTTTCCATGGCACCTGCCCCACTGTACATACAGAATGTGCATTGCGTCTCCCCACACAAACTGCCGGTTGCAAGGACATTTTTGTCTATTTGGCCCAGTTCGTAAAGCCATGTACTGAGTATGGTACATGCTGGAGAAATGAGTCAAATAAGCAGAAGTGCAACCCCTCTGTGCCTCAGTTTCTTTATCTGTGAAACAGGGGTAAGCCTAAGCTTGCAGACTTGTTACAAATGGAAAATACTGTCAGTAAAGGTCCAGCACCCAGCATGGTGCTTGGTGCACAGAAAATGGTCAACATGTGTGTGTCCAACCCCTTTCCTGTGAAGCAGCTCCGTTATAAACCCCAGGATCTGAAGCTAGACTGGTGAACTTATGTCCTCTCCTCACTTCCAGCTGTGTGACTTTGGTGAGAGATTCAACCTCTCTGTGCCTTACTTCCCTTATGTGCAAAATGGAAATACTATAGTGACAAACTCAGAGAGGTCTTGTGTGGACTGAATGAAACACAGAGACTCAGAGAGGAGCTCTGTGTTTCTGATGCTGCCTACTGCAGGTCCCTCTCCACTGCCCAATCAGACGGGGAGCACAGATGACGACACCTCTGAGCCCCTGACTCCCTCCCCAACTCTGGAGACTACTGGCTCTCTCCAGACAGCAGCTCAGAGGAGTCTCCCAGCAGGCTGGGACACTGCCCAACAGAATTTGGAAGGTAGATGGCTCTTAGTGACAACTTGCTCCTACTCTTTCACTGAAATCATACTTGTCCCTGTCCAGGAGATGGGGTCGGGGCAGCAGGCCCAGGATGAGGCTGAGTGGACTCTTTCCTCCTGCAGAGTCTCAGTTCCGGGGGATGGCGCTGGCCTCCTCACTGCTCCTGGCCTCCACTGGCCTCCTCATGGGCCTCCTTTGGTGCTGCTGCTCCCCCAGTCGGCCGGTCTGGAAACCTTGGGCCATTAGCCTCAGCCTCAAATGTGGTGCAGCCTGTAACATCTGCTATCTGTGTCCTGCCCGGGTTGCCCCTGGTAGGGCTGTGGCCTAGCCAGCCCGCCTCCCAGCACCAAGGAGATATCCCTAAAGAGGTGTGGTTAACAACAGATGGAGTAGGCTCTAAACTTAGTTACCTGGCTGACCTCAGCCAGGTCACTTAGCTCTGAGCTTCATTTCTGTCCCTCTGGGAAATGGGCTGAGTTCTGCATCCCTGGTTGTGGTAAGGGTTATAGGAGGTAGAGGACACATAAAAATCAATCCTGCAGCTGGGGAGGTGGGGGTGGCACCCTGCTGGACCAGGCAAAAGCATGAACACCGTGCCCAGGCAGGTTTTGGGGCCTTGTTTGATCACCAAAGCTGCCTTACTTCACTCCTAGATTTTAGCGACCCTACTTCAGCCCACCCTTAGGTGCCTTTGTCAAAGACACAGGAGGCCCCTGGCGGGGATAGCACCGTTTATTAAGAAAAATCAAGACAAAGACCACAGGAGGATCCTTCTAGGACCCAAGGCCAGGTAGCCCCATACCACAGGCTGGGGCCGCTCACCCAGGATCCTCAGGTTCCCAGATGGGTGGGGCTGTCATCTCCCCTCCTCTCACCCTGTCAGGGGGGGTCTCGGCTTCCCCCACCAAAGCACGGGTCTTCTGGCTCCTTTCCCCCAAGTCCTGGGCCTTCACCTCCAGAGAAGTGGGGGGATGGTGTGGCCTGGCGTGGCGGGGACCCCATTGCTGGGCTCTGCCTTAGCAGCTCTGGGTATTGGTGGGGGCTTCCCTTGTAGCCCTTGAGGGCAGGGCCCTGGGCCATGAGTGGGGGTGGTGGGAATGCAGGCTGGGTGGAAGGGGAGGCTGCCAGGGGCAGGGGGCCCTTGGCTAGGTGAAGGGAGAGGGGCTGGGCCATAGCTGGTGGGGGAAGGGTGAGCTGCCTTTACAGTGGGCACTGGTGACTTCCCAGTATAGGGGGTGGCCAAGGCCACTGTGATGCCCCCTTTTTCAGGTAGCTGGCAAGGCACCAGGTGGTAAGCTGGGGCTGGCTCTCACAGGAATGAGGACTGCCCTTGGCTGCAACAATGGGCAGCCCAGCTGTACTTTGGGGGGTTCCATTGGAGTGGGGGGATGGCAGTACTGAACCCATCCAGCCACTGTGCCTGACTCCAAGTCCACATGGCCTTCTGAGGCCATCTATGCCTATCCCACTGGCTCTGCCCATCAGCCTAGGCTTTGCCCGTGTAGTTGTATGTGTGTGGGAGGCGGCATGCCCACCCTCCAGTCCAGCCCAGGGCGGTAGCAGCAAGCGTGGCATTGCCTCAGTTTCTTACAAAAATTCATAATAATATTAATAATAATATACTTGACGTTGTTGGGCTGGGCGCTGCCCGGGAGTCCGTGTGGGGCAGGCAGGTGTCTATGAGGGGCAGGGGCGTGTGTTGGCCCCTGCCTGGGCCTGGTGCTGCAGGTCCAGGGGTTGTGGAGGTGGGGCGCCAGGCCTGGCTGAGTGCAGCACCAGGTTCTTAATACAGCCTGTGATGCCTGAGGAGAACCTGCCTCCAGTCAATGCAGCCACGTCGGGGGCTCCACCTGTGGATGGGAGCGAGAAGGCATTGGCTCCAGGAGCCCAGGAGGCCAGACCCACCAGGGGGCTCCAGCTCTGTAGGACAATCACTCCTGTCCCGGCCCACATGGAGGCTCAGCTCAGGACTCACCGACATAGACACTGTCCTTGGTGTTGACTGCCACGTTGGGACCTGGGGACTTGCCACTGATCAGCTCTTCACCATCGACCTGGATGGAGCCTCTCCGGCCCTCTCTACAGTGAAACTGGGTCAGGTCCCTCACCCCAAATTCCCACACTCCTCAGAACCTCTTTTGGCATTGATTCCAACAGACAAGTCTCCCCTCTACTGGGTACTTTTTCTTTCCCTACTGGGTAAGAGATCTAGCCCTGCAAACCCAGCCTCCCAGCACTGCCCTATGACCCCTGGGTTTCTTTCATCCCAGGGGTCCCCTATACTACAGTGGAGCTCATTTGTTTTATTTTATTTTGAGACAGGATCTTACTGTGTAGCCTTGGCTGGTCTTGCACTTGAGATCCTCCTGCCTCAGCCTCCCCAGTGCTGGGATTACATGTGTGTTATACCACACTCAGTCCCAGTGGAATTCTGTATGGCTTGGAGTTCTCTGTCCCTGGCAAGCTCTCCCCACACATGAGCTCACATTCCATCTGTCTGTGCTCAATGCCTCCTCCCTGCCCATGGTGGAGTTGTCCTGTCCCCTTGCAGAACTTACAGCCCTTTTCACTAGTGTTGGCTGGGTTCCCTTACCGCAGTGCTATCAATCGATGCCATTCGCCATCATTGATGGGGTCCTCAGAAATAAGGCGGGCCTCCCCGCTGCCCAGCTGGTAGCTACAGGAACACAGGCCCGTGAAGGTGTGAGTGGGGGGCAGGACTGGAGGTGCATGGTGGGGGTGCGGGTAGGGGTGGTGTGTGGCTGAGGTGCTGGGAGAGGTGCTGGCAGTTTCCCATGGGAGAAGCCAGGGAAGCGGGGTGGGGGGAAGGGGCAGGACTCACCTGAAGACCAGGTGGCCATCCTGCAGCCCTAGGCTGATGAAGTCCTTGCTATGACCAGCCTCTGCCACCTCCTGCCAGGGAAACACAGGGTCTCTAGTATCCCCCTACTGTACAGCTGAAGCCCCTGAGGGCTGCAGCCTTGGCCTTGCTCTCCCCACTGCCCTGGCCGCCAGGAGGCCAGTCTCCCACCCCAGGAATCCTGAGACCCTGGGCTGGATGCCCACTCACCACACCCTGCCAGAGCAGGAGGCCACTGGCAGTGTTGGTCCGAACCTCCAACTCAATGGTCTCGGGTACTTCAGGCAGGCTATGGGGAGCAGTGGGTGAGGGAACATAAGTCCCAGACTCCTGTCTTCCCCACCCCAGGCTCACAGACTCTTCCAACCAACACCTGCCCATCTTACCTCCTGGCGAAGATGCCACCAGGAAGGGCTAGGAAGCCGTTGTCATGAAAATAGGCTCCATATTGCCCAGGGGCATCTGCGGGAGAGTGGGGGTTGGTGAGTCACCTGCTGCTTGCATCAAGTGTCAGTCCCAAGTCAGTTCCTGACCCCCCTGTTCATTCCACTTTTGGGGGCTCTGAACTGTGGTTCCTGATACTCGTAAGGACACCAACAGAGTTCAGGGGGCTGTGAACTTGAACTTGGTCATCATATCTCTATTTTCACTCACTTTCTCACTGACATTTGGCGTCCCTTCAATTACAGATCTAGTCAGTGAAACCAACCAAAGTAGTAGTAACAGGTCCTAGGGCAGTAATTGCAAATATTTCCAAAAATTGTTTATGTTCATGAATTGTTTGGAAATTGTATTAGCGATTAAGACCACCGCTCAATCTTGTTATTTAAATGTTAATAAACAAGGCCATGTATTTAGAATCTAAAAAATATTTTAGTAAGTCTAACTGGTTTCTTCTGAAATCCTGTATGTCTTATGCCTGCCATAACATGACTGTGTCATGTTCTGTCTGGCTTTGTCTCTGCAAGGCCTACAAATCCCTGAGACTGCTCCATCCTGAGCACACTGGGGCAGTTGGTAACCTCAGTCCATGGCAATCAGTGGCTCAGAGCTTGTGGTTTTTTTTGGTGGCACTGGGGTTTGAACTCATGGCTTTTTGCTTGCTAGGCAGGAGCTCTATTGCTTAAGTCATTCCCCCATCCCTGTTCTCTCCATCTTACAGGTGAGAAGATGGGCTTAGGGTAGTTAATGACCAAAAATGTGAAACCAGGAATGCATCCTGGGCTTTCTGCTCCGTCGTCATAGGGGGTGTGGTTACACCATCCCAGCCTACCTGCTCATACACCCCACAGGCCAACACTGGCCACAAAACCAGGGAACACTCTACCGAAGGATTAGGATAACTGCTGACATTTACCAAGCAGCTACTATGTATCTGTGCACAGAACTTAATATCTAGCTACAAACACCACTTCATTTAATTGAACCCTTGTAACAACCCTAGGAGAAGATAGAAGATTCACAAAACCTAACCTTCTGCACCCTCTCTGTATCACACATTTTCTAAATTTTCAATGTAGTAAACAATTTTACTGTTATACACAGACTTTTATCCAAAGTCTTGTGGAAAGATACTATATGAGTAACATTTCAAACATAAGCAAACTGAGGCACAGAGCAGCTAAGTTACTCACCTGACGTCACAAAGCTAGTGATGTGCCCATGTGAAGAATTCACAGGGGCTTGTTTCACTTAGAGGCAGGAATTAAGGATGTAGGTAACTGGAAAAGGAGGCTGAGACACTGAGGTCAAGGCTCAGACAAGGTTACCTGGCTGGCCTGGCTGGCCACAGCGAGTACGTACCATTGCCTCCACTGCCTTCAAGGTGCCAATCAGATTCCCCTGTGCCATGTCTGGAGCCTGTGGGGAAGAGTGGGGGCTGGTTGGTATGTACAAACACCTGGGTAGTATGTCTGGTCCCAAGGCCCCAACAGGGAGGTGGAGAGGAGCCAGAGCCAGGTACCTTGTTGGCAGCGTGGGCCAGAAAAACCAGGGAGACAGAGGCAGCGGGTGCCCTGGCAGGTGCCCCCATGCAGACAGGGCTCTTGGAGCTGGCAGGGATTCTCCTCATGCTCACAGAGATCTCCTGCGTGCCAGGGCAGAGGTGGGTGGGCAGGCAGGAATTGGCAGTGCCACCAACCACCTTGGCCTCCTACCCCAGGCGGGCACTCATACCTTTGAAGCCATCCTTACACAGGCACTGGAACTCATATTCACCTGTGGGCATGCATGTGGCACCATTCCGACAGGGCTGGCGCTCACATGGGGAGCTGTCATAGCACTGCCCAATACCCTGGCTGCCCAGGAAGCTGTAGGTGAGGTCCAGCCGCTTGCCATTCACAGACACCTGTGGGCACAGAGACACTGAGGGACTAATGGGGTGCAGGAGGCCGAGATGCACGTGTGGCAGCCAACAGCAGCATGCAGCGGAGGGTGGCTGGGAACCAAGGCCTAAGTGGTGCTGTGGAACCCTCCGTGAGGGATGTCAAGTGCTGACTGTGTGCCAGGAATGCCCTGCCCTCTGTGTAATCAGTCATCAGCACAACCCTCAAAGCAGGTGCTGTTATCCCCATTTTATGGATGAGGAAAACTAAGGCTCAGAGGGGAAGGGTATGGTCCCAGGGCTCCCAGCGAGTGGCAGGTGGGCTCAGTTTGTACCCTTCCCTTCCCTCCCACTGGTCCTCTGGGGCTGCTCCTCACCTCGCCCACACAGCCGCGGAAGTGGGCGCTGACATTGGTGGCTGGGGACAGCTGTACAGAAGGCTCCACACCGCCCAGGTAGAGCAGGGTGTGTAGGTTGAGGCCCTGGCTCTTGCCTGGTGAGGAGCGCAGCACAGGGCGCCCCCCATCCACCTGCAGGCTGCCATCCTTGTTGAGGCGCTCTGCAGACACGCGGTGCCAGCGGCCCAGGGCCAGTGGCTGGGGGCTTCGCAGGACAGCCAGCCCTGGGAAGAACATCAGGCAGGGCTGGGCACTGGAGAAGGTGACCTGGTCCTGCCCTCCCCAGAGACTTGAGCAGAGGGAGAACTTCCCACACAGCCTTTGGGTCCCCATGAGGATTGCATGAATAAGGGTTTGCTTAACGTCACACACACAGAGGACCGTGAAGGGACAGGGATATTGGGTTCTCAGCTTATTCTTTCATGCCTCAACTGGGCATAGAGAGCCAAGGAGGGTACAGAGCTTAGCATTCAGCACCTGCATCTGGCACCCAGTGCTTACCTGAGCCCAACTCATAGCGGAACTCCACATGGCCGCCAGCCATCGCGAGGGACACAAAGTCCTCCACAGGCCCACTCTTCCCCCCACTGAACAGCAAGATCCCATCGGGTGCCAGTGGCTTGAACTCGACATCCAGGCGGAGCTCGTGGTGTGTGTTGGTGAGGGCAGGCAGTGCCAGGTAGGAGCCAGAGCCCGACATGGATGGGGTGGTGACTGTCACACCTATAGCAACCACAGCTCAGCCAAGGTTGGTGGGGCTGGTGGGATCCCAGGTAGGACCCAGCTATTCAGGTTGCCCCTGGGAACTTAGCCCACCTCACTCCCCATCCCAGAGCCCAAAGAGCAGCTGGGCAGCAACTGTTGTGCCCAGGAGCCCTTGGTCCTAGTTCTGCCGGTCAGGCTTCAAGGACCCCTAGGATCCTCTTTGGGGGCCTCACATAAGGGACTCAGTTTGGATAGGAGTGTGGCCAGACGATTTTGAGATTTTCTAGCTCAGGAAAATTTTTATCGCTGGGCCTGCCATGGCATCAGAGAGCCCTGCCCAGCTCTCGCTGAGACCCCGGGATTTGACACCTGACTCTACTCACCTTCTTCACACCTCATTCCAGAGCGGCCCAGGTGGCAGCGGCAGGTGTAGCCTCTACCGTCAGGCCGGTTCACACAGGTGGCGTCAGGCCCACAGGCCTCTGGGGGCACAGAGGCCAGTGAGGAGGACACTGAGGTGACTCAGGCAGGAGAGGGGGACTCTGGTGCCTAAACCTTGCCCATCACTCCTTGGGGGCCTTGACTCTTAGGGCCAGGCCAGCCTGGGAGGACTGCCTAGGAGGCAGTGTGTGTGTGTCCAGAAAAGGCCAGGACTGTGGGGCATGAAGGGGTGACCATGGGTGTGAGGCACACAGCCCACACAGTCCCAGGGCCTTCAGTACTGTTATCCACATCATCCCCAACCCACTCCACAGGCTGCAGCGTGGGGGCGCTGACCTGCGTCTTGAACTTGGGCAATAGAGGAGGGTGATGGGCACCTGGGTAACAGGATGGGATGGTGGTAGGGACCTAGGGAGCGGTGACTGGGCTAGGGAGAGAGCCTGGGGGACTGCTGTGGGAGGAGTCTCAAGCACTCAGGTAAGAGGGTGGGTGGCCGTAAAGAGGCACACAGCTGGCAGAGGTGGGGTACACACCTGGGTGGCAGTGCAGGGCCTGCGAGTGCTCACAGCGGCTCCCAGTGAAGCCAGCTGGACAGATGCACATGTAGCTGCTGCTGTCCGAGTCATGGCACTGGCCCCCATTCTGCAAAGCAGCCCCAGAAGTCATGCTATGGCTAGCTTACCCCTCCCCCCATCCCACAGGGGCCAGCCTTGGCTCAGGGCAGCCAGGCAGTATGTGGGTGTGGGGCCACCTGGCAGGGCCGGTCCCGGCAGGTGGGGCAGTGGGAGATGCCATGTGCTGTGAGGTTGAGGTCATGGAAGACTGTCTCCTCGCCCTGGATTCGCAGCTCCCGGACACAGCCTGGGGGGCGGGCAGGTGGAATGAGTGAGGGCAGGGGTGCAGGGAGCCTGCCTGCCCCAACCCACACCCGGAAGTGCCCTCCCCAGCTCCCAGAAGAGCCTTGGCCCTGGTTGGTGGGGAGGGGCTCACCCACAAAACCGCTGCTCAGCCCTGACTTGGGGATGGCACCATAGTCAGGGTAGCCACCTAGGTACAGCTCCTCATTCAGGTCCAGGCCCTGGAACTTGCCCTGGCAAGGTGGGGAAGTTAGCATTCAGACAGACTGGGCAGGTGTGAGCTGGGGACTGGGAATAGGGGCTGGGGCCAGGTCTCACCTGGGAGGTCCCGTTCACGGGGGCCAGGTTGCCCACAATCAGGGAGCCCTGGGTGAGGCTGCGCAGCAGGGTCACAGTGTGGAACTGGCCCAAGGCCAGTGGTGTGGGGTGGCGGATTGTGGCCATGCCAGAGCCTGCGTCAAACCTACTCCATGGGATACGGAGGGCAGGAGAGCCAGGATGAGGGGTTTGTAGGAAGGGCTTCAGTGGGCGCTCCAGAGAGGGCGACTATTTCCTGTACTTAGGCTCTGGGGATGCTCTGTTCTAGTTCCTGTCCCTGCCTTGTCCTCCCCCGTCACCTGGCCCAGCCAGCCCACTCTGACCCCTTTCCCCAGTCTCCTATCCCCACCCTGTTCCTGGGAGTTTCTCCAGAGCAGCCCTTGGGAGTGGGGGGCGGCTCCTTAGCTTCAGGGCCCTGCAGAGCACCCGGCTCCACTGCACCTCAGGGCAGCCCCCTCTGTAATGACCTCACTTCCTGTATTTATAGCTTGTCTCCCCAACTGGAGTAATAGTCCCCAAGGGCAGAACTCAATCTCTGTGTATGCCTGGATCATTGGCTGGCTCATGGTGGCTGTTCAGCAAGTTACTGCTAGACGAGTGAGTGAGTGAATGAACGAATGAGTGAATCCTGGCTTGCAGCAGTCCCACGTCTTCAGTTGCTCCCTCCTCTACCCGATGGGCACATTGTGTCTACACCAGCAAATTTGGTGGTCACTGAGGGTAACAACCACATCTCTTCCCTTCAGAATCACCTCCTCTATATAACTCAGCCAGGCCAGGGAATGCCCCACTAAAGCTCTGTGTCCAGTCTCCCAGCCTGTCCTTCCCCTTGCAGGCAGGGCTTGAAAGGTCTCACCGGAACTCAGGCCTTCCACCCACGAGGCCGAAGGAGATGAAGTCAGGCTGCCTGTTGGCCAGGTTGGTGGGGCTCCCTGGGATCTGCTTCTGTCCATTGTACAGCAGCATCCCTGAGGGGCACAGCTGTGTGAGGGGCCTCTCCTCAAGCCACAGGTTCCCTGTCACCCTGCCTCTGAATTACCCAAGCTCTGAGACTTTCCACTCTGACCCTCCCTTTGGCACACTCATATGGTCAGGAATTGCTCACAATCTCAGGCTCAATGGCCTAAGCAGAAAGGCCTGGCTGACAGTTCTGGGACAGAACCTGAACTTGCTTCATGCACCCTCCGTGGTCTGCCTGAAGGAGGCGAGGGAGGCAGAGACTCACCCGAGTAGAGGAGGAGGCCTGGAGAGTGAGAGTCAGAGACCCGCAAGAGATATGAGAGAGAGAGAGAGAGAGAGAGAGAGGAAAGGGTGAGAGATGGCAGAAGGAGGGAGAAGGGGGCAGAGCGGGATAGAAAGATGGGACAGGAGGGCTGGACACATGGCAGAGGGACCATGGGGATGCCAGGATGTCACAGAGGTGGGATGGCAAAGCGAGGAGGTAGGAGAGGGCCCAGTGTGGGAGGTCCACAACCTGAGGGAGGCCAGGTGTTAAATGGCAGGTATGCCACAAGATTTCCCTTCCTAAACCAGCACCCCTCTCCTGCTCACCATCGGCTGAGTCAGGCCGGAAGGTGACCTTGATCTCAAACTTCCTGTAGGCATCCTTGATGGTAGGCAGTGGCAGGAAAGAGTGGGGTGTCTGGGTGAAGTAGGGAATCACCCGCTCTGTTGGCAGACAGCACTGTTAGAGAGGAGGCCCACCGGGGACTGGGAGGGACACTGCCAGCTGAGGGTGGTGTCATCTTACCTGGCACCTGCAGATGGGCAAAGGCTTTGACCTTGCCCTGCCGGTTGGTAGCAGTACATACATAGGTGCCTGCATCCTGGGGCCGGACCGAGGGCAGCATCAACATGTTGTTCTCTAAGCGACTGTTGGGTGGCAGGTCACCATCCAGCTGCAAACATCGGCACTGAGGGCCTGGCCTCGGCCATGCCTCCCACCTCTGTTTCAGGCCCACCTTCCAATGCTGGCATTTTACTCTGTGCCAGGTCCTGGAGGCACATCCACTGGCCCTGCCCACCATTTACCTTGCTCCAGGTGATGTCTGGAGTGGGGTAGCCTGACGCCATGCAGGGGAAGACGGCTGCAGAGCCAGCAGGCACACGGACCTCCGGGGGGGTTGAGATTTGGGGCAAGGCTGAGAGGGGATGAGACACAGGCTATCAGTGTGAGGACAGCCACCATCTGTGTGCCCAGCTTGTGCCCTGGCTTATCTACTCCTCATGCTTCCTCTTAGGGAGGCATCATCATGGTACAGAGGACAGAGTCAGGGCTCGGGGACACATGCATTTCACTGTCACCTAAGACTCCTTTCACTGCACCTGGGCAGAATACTGTGCAGCCTTTTCAGGACCTGAGAATGGGGCATTAAGACAGGATAAAGTGCTGGGCACGGGTGGCTTATACCTGTAATCCTAGCTACTCAGGAGGCAGAGATCAGGAGGATCGTGGTTCAAAGTCATCCAGGGCAAATAATTCCCAAGACTCTACCTTGAAAAAAACCTATCACAAAAAAGGGCTGGTGGAGTGGGCTCAAGGTGTAGGCCCAGAGTTCAAACCCAAGTACTGCAAAAAAAAAAAAAAAAAAGACAGGATAGGTGAGTGAGTTTGGGGACAAGTCACAAGGTGTAGGGTAAGAAGGAATTGCCTTAAAAGAAAACAGTTGTTATGTCTGTCTGTCTTTTACCTATAACCCTTTGTCCTTGTTTTACTTTCTATGATGCCTGTTTTTGTTTTTTTGGTGTGGTGCAGGGATTTCAACTCAGGAGCTTGAGCTTGCTTTGCTAGGCAAGTATTCTATTTGAGTCACTCCTTTTTTAGTTTTTTGGATTTTTTTTTTTGGCAGCACTGGGGTTTGAACTCAGGACCTCACACTTGCTAGGCAGGCACTCTAACTGCTTGAGCCACTCTGCCAGCCCCTACCCCAGCCCTTTTTGCTTTATATATTTTTGTTTGGGCTGGCCTGGACCCTGATCCTACTATTATTGCCTCCTGTGTAGCTGGGATCACAAGCATGCACTGCTATGCCTGGCTTATTGGCTGACCTGAGGTCTTGCAAACTTTTTGCCTGGGTTGTCCTTGAACCATGATCCTCTGACCTCCACCTCCCTCTTATCTGGGATAACAATCGTGAGCCACCACACCTGGATTCATGATGGCTGTTTTCTGTTATGTCTGCCATTGGACTGGGCTGCAGGTCTCCCCTATCAGAGAAGGCACTCCCTGTGCTGAGGACTACAGATCTTTTTCCCTCCTGACACCCTATGGTCCCACTCTGCAGCCTGCCCCAGGTGAACATTCTCTCTCACCCTCTGCTGCCACCATTTGCTAGAAAACCTGGTCCCTAAATATACAATGCAGAACATCCAAAGGCAGTGAGAAAGAAGAGTGAGGCAGGGGAGGGGGAGATGGCAGTACAAGAATCCCTGTCTGGCTTCCAGTCCCCTCCCCCAATGGCCTTCACCTTGTACCAGCAGCAGCACATGGGACTGGGTGGTGCCAGCAGCATTGGTGGCCGTGCAGCGGTACTGCCCTGCATCGGCCATCTCCACGTGGGCAATTCTGACAATGTTTCCACTCTGCACAATGCCAGGCCTCATGCGGCCCCCAACTTTGCTCCATGTCACCTGAGGCTTGGGATCCCCTAGCGCCAGACACTCGAACTCGACAGCGTGGCCAACCACCACAGTCTGCACAGATGTGCGGATGTTGATGAGCACGGAGGGCAGAGCTAGGGGAGGATGATGGCAGAGTGTCAGCCTGGCCAGGAGGCTGCAGACTGCCTAGAGCCCTGGGCACTGTCCATCGCCTGACTCTCCTTTTCAGTTTCACTCGCAAACCTCCTTGTGTGTTTTTCTGTTTATTCGTGTACTCATTCAAGTGTTCACCCATTCATTCTTCACTGCTCTGCTGAGCATCCACTCATACACCCATCTCCCTTCTTCTTTCTTGCAGTATTTATCAAGACCCCCTGCTATACTAGGCACACACAGGTAAAATAGAATAACCGTCTTTGCCCTTGTACATTTAGGGCACTTCTGGAGAGCAGATTTGGAGCCCTGCACCCCATTCCCTGCTCTTAGCAGAGTCCTGAAGCCACTTCTTACCTTGGACAACTAGCCGGGCACTGGCCTGGGCCTGTCCCCAAGGACCATGGGCCTGGCAAATGTATGTCCCTTGGCAGCTCTGGTCCAAGTTCTGGATTCTGTAAAGAGGAAAGAATGATGTCAGGGAGAAAAACTTATTGTGAAGGCTTTGTAGTTGTGTGAGAGTTAAAACCACAGATCAGCACACGGCCAGCTTCCAGCAACCTACAGGCAGGCAGGGTGGGGGGTATCACATCCATTTTAACAAAGACCTTCTGTGCTAGAGCTCATTGTCACACTGGCCAAAGTCGCACAGTTACCCAGTTGCGCAGCTTAGCTCTGGGTTCATTTGCTAGTATCTGGCTCCAGAGTTGTTCTTGTTCCTCCTCTCATAACCACAGGAGCACAGGCCACTGTTTCCTGAAGCTGTGAACACCAGGCATAAGCTGAGTGTGTTAGACAATCACATTTCAGTTTTACGCAACCCATCGGAGAGCCAAGAAAACGGAGGCTCAGAGAGGTCAGGTGACTTGTCCACAGAGATGGCTTCAGGTTGGCTCCTTAGACAGGTGATGTAACTCAGTTACACATGAGCCTTGGGCCTGGGTGCCTGAGTCCATTCCTGGCTCACTGCCACTCACCGGAGTACCCCATCCTGTATGCTGTGGCCAGGGGGCAGCTGACCTCCCTCCTTGAGCCAGCGGAGCTGGGTTCCCTGATCACTGGGCACAGCACAGTGGAACTCCACGCTGGCCCCAGTGCTCTTGGTCTCCAGCTGTGGAGTGACGTGCACGGAGGGTACGGATCCTGCCTGGACCGAGGTACCTGGGACAGAGCTGGAAGAGTCTGAGGAGACACAAATGAGGTTATGCAGTTTGGTTTTGTTTTTGAGTCAGGAGGATCTCACTATGTTGCCCAGGCTGGGTTTGAACTCCTGGGCTCAAGTGATCGTCCTGCCTCAGCCTCACAACTCAGTAGCTGGGACTATGTATGTGTGCCACCACGTCTGGATTCTTAAGGTTCTGCATGCAAGTGTGTGTTCATGTCCCTGATGCCCCCTCAGGCATCCAGGAAAACTTCACCCCCACATTCTCTGGTGGCCTCTCTGGCCAGGGAACAAAGGTGTCTCACAGAGGCCTAAGGGTTGCTGGGTTCTGCCTCCTGGCTCTGGGCCCTTAAGTGGGGAGCACAGACCACGACAAGAGTGCAAGGACAGGAAAGACTGTTTTGACTGCAATTGAAAATGAGAGATTCCATGGGCATGGCCATGTGAAGATGCCCATGTGTGCTGGGACAGGTGGGTGGGTGCAGAGGTATGTCACTGTGTACTGAGTGCCCCATAAGCCGTGAGCTTTACAGCTGTGTATCTTTCTAACTCAGCTTGTGTGGAGACATTTTCTCTCCATTTACAGATGAAACTGAGACTCAAGGCTAGATGATGTGGTCAAAGTTGTAGACCTGTTCTGGAGTCCACCTCTTGACCCGTGAGCTACATACTTCACTGCTTCTAGAATTTGGGGTGCAGATGCCCTCATGTGGCTTTGTAGGAGGCCATGGAGATGCTAGGTTCTTCAGAGATTCACTGGAGCCCGGGGCATGCTAGGGTTGGGCTTCACTCACTTATGATTGTCAGTGTCAAGTATTTACCCGACCTGGGATGGACAAGCCCAGAGCTGCTGGGATGACTGGGTTCAGGCACTGTTCTAAGCATCCTTGTCCTCTAGCAGGTGAGGCAGGCTGGGCAATTTATGCAAACAGTGGCTTCCTTTGCTAGTGGAAGGTCAGGCAGGGAAGGAAGTGGCAATGAGAGCTACAGGGCTGGGGACAGTGGTGTCCTCCCAGGCTGCCCCAGGCCTTGGAGGGCACTGCGAGTGGGTAATGGAAGGAGGCCCTAGTACCCCAAGTGCAGGTCCCCAAGTGTTCATGGTGTGGTCATCAAAGGGCCTAAAGGAAAGCTGACCCCCTTTCTGCCCACCCTGGGCCCTGGCTGCTTACCTTCCACAAGCACACGGGCAAAAGCCTCAGCCGAGCCCACTTTGTTGGTGACTTGGCAGCGGTAGGTGCCAGAGTCCTCCGGGCCTGTGGGCTCCAAATATAGCAGCTCATTTCTAGCAGTGGCTCTCACAGGGAGGCTTCCACCACTGCGGCCCCACTGGAAGTTCAGCGGAGGTGTGCCGTGAGCCAGGCACTGCAGCTGCACTGGCTCCCCTACCCGCACTGAGGCACGCTCTGGGACTATGGTGGCATATGGTAGACCTGGGAGAGAGGGCACAGAAGTCAGGTGGGGAGGGTGGGTCAGGATAGTAGCAAGTATTTAGTCCAGGTGACCGGACAAAGGACTAAGGAAGCCCAGAGGACTGGGGACGAAGAGCACAAAGGGCCCAGGAGGGGACGTGGGTGGCAGCAAGCATAAGTTCTGAGATCCTCTGAATGAGGCTTCTGGGGCTCTGCTGGGGAGGAGCCTGGTGGAGGGACACAGACAGCCATGCAACACAAAGGGAAGCCCAAGGACAGGACAGGTGCCGTACTCTCCACGTGCAGGACGACAGTGGCTTCGGCATGCCCGATAGGGCTGCTGGCATTACAGATGTACTGGCCCGAGTCCTGCTGGGCCACCCGGGGGATGATCAGTGTGTTGCCTTCCAGCCGGTGCTGCCAGGGCAGTGGGGAGCGCAGCTTGGACCAGTGGATGGTGGGCGCGGGGCTGCCTGTGGGGTAGAACACTGCACTGTCCCTCCATTGGAACCACTAAATGGGTGCTTCCCAGGCATGACATCATCTTCAGACCTCATGTGTCTACAATTCAGGGCCTTGGGCACCACTGCTCTGCCAGCCCTGTGGGCCCACCCCTGCCTATACCTGTGGCAGAGCAGCGCAGTGTGGCTGTGTGTCCAGCTTCCAAGGTAAGCTCAGCTTCTTCAATCTGAACCTGGGGGGCCCCTGGGGCCACAGTGCCTGTGTCCACGATCACCTCCACCTGCTTCTGTGCTGTGCCCAGGGCATTCTGGGCTAGGCACACATAGGTCCCAGCATCTGATGGTTTCGCTGATGAAATCTAGAAGAAAGCAGGGAGGGGGAAGTCATAGGGGTATGGTGGGGGGCCTTTGACCTGAACCCCTTCCCTTTGTTTTTAGCTCCCCTCATGACATCCCATTAGTCCTTCCATCCCCCTGGTTATCAACCCACCCACCTACCCTTCTACCCATTTTTAATTCCTTTTCCTTTTTGATTTGTTAAGGCAGGGTCTTGCTATGTATCCCAGGCTGGCCTAAATCTTATTGCCTCAGCCTCCTGAGTGCCGGGATTACATACATACACACAGCTTTCTTTCTTTTTCCTCTTTCCTATCTTCCAATCTACTCACCATCACATTCCCCATCCCTTCTTTCCTCTCTCCATCCACTCATCACACCCTCTTCCAGGCTCAAGACAAGTCCTGGCTGGGGCCTCAGACCCAGAGTTGGAGAGGCCCTGACCTCACCTTCAGCACTGTGTGGCTGTCCATGAGCCCATATGTCCGTGGCTCCATCTTGGCAAGAGTTCCAACTCGGGTCCAGCGGGGTGAGGAGCGGGGCTCCCCCGCACTGACGCACTCCAGGGCGATGTCCTTTCCCATTTTCACCCTCACAGGGCCCTCAGGGAGCACAGATAGTGTAGGGGGTCCTGCCCAGAGGAATGACAATCACTGACCCACACACAGGGCTGCCGGTCACGCGCATGTCACAGCCCCCAGCTGAATACCAGCTGGGTGGGCACTTGTCTTCTCACCCTCTGATGTCTTAGAGACAGAGGCTGCCCAAGAGGAAGGCAGTGGCCAAAAGGGATTTAAACCTGGAGGATTTGACTGAGAAGCGGGGCTGGAAACAGGGAAGCAGAGACTTGGGTTGATGCCCACTCACCGTGCACACTAAGGTTCACGACACTCTGGGCCACACCATAAGCATTGGAGGCCACGCAGCGGTAGGCCCCATGGTTACTGGGCCGAGTGCTCACGATGGTGATGATGGAGCCGTTGGGGCTGATATGGACATTGTCTGTGGGGTGGCATTGAGGGAGTGGAGGTCAAGGAGGGTAACCTGGCCTCTCTCCTACCTCTGCACTGCTAGATGGTGAACCCTTAGGACCTGGATATGTGACATTAAGTCACAGTGGCAGAAGGTAGGAGTCCTTGGAGTCTCCTGGTGAGGCTCCCTCACCAGATAGATGAGTTTGTGCCTTACCCAGGGCCTCACATGAATTTGGTGTAATCAGCCTTCCGCCCCAATACTCATACCTGGTGGCCCCCACACCTGCCTCCAGCCTGCACTGCCTGGCAGCTCACCCTCTAGCTCTTGGTTCCGGGTCTTCCACTCAAGGTTGATGGGGGTTGCCCCTTCATGAATAAGGCATTTGAAGCTTGCATCTTGGCCCTGCTGCACGGTGCTGCTGGGTGGATCGATGGAGATAACAGGGCTCCGGAGGCCTGCAGGCCAAGGGAGCAGAGGGCCAGGCTCAGTGGGAATGGGCTGGTTCCACTCAGAGAGGCCCTTCCCGGGTTCCAGCGTCCTCCCCTTCCCCCTGCTCATGGCATCCCCCACACTCACGGTAGGAAGACCCTGCACTGGGTGGGATTGTGACTGTGAATGAGGCCTCCTGTACAGGGCCTGAGCTGCCCACCACGCGGCACACGTACTCGCCAGAGTCAGCAGGGGAGACGTGGTGAAGCCGCAGCTGGGAGCCATGGGTCTGTCGGAGGGAGGAGGGGAAGTCATCAGGTCAGAGTGCTTGAGACAGGGCAAGTCCCCAAGTGAGGCTGTGCTAGTACTTGGCTTTTTGGGGGGTCTCGGGAACTTGGGCTCCAGCTGGTGGGGCTAGAGGGAGCTCCAGTCACAGAATATTAGAAGTCCAACCCGCTTCTTTATAGAAGAGTAAACCAGTGATTTGACAGCAGATCTTGGAGGGAAAAGCACAGGTCTCTTAGCAACAAGCCTAAGGAGCTCTCTCTGATAGGTGACTTGTCCCTGTGTCCTGGAGCAGGCTGGAATTTGCATGAGGCTTGCGAGAAGTTTGAAACTACAGGGGGGACCTTGCCTGTCCTGGGCTTTTCCCCACCTGGGCCCTATACCTGATGCCTGGCGGGCAGGCTGCCTCCACGCTTGTGCCATGTGACCTGGGCGTGGGCCTGTCCTGGCACCACGCAATTCAGATCCAGCGTCTGCCCCTCAGCCACATGGGAGGAGGAGGCCTCAATGTAGATGGGCCGGGCCAGTCCTGGGGCTGTGGGCACAGAGGTGGGGAAGAGGCAAGGCTCCTGAGGTGGTGCTCAAGGCCAGCAGTCCTCTTGCAGGTGAATGACATGGTTGGGCTACATTGACTTAAGGTCTCTCCTCCCTGGGACTGAGATGTGCTAAGACCTAGGGCAGAGCTCTCCTGGTTGAGGAAAGGGCTAGATGACTATCAGGGTCCAGGGATCAGGGACCCAGACTCAGCTGATTGGAGGCTGACCAGTGGTGTCTGGGACAAAACTCAAGTGGGGTTGGTCCTTTGCCACAGAAAACCCCACTCCCAGGCAATAAGAACCTGCCCAGAGAGCAGGGAGCAGCAAGGTCAGGGAGGACCCCAAGATCTGGCCTTGCCTACAATCCCTTGCCACTCACCAGGAATGGGGCCTGGGCTGGAGGCCTCAATTGTGACCAGGACAGAAGCCTCCAGGGTGCCTGAGCTGCCAGTCACTTGGCATGAATACTCGCCGGAGTCAGGCGGGGACACATGGTTCAGCCTCAGCAGGGGGCCGTGGACCTGCAGGGTAGAGAGCGTGTGAGGAGGGAAGGCTGGAAGATGCTCCCACCTGTGGCACCCGTGGCCCCGGTGGCGGGTAGGCACATGCTATCCAGGCCTCTCTCAGGCCTTAGACAACATGGAGTATAGGTTTGTTACATTCCTTCTGAGAGGAGGAAGTCAAGGTCTTAAGGAAACGCTGTTCTCCATTTTGCACCAAGGTGCTGTGTGGTGGTGGTGGCCCTGCCATGCCCGGTGTGCTTACCACTCCAGTGATGTGCTATGACATGACAACCCCCCACTTTCTAGGGCCACCCTCTATTCAGGGTTGGGTTTGGGAGGGACTGCTGGGCTGGGAAAGGAGGATGCATCTGCCTTTTCCAGGCCCTGTACCTGGTGATGGGCGGGGAGGCTGCCCCCACGCTTGTGCCATGTGACCTGGGCATGGGCCTGCCCGGGTACCACACAGTTCAGATCCAGTGTCTGCCCTTCGGCCACTCGAGAAGAAGAGGTCTCAATGCGGATGGGTGGGGCTCCACCTGGGAGTAGGTCACAGCAAGGGTCAGTGGGCTGGGCCCCCCACCCAGTACGTCAGCCCCTCTCCTAGGTGCCCTGATGTGCAGACCAGAGGCCACTGGGGAGCGGCTTCTCTCCTTCCCATTCAGGCCTGGAGTGCTGGGCCACCTGTGGATGGAGGGTCCTGAGCCCTGGTCCCCGGGGTGCTGGGAGCTGCCTGGGAACATAGGTCACTAACACTTCCCAAATTTCAGTATGGATTTGCTAAGAATCCAGACTGCCCAGGTTCAAATCCTAGGTATGCTATTTATTGGTTGCATAATCGTCAGAAAGCTACTTTCTGGGTCTCAGTTTCCCCATCTGTAAAAGGGAGAGAATAATTATCCTACCTGCAAGGGCTCTGGGAGGATGAAAAGAGTTAACGTGTAACTAGAATAGGGAGCCCCTGGGGAGTTGTTAACTCTGTAATCCGTGCTCTATCATGATGCATGCCACAGCGTGGGGCCCCCAGGGCTGTAATTCCTGCATGTTTTCCTTTTAATTGATCCACTTCAGAAAACCCTAAGTACATAGCCCCATCACAGCAATGACTTTCGTGACATCATGACAGGTTTGATAACATATGTTTGGTCCTAATATACTGCTATGACCAATGAGGAGGTAATATTGAGACACACTGTAACACACCAGAGGTTCATGTCTAGGCTCTAAGGAACTAGAGGAATTGTCTATAGTTAGACAACAGAGGGGAAGCACTTACAGTGACACATGGAGAGGCAAAGTCCCCTGTGCAACATCTCAGAGTAGGGACAGGGAAGCTGGGACTCAAGTCCACAGATACCAGACTCTCAGGCCTGTGAGAGGGACAGGAACTACCCCACAGGGTCTGACCCCTCCACCCTGGGATAGCAAGAGTGGGTGGGAGGCAGGCTAGGATCAAAGGGGTCACTGTCTCCAGGTACCAAAAAACACTTCCTTCTCTTCCTCTTTCAACTTCCCAGCTCCATGCAGGGACCCTCACCAGGTACATGTACAGCACTGGAGCCAGAAGCCTCGATGGTGACCAGGACTGAAGCCTCCAGGGGGCCAGAACTGCCGAGCACGCGGCATACATATTCACCTGAGTCAGCTGGGGACACCCGGTACAACCGTAGCCTTGAGCCGTGGGCCTAAGCATGGGCAGGACACAGAGATAGAAGAGCAGTGTAAGATGCAAACCAGGAGCCCTTGAAGGCTTGGGGCCAGGGTCTAACCTCTGACCCAGGTGGGCACAGCTCCCCTCTGGGGGTCCCAGGCCTCCTTCCTGGGCAGAGCTACCCAGAGCCCCTGGTGGCAGCCCTCACATCTCCTGCCCACCCCATACCTGATGGTGAGTGGGCAGGCTACCCCCACGCTTGTGCCATGTGACCTGGGCATGGGCCTGCCCAGGGACCACGCAGTTCAGATCCAGGGTCTGCCCTTCAGCCACGTGTGAAGATGATGACTCGATTCTGATAGGCACAGCTCCGACAGGGGCTGGGGACACAGGAGCAGGTCACAGTTTGGCCATAGTCAGATTTGGGAATGGAGTTGTGGGATCCTCACCATGGTAAATCCAATGTCCCGGGGATAGTCCTGGTGGACACTTATTAAGCACTGAGAGTATGCCAGGTACTGTTCTGAGTGCCTTAGGAGTACAAAGACATTTGACCTTCACAAATTCATACACTTCGTATGGTGATGAAAACGTCCCTTTCTCTGCACCATGCAAGACAGTGCCACTTAGCACATGAGCTCTTGAGCTCTCGAACACTTGAAAGGTTAGAGATGGAATTTTAAGCCTTACTTAATTTAAATTGCCAGGCATAGCTAGTGGACACCGTATTAGTGAAGGTAGGTGAGGTGGGAATGATCAGTGCCTCCGTTTTATTGACAAGAAGACTGAGCTCAGGAGAGAAGAGTCACTTCTCATTCTCTTACTGGCACAGGCAGGATTTGAACTCAGGCACACTTTGCAGAGCCCTCTCCCTGACTCCCAGAAAGGTCTGAGGGCTCTAACCCAAGGGCTCCTTCGCCCAGAGGACGCCGTAACCTGTGTCCCCATTGCTTTCCTGGAACAAGGTCAGACTCACTGGAGGGGTTGCTGGAGCTGGGAGAGACAGAGACCACGATGGAGGCCTCCTGGGCATCGATGTTGTTATTGGCCCGGCACACGTACTCCCCCGAGTCAGCCACAGACATCTGGTGTAGCCGCAGGCGGGAGCCATGGGTCTGAGGGCAAATGAGGAGGGACAGGGAGTGAGAGAGGTGGGTGGCTGGCTCAGGCCTCCCTTGTCAGGCCTGTGGAGGCTGCCTTCTGTCGGCCAAAGGCCCAGTCTGCTGGGGTGTCCAGGGCATGAGGAGGAGCCTAGGACCGCCCCTGTGTTGCCCATTCTGGGAGGCCAGGGGTTCACCCCACCACCATGCTCTACTCAGTACCTGGTGTCTGGAAGGAAGGCTGCCCCCACGCTTGTACCACGTGATGGTAGCCTGGGTCTGTCCAGCAACCACACAGTTCAGATCCAAGGTTTGTCCTTCCACCACTGTGGGGGATGATGACTCAATCTTGATTGGTGGGGAGACACTGGGCACTGGGGACAGAGGGGGAGGGACAATACAGCCAAAGTTAGACAACAGTGATGGTGTGGGGAACCTTGGTCTCCCCCTGCACCCACTTGTCTTATCCCTTGCCCTCCTCACTCTCACCATGGGAGGAGCCACTGCCCTGGATGGTGACAATGAGTGAAGTCTCCTGGGAACCGGCACCGTTACTGACATGACACACGTACTCGCCGGAGTCTGCTGGAGTCACCTGAGGGATCCTCAGCCGGGAGCCCACAATCTGGAGGAAGCAGGTGGCAGTGTGTGTGGGGGGGTGGCACCTCCATCTTGGGAGCCTTGCCCCTTAGCTGGTGTTGGGTGCCCCTGGTGGGCTCAGTGCTTTCTTGAGACTTGGTGTGGCACATGGCCTGCCTCTGGGCCCGCTTAGATGGAGCCTCGAGTCTATTCCCACATGCCACCCCTCCAGACCACTGCTGACCCCCCCCACCCTGCACTGTGTCCCTGCTGTCACACTGTGTCATCGTTTAGCATATTTACCATCCTTTAGACCACAAGCTGCCTGAGAAAAGACACCTGTCTTACTTCACTAGGACAGCAGTGCCAGACACAGGATACAGCCTGTGCAGCTTCTCAGGGATAATTAGTAGGTACGTGGACCCAGCTGAGATCAGCAGGATGTATCTGTGTCCTCAGTGCCAGTCCAAGACTATCTAGCAAGGATGCTGTTGCTTGTCGAATGACTGAATGAGGACAGAGCGAGGTACTGAGCATCTCCCTGGACTTCCTGCCAGTGCCAGTGCCCTCCGTACCTGATGCCGGCTCGGTAAGCTGCCTCCACGCTTATACCAGGTGATGGTATGGGGGGCGTGGCTGGCAACCAGGCAGTTGAGGTCCAGGGTGTGCCCATTGGCCAGTGAGGCTGAGGAAGACTCAATACGGACAGGATACACCACACTCTGGGCTGGGGGGTAAGACAGAAGGCAGGGCATGGGTGCTGCTGAAGATGGCGCTGGCCCCTAGCAGCACCCCCAACATTTCCATGATCCCTGAGAGACTCACTGTGTGTGGGACTGAGGCGCTGCTGGATTTTGACGAGGACCGAGGCTTCCTGGGTGCCTGAGCCACTGGCCACACGGCACACATATTCCCCGGAGTCAGCTGGAGTCACCTGGGGCAGCCGCAGCCTTGACCCATGCACCTGGGAGAGGCAGGATGGAGGTGGCAGTTTCAGAGCTGGGTACCGGGGTTCACAGCCAGGCTCCTGCTCCCTCCCTGGTCCTGTCTGGCCCAGCCAGCTCTTCCAGGGAGAAACTCCATTTATAACCCTTCAATCTTCCTGCCCCAGAGTTGGGACAGTACTGAACCTGCCACCTGACCCATGCCAGGCACTGCTGAGACCTGGCACTAGCATTTGCTGACATGCTACAGGATAGATGAAGTAGGCAGTATGAGTCCATTTGACAGACAACATTAAAGATCAGAGAAGTGAAGTGACAGGCCTAAGGTCACACAGCAGGCAAGTGGCAGAGAAGTGCCTGAATTCAAAGTCTATGCTCTGCATTCTGCAGTTATGAGGGTCCTTCAGGCCTCTCCTTCATTCTCCACCTCCTACCTGGTGCTGGGCGGGAAGGCTGCCCCCACGCTTGTGCCATGTGACCTGGGCATGAGCCTGTCCGTAAACAAGGCAGTTCAGATCCAGGGTCTGCCCTTCAGCCACATGAGAGGAAGATGACTCTATCCGGACTGGAGGGGTGACACCAAGTGCTGGCAACAAAGGACAGAGGGTCAGCCTGGACTGAAGGTGGGTGTGAGTGGGGACAGGGGACACTGTTCTCATGGGAAGTGCAGACTGTGGCCTTCTGGTCCTGCCATGGCTGGAGTGGGGAGCTTTCCCGGGGTGATCCAGCCTTGCCTGCTCCCCCCCCCCCCCCCCGCCACCAATCCTGTGCTACTCACCAGGCACAGAGCCTGCAGGCACAATGGTGACCAGGACAGAAGTCTCCAGAGGCCCGGAGCTGCCCTCCACCCGGCACACATACTCGCCCGAGTCAGCAGGGGACACCTGGTGTAGCCTTAGCAGGGAGCCGTGGGTCTGGCCAGAAGGATAGTGAGGTCAGAGGGAGCTCTCCCAAGACCCAGTGCCTGAACCTGCAACTGGCTGCACTCAGCAATCCGGGGCCTGGCTGTCAGCTTGGGATTGCTTTCCCTGTCCTGCTCAGCAGTAGGAAAGGGGGTCTTGTTCCAAGAGTGGGGGTGGCATAGAAGGGGCCCTGAGAACCACACTGCGCCAATGTGGGGCACACACTCTAAGGTCTGAAATCAAGGTGCACCTCCAATGGCTACTCAGTCAGTTATAAGTGGACGCATTTTCCCCTTAGGTGCAGGAAATCAACTGTGCAGCCAGCAACTGGCAGGCTCCTAAATTCTACAAAACACAGCATGACAGAGATGTACTATGACACCAGTAACATCTCCTAGCACTGCCTACGAGCCTCAGTTCCGGGTAGTATTACCTTTTATTTTTTGGCAATATTCGGGATTGAACTCAGGGCCTTATGATTGCTAAGCAAGCACTCTTCCACTTGAGCCATACCCCACTACTGTAGATATATTATTTAACTTTATAGGTAGGGACTGCTATTATCATTTTATAGATGCAGAAACTAGGCACAAGTAATTTGCCTGAGGTCACAAGCTACTGAGTGGAAATAGGGATTTCCACCTAGGCTGGTCAGGCCAAAGTCTTGGGTTCTAACCCTGCTCTGTGCACCATCCAGTGGGGTCTAAGGCCTCCCTTTCTCAGAGGAGCCTTCAGCCCTCCCCACCACCTGGGGATCCCCCATTCTTCTTGGATCCTCCATCTTCCTACCCCATACCTGGTGCCGGGCAGGCAGGCTGCCCCCGCGTTTGTGCCACGTGACCTGGGAATGGGCTTGTCCTGGCACCACACAGTTCAGATCCAGGGTCTGCCCCTCAGCCACATGGGAGGAAGAGGACTCGATGCGGATGGGTTGGGTGCCACCAGGGGCTACAGGATAGAAAGTCACGGTCATCCAGTTCTCTAAAGCCACCCCAACCTCTACTCCTCCATCCAGACCCAGCCTGGTGCCCCACTCACGGTAGACGAAGTTGGCTCCCTGGGTGCTGGTCACTGTGACTGTGATGGAGGCCTCCAGGCCGTTGCTGGCTCTACAGACATATTCTCCTGCGTCCACTGGGGAGGCTTGGAAGATGTACAGGCGGGGGCCTCGGACCTGGGCAGCCATGGGAAGGACATAAGAGAGTCTCCCAGAGTCTGACCCCTAGCTGGGAGCTGGTACCCCCACAACCCTCCACTCACGGCCCCTCCCACATTCCAGGTGCCCCAGTACCTGGTGCCGGGCGGGAAGGCTACCTCCACGTTTGTACCACGTGACCTGTGGGTGGGCCTGTCTTGCCACCACACAATTGAGATCCAGGGTCTGCCCCTCGGCCACTGTGGAGGATGAAGACTCGATTCTGACAGGTGGGATGGGTCCTGGGGCTGTGGGGACAATGAGGAGGGTAGTGGATGCTCCCAGAAGAGGACACCTGAGACTGGCTCAGACTCGAGATCTGACGCCAGACCTGTGTCTTGGGAAGAGGGTGGGAGAGCAGGGCTTTTTGATTTGAAGCCCTCACTCAGCTCAGTAACTGGAGGAGGACCAGGGTGGGGGCGGAGCCTGGTGGCAGGAAGTAAGAAATGAGAGTGAGGTAGTAAGGCCTGGAGAGAGAGTGGAGAGTGGACGAGGAGGCAGAAGCAGAAACCGGGGAGCACCATGACCAATGACAATGTGGTGAGGAGATGGCAGGTCACTTGGACAAGCGATCTGTTTGGACAGGACCCTGTGGCCAGTGCCAGGGTAGCCTCCTAACCTCAGCAGACAGCAGAAGTCATTTGTGCCTTAGCCTGGAAGGCTCTAGGCGTCCTCCAGCTTTCCACGTCACTGGGGGCCACTCACCAGGAATGGAGTCCGAGGGCTCAATAGTGACCAGGACAGAGGTCTCCATGTGCTCTGAGCCAAGGACCACATGGCACACGTACTCGCCCGAGTCGGCAGGGGACACCTGGTGCAGTCGCAGTAGGGAGCCATGGGTCTGTGCACAAACAGGTTGGGGGCAGTTAGCAGAGGGCTGGAAGAATCCCCACCCAATCCCTCCAGCAGACTGGTGGCTCTGGGGGCTGTTGTACCTGGTGCCGGGCAGGGAGGCTGCCCCCACGCTTGCGCCATGTCACCTGGGCCTGTCCGGGCACCACACAATTCAGATCCAGGGTCTGCCCCTCGGCCACATTGGAAGAGGAGGACTCAATGCGGATGGGCTGGGTGCTGCCAGTGGCTGGGCACAAAGGGACTGGTCAGAGGCCTGGGCTTGAGACTCACCTGTAGCCTTGGGCAGAGGGCCATGGGTGCCTTCAAGGGCAACCATGCCCTAGCTGGGGAGAGCTGGTGTGAGGTCTTTCTGGACTATAACACACACCTCTGCCTCCACATGGCCAGCTGAGTGAGCCTCCTTCTGTCCCCACCCCTCACTCAGGACTCCAGGCCGATCTGCCCATTGCGCCCTATTGGTGACAAGATGTAGGAAGCCCGAGCCCTTCCTTGTCAGTTTTCAGCACTTTCTATGGGCCCTGGCTTATCTGACCATATCATCATATAGCAGGTATTTAAATCACACACAAGTGTAGATAATCTACAAATGGTGTAGTCTTTCTTTTAGAGATGAGGAAACTGAGGTCCTAAAAGGTAAAGGAACTATTCTGATCAAGGGCAGAGTTGGGATTTGAACCCTGGTCAGCCTAACTCCCAGCTCAGTGTTCAACCCTGTAAATGCTGTTTGCTGACAAATTCTGAAATGGAGCAAGCTGGACCCACATTATCCCAGCCCATGGCTTCCTGAGCCAGCAGTGAAGGGACATAACCTGTCGGGGATGCCCCTCTGTCCTGATGCTACTGAAGAGATCACAGGCATCTTTCCCTGAAATGGGGAGAGCCCAGGGCTCGGCCCTGGCCTGGCTGCACCTGGCTCCTCACCTGGGGTGTGGCTGGGGCTAGAGTGGGAGCTGTGGAGGACAGAGACAATGATGGAAGCCTCCTTGGGACCCGAGTCACTCTCCACTCGACACACATATTCTCCAGAATCAGCTGGGGAGGCCTGGGGGAGCCGCAGCAGGGAGCCGTGGACCTGGGGGCAGGGGCCAAAGTATGTGAAGATGAGGACGGGCTGTAGTCTGCTCCCTTTGGGCACTGGTGATTCAGTCATCAAACTCCCAGGCTCTGTCTGAGCCACATGTGCTGGGAGCTGGGGGGAAGGGAATCAGTCCTGGCTGTCTGCTGGGAGTGCCCCCATGTGTACAGTCCACCCCCGGACAGAGCCCCTGCCCCCCAGGTCCCTGCCACAGGCTGAGGACCCTCCTACCTGGGCATGGGGAGGCAGGCTTCCCCCTCTCTTGTACCATGTGATCTGGGTGTGGGCCAACCCTGTCACTGCACAGTTGAGATCGAGTGTCTGTCCTTCAGTCACTGATGGCGAGGAGGACTCAATTCGGACTGGCGGTGTGCTGGCACCTGAGGCTGTGGTCACAGGAGTATAAGCAGACCCCAGGGACCTGGGTTCATCCTTCCCACACCCTTGGCCCGGGAGGCCCTGTACCTGACAGGACAACCACTTGGATGCGCGCCTGGGCGGTGCCTGTGGGACTGGTGGCCACGCAGAGGTAGAAGCCAGCGTCAGCAGGTGTGATGGCCGGGATGAGCAGAGTGGCAATGTCTGTGCGCTCCGATCGGGCCTGCCACATGGCAAGAAGGCTCAGCCACCCAACAGGCAGATTGCCAGGACAAATTAGGGTGGGAGGTGGGAGGGTGGGAGGAGAGGGCAAACAGGGAAGGGGCAGGGACAGATCCAGGCCAGTGAGGCCCCAAGAACCACAGAACCAGGCAGTGAAGAGGCAGATTGGGTGACCCCTGAAGTCAGGGCCAGAGAGGAGAGGGAGTGGAGGGCCAGCGGGCAGGTGCTGGGCTCTGCTGAGCCTGGGAGCTCACCTGTGGGGGCAGGCTGCCTCCTTCCTTCCTCCATGTGATGCTGGCACCAGGCACGCCTGCGGCCCTGCAGTACAGCCTGACTGTGCGCCCCTCATGCACCTGTGTCCTCTCAGGGCTCACCTGGACCCTGGGTCCATTGCCCCCTGTAAACAGAGCCCCATGAGATACCTCACTGGGCTAACCGCAGGCTCCAGCCCCTGCCCTAGGCCCCAACCTAGCCTGGTTCTCTCACCATGCACCTGCAGCAAGGCCCTGGCCACGTGCTGTCCAGCACTGCTGTGGGCTCTGCACAGGTACTGGCCCTGATCCGAGGGCTCAACAGCTGGCAGGCGCAGGATGCCCCCGTGGATCTGAGCCTTCTGAGGGAGCTGGCCGCCAGGGCCCCCTGGCGTGGAGACATGAGTTTAGTACCACTGGGTTGGCCCTGTTCTTAGCCCCATATACTATTTCTGCCCCTGCCCTCCAGATCCAGAAGAGCTGGGCCCTGAATGTCACTGCAGTCCTGGTCTCACCTGTCCACTCAAGGGTGGGAGAGGGGTTCCCTGTGGCACTGCAGCGGAACTCAGCCAGTTGCCCAGGCTGCACTGTGAGCTGTGGTGGGTGGATGGAGACCACAGGAGCAGTCAAGGTACCCGAGGCTGGTGAGGGAGGAGAAAGGAGATATAGTCAGGGTAAGGAGCTGTCTGCCCCACGGAAACGGCCTCCTCACCACTCTAGCCTTGCACGGTCATCTGTCCATGCAGGAGCCAGAGGGAGCTTTTAAATCATCATGGGACCTCGCTACTTCTCTCCTTAACACTGCACATGCTCCCTATTGCTTTTTTTCTTTTTTTTTGAAGGCAGCAGAGAAAGGAGGTTTATGACACGGCTCGGGACATGCGTGGGAAGAGGCAGAGTGAGCACTCAGCCCGTCTTCAGCCATCTTTGAGATATAGACATGAGCTACAGGTTTAAGTAGACAAAGAACTGGGGGCAGGGGACAAAGGTGTGCACACAGTCCAGTCACAGGTGTGCTCTGGCTGACCATTATATTACTTTCTTTCTTTCTTTCTTTTTGTGGTACTGGGGATTGAACTCAGGGCCTCATGCATGTGAGGCAAACACTAAACCACTGAGCTCCAGCCCTCCCTATTGCTTTCTAATAAAATGCAAACTCTCTGCTCTGACCAATGACATACCAGGTGCTCACTTTTGCTTGTACCTTTAAGTTCTCACCTACCCTGTCTCCTGCAGCTCCAGCCAGGTTGGCCTTGTTGCCCCTCAAACACATCAGTATACTTTCCTCAGGGCCTTTGCACGAGCAGCCTCTTCTGCTGAGAATGTATGCACCTTTCTGACTGGCTCAACCCCATCTTCTCCTTCAGGTCCCAGCTTGGATTCATTCCTCAGAGAAGCCCTTCCTGACCAGCCCATCCACAGGACCTGTGTTTGTTCCTCTCACTTTTTTTTTTTTTGCGGTACTGGGGTTTGAACTCGGGGGCTCACACTTGCTAGGCAGGTGCTCTACCACTTGAGTCAGGCCTCCAACCCTGGTCTAGAACTTCTGATCTTTCAGCCTCAACTTCCCAGTTGCTGGGATTATAGGTATGACCCTCCCCCGTACTTCCTGCTTTTTCCTCCCTCTGGCTCTTCCCACCCCAGCACACATCACCATGTGCAAGTATCTTGTTTGCTCATTTGTTCCTTTGCTATGGTCTCCTCAACTAGGACATATACTTCAGGAGGGTCGAGACCCTGTTTGTCCTACGTCCCTGCTTCTTCAGAGCTCGGACCAGGACTTGGCACATGTGGTGCTCAGAACTGACCTGTTGCCTTACAAGTGGTGCACAGTCGTGGTGGGCAGAGGAGGGTCAGGTGTAGCAGTGAGGCATACCTTGCACATGCAGTGTGGCTGTGCCCTGGTCCATGGCGAACATATTGGAGCCGGTGCACACGTAGGTGCCTGCATCACTCAGCTGCACATTGCGAATGGTCAGGATGCCGTTGAAGTCCATGGCTCTGGAGGGCAGCTTCCCATTGTGTAGGCGAGTCCACACCAGAGTGTAAGCTGGGGACTGCGGGGCAAGGGGATGAGCTGAGGAGCTGCGTGGGTGTAGAGACCCGGGAGACGGACTCCCCTAACCCTCCCTGCACGCCCACCTTGCTCTTGGCCGTGCAGATGAAGGTGACGTCAGCTCCGGGGCGTACACTCTGGCTCCGCTGTTCCTCCACTGTCACTGTGATGGGCTTGCTGGGGGCCTCTGTGGGATGGGAAGCCCCCCTTGAGTCGGGCTGACCAGGTCCCTGTCCTTTGGCCAGTTTCTTTCTCAGTCACTAACTGTGGACACCTCTTCTCTTCCTGGTGCAGCTTAGATATGTGCCATTGTACCCTGGGTGCCTCCCACACCCATCCTGGCTGGAACGCAACACCCGTGTCCTTCCTGCTGGTGCCAGTCAGCACATGCCATGCCTGGTATGGCTGGAGAACAGCACCCCATGCACCCCACTCATAAGCCCACTGGCTCCAGTTCATGACCACAGGCCACAAATGAGCTCTTAACACTTCACACTTCACTGCAACTGGGTTCTCTGTCTGGTTCAAGTTTCTATCCTCCCAAACAAGTATTTGACACCTCCTCCCATCTCCCCCCAACTTCCCGCCCACCCTCCCACTTTCACAGCTCAGGGCTGTGTTTCATTGAGGAAACAGAAGCTACCAGCTGGGCATGTTTATATCCTCCCCCAGAGCTATCCGGCTTCCTCCTTTCTGGACCTGAAGTATGGGACCTTGCTCCTGCCCACCCCACTTCTGAGAGCCGATAGCCTCCAGAGGACTTTACTTTCTCTCCCTCAGAATCATTCTGAGGATCAATCTGCTCCACAGATCAATGTGTTCTGGAATTTTCTATTTCTGAAAACACCCCATGACCCTCTGCTCTTCCACCTACTGGCCCCATTGCTTAGTCTATCTCAAACCAAGACTCTTTTGAGACAGGGACTCACTAGGTAGCCCAGGCTGGCCTTGAACTTGTGATCCTCCTGCCTCAGCCTCCTTAGTGCTGGGATTACAAGCATGTACCACCACACTCAGCTCACTGCTAAGACTTTGTAGTTTTCTATAATCGCTGCCTTCCCACCCATTTTTGCCTCACTGCAATCTGGTTTCCACCTCCCACCCCTCAGTGACAATCAATCTTGTCAAAGACTGACTTCCAAAGTCATCTCTGTCTGTATCATAATTCCCGTGGCAGCTGGGGTTGACCTGCTCTCCCAGAAGCCCTTTTCCTTCTCACTTCCTGGATGCCCCCTCTCCCTGGCTTCCTCCCATCTCTCTGGCTGCTCCCTCCAGCTTTTCCTGCCCTTCCTCTTCAACTTGACACATGTTCTACTTAGAGCTCCCTGGAGCTCTGTCCTGGGCTCTGTCCTGCAGTTACACTACCCCTAAGCAGTTTTATACTGCATGGTAGCTTTAAACACCATTTTTATACCAGAAGCTCCCCAATCCGTTCTCTGGGGTGCATAACAAACCTTCTTTGGGATTCTCCCCAAACACCTCCAGCTTGTCGAAACCAAACCTGTGATTCTCTCTGACCTGTTAGCAGTATGGGCTGCTGGCTCCCCTCCATGTCCCTTCACCTATTCACAACAATGCCCCCTGCCTAACTTTTACCATCTGCTGGTTTCTTTGTACAAGGCATTTCTTGGGCCACTGGAGCCCATTGTGCATGCCCATAGGGTGAGACAGAAGTTCAGGGAAACTTCTTCAGGCTCCTGGGACAGGCCTCAGTCAATGATGACAAGGAGCCGGCACACACAGACCCCAGCTCCCTGCATGCAAGGTAGGGTGACTCTGAGGCTCCCAGTTTCCTTGGCCACACTAAGCAAAATCTGCTCACAGTGGTAATTTGCTGGACAATGCCCCTTTCTTAAATATACTGTCTTCCCTGGCTCACTTTCCCTCCTGGAACTTTCTCTTGGGGGGGGGGAGGGATTTGAACTCAGGACCTCCAACCACTTAAGCCCCACCTCCAGCCCTTTTTGCTTTCAGTCTTTTAGATAGGGTCATATGCTTTTCCCTGGGCCAGCCTTGGGCCCCAGTCTTCTTACCTCTGCCTCCTGAGTAGTGGGGATTACACTGGCTTGTGTTGAAATGGGGTCTCATTAACTTTTTGCCCAAGCTGTTCTTGAATTTGATCCTCCTGATCTCTATCTTGTGGGTAGCTGAGATAACATGTTAGCCACCATACCCACCCTCCACTCCCTGAGTTTCTTGCACACAAATCCTGTCTTAGACTCTGCTCTAGGGAGTCCAGATGAAGACATCTTCCAACTGAAGACTTCCTCATGTCAGTAAATAGCACTCTAGAACGCAGACCCCTGCCAGCCACCTTTTCTCTCACCTTCACTGACCATAATCGAGTCTTGCCAATTCTGCTTCCGGCAACCATCGTCCTCCCCCACAGCAGAAGAATGGGCCCTTGACCTGGAGCTATAGGGCAGTAGAGCCTTGGCCAGGCCATGGTGGGGACAGAGGAGCAGGGACTCACCGGTGACCAGCAGCTCTGCCCGGCTGGTGCTCGTATGGTGGTGGTTCCGGCAGGTGCAGATGTAGACACCAGCATCAGAGGGCTGGACACTGGGGAAGTGGAGCTCGGAGCCTGGTGGGCAGGGGAGGGTGGCTTGTCACTGCTAATGCTCCTTCTCTAGGCTCACATAGGGACAGGACCTGAGTAGGGCAGGGACAGGTCCACGCCTCTCCTCTTACTGGGTGACCATGGGGCCATGGGTACCTTGATGTCGCTGCTGGGTGCTGCTGGGCACGGGCCGTCCATCCTCTCGGGACCAGTAGAAGTAGTGCGGTGGGCTCCCACTGACCTGGCACCGCAGGGAGTGGGGGCCACCTTGGGGTACTACGCTCCGAGCAGGATGGACCTGCACCACCAGAGGGGCTTGATCTGCTGGGGTCGGGGGAGGAGAGGCCACTCAGGTGGGAGAGCCCCAGCAAACTGCAGTGCCTCAGTTATCTCTGTTCTCCAAAAGATGGGGAGCCCCACCCTCAGCCCTGTATCCCCAAACTCCCTAGGCTCCCCACCTCACCCATTTCCTTTATCCTGGGTCATGGCCCACTTACCCTGAGGCAGGCACCGGCCTCCTTGCACATTGGGGTTACCCACGTAACCTGGGGCGCACCTGTCAGGAAGAACAAGGACCAGCTCTGTCAAGCCACAGGAAGGCAGTTCCTTAACAGTAAACTTGGGGAACCAGAAGTTTGGCCAGCCGCCCACTGTAAGGTGAGGAGGCTCAGGTTCTGGAAGGGCTTTGGGGACCAAAAAGGCCCTAACACAAGGCCTCAGTAAGTTGAGAAAGAGGAGTGTACAGGAGCACTAGCAGGCTGGTTAATGAGGGAGGTATAAGGTTTGTTAGGGAGCTACTGTGTGCCAGGCACCATCCCAGGTGCTGGAAACACAACAGTGAACATGGCCAAGTCCCTGACCTTGTAGAAATCACTAGCTGGGAACCAGTATGGAAGCTCTAGGTACAACGAGAGTGAAGGAAGCTATTCAAGGCTGTGAAAACAGAGCTCTGAGATCATGGAGAGGATGGAGAGGATGGGACTTCTGAGCCGTTGTAGCCCCTCCAAGTAGTCCTTGCAGAGAAGCCATCATGGTTTATAAATATATATTCGCAAGATTATCTCTTCCCTGGATTGTCTGCTGTTACAGGAGGCAGACTCCAGAAGGGCTGAGACAGAATCTGTTTTGTTCACCAATTTATCCTCAATGCCTTAGCACACAGCATGGCACATAGTAGATGTGTAATAAAAATGTAAGCCGGGCATGGTGGCAGCACTTGAGAGGCTGAGGCAGGGGGATAGAGGTTCCAGGCCAGCCTGGGCTACATAGCAAGACTGTGTCTCAAAAGATGCAAAGCATGCCACATTTGGTGGCTCAAGCCTGTGATCGTAGCTTCTTGGTAGACAGATCACCAGTTGCAGGCCAGTCCAGGCAAAAAAATTCATGAGACCCCCATCTCAACAAATAGTTGAGTCTGGTGGTACATGCCTGTCATCCAGCTATGCAGAAATAGGAGGATCTCTACCCAGGCCAACTTAGGCAAAAATGTAAGACCCTATTAGGAAAATAACTAAAGCAAAAAGGGCTGGAGGCATGGCTCAAGTGGGAAAGTAACTAGCAAGCAGGAAGCCCTGAGTTCCAACCCCAGTACTGAAAGAAAAAAAAAAAAAAAAAAAAAGCAGGAGTTAACCAGGAAGTGGGCGGTGGGGGTTGGGGGGTAAAAAAATATTCCATGAAGTGCAACAGCACATGAGAGAGCTGAACATCGAGAATTCAAAAGTTCAGGGTTGGAGGTGTGGCTCAAGTGGTAGAGCCTGCCTAGTAAGGGCAAGACCCCAAGTTCAAACCCCAGTATGGCCAAAAAGAAAGGAAAATGTGGAACAGAATCGCCTAGTAAGGGCAAGGCCCTGAGTTCAAACCCCAGTATGGCCAAAAAGAAAAGAAAATGTGGAACAGAACTGAGAACGTTTTGTCCAACTAGGGTGGAGCACTGGGTGTCAGAAATGGGATGAGATATGCTGGCCGTAGCCAGTGTGAGTCTGGAGTTTGGGACAGGGAGGGGCATGGTCCTAGTAGACACTTTTGAGCACCAACACCCAGGGCTCTCACCTAGGAGTCAGTCCACCATTTGCCCAGCTCCCTTCCCCTCCCCTCTGTACTTACTGCTCACAGTACTGGCCAGCATAGCCGGGTTCACAGGCTGTGCAGCGGTACCCACTGGCTCCCAAGCTCTCACAAGTGCGGGAGAACCTGAGGGGTGAGGCAAAGGTGAGGCCACTGGAAGTCCACTCCCCACCCTGCTCCAAAATCCAAGGCAGTGCCCTCCACCCCCCACCAGGAATTCGTCCTTGGGCCTTGAGCAAGGACACCTACATGTTTTCTGGGTTGGTCAACGGGCAAGCACAGGGCTGGCAGTCCTCAGGTGTCCCGGCAGTGGCATCGCCATAGTAGCCAGGTGCACACAGTTCACAGAACTCACCAGCAGTATTGTGCTGGCATTGCTGCAGGGCACAAGAGTGTCAGATAAGAGTCACCAGGAAAGATTTACTAAATGCCTTTCAATTTGGCAATCCCTTGATCTAGAAATTCAGTCCATTAACTTTTTTTTTTGTGTGTGGTTCTGGGGTTTGAACACAGGCCTCATGCTTCCTAGGCATAGGAACCTCCAGCCCTTTTTGCTTTAGGTTTTTTTCAGATAGCGTCCTGCATTTTTGCCAGGGGCTGGCCTCAGACAGTGATCCTCCTACCTGTGCCTCCCATGTAGCTGGGGTGACAGGTGTGAGCTACCATGCTTGGGTTATTGACTGAGATGTGGGTCTTGCTAATTTTTTTGCCACGGCTGGCCTCCAATCATGAGTAGTTGGGATTACAGGTAGGAGCCACTATGCCTGGCATTTGTGAACTTGTAGAAACAATCATGGAAGGTTACAGAGGCTTAGTTAAAAGGATATTCATCTTAGTGGTGTTGAAATAAAACTGAACATCCATAAATAAGGGAACACGATAAATTAATAGTAACACACCCAACTAGCTCTCAAAAAGGATGATGATGATTTTGTTTCTTATACTTTTCTATCCAAAAACTTGTAACATCAAAGGCTACTTGGAGACAGAGCTTGGAAAATACATGCTTTGTTAGCAAAATGTGTCTGGGTCATAATTCTGCACTAACACAGTACACTTAGCTTGTGGCTCTGCCAACCACCTGTGTTCTGGCCATCTGTGTTGCAGTGCTATACACACCGCTCTGGAAAGTCCTGGTACACACAGCATGTAAGGACAGGGAAAAATGATAGTGATCAGTTAAGAAAACAAAGTCAATGACTAACCACGAGGATCCTGTGTTTATTTGTAAAATGAAAAGTGTATGAAAAAGCACAAACATTTACACAAGGCCCTAGGTTTGATGAAGGAGGAGGAACATAAATATTTGTCCAGAAGAGCAGAAGAGTTCCTCACTCTGAGGTTGACAGCGAACCCTACAGTGGTAGGATGATGGAGGATTTTAACTTTCCTTTCGGCTTATCCCTATGGTCTGAGGGGCACAGCCCAGTGGTAGAACACTATCACTAGCATGCATGAGGACCTGGGTTCAATCCCAGCAACACACACATACACACAATTACCCCCCAAAAAAAGCAATAAAAAAATCTGTTTTCCAACTCTCCATAGACAGCATGTGCCACTTTGGTGACAAGAAATTGTAAGAGCCAAACAAAGCTTTCTTTACAAAGAAGGATAATGTCATTCCATAGCTCTGGTCTCCCCTAAGTAACCCGATCTGCTGTCCCAGGTGCTGTACCCCGTAACCTTGCCTCTGAACTTAGGCCTGCCTTACCACGTATCCCCTCACCACCCCATACTTGGCCCTGCTTGCAACTCACCGAGCAGGCCCCGGTCTCCGGGTGGCACAGGTCTGAGTGACCATTGCATTCACATAGCTCACAGTGGCCGAGGTAGAGCCCGCTCCCAGTGCGCGTGTAGCCAGGGGCGCAGTCCTGGGGGATAGAGGGGGTTGGTTTCCTTCCCAACAGCGTCCCACCCAGGCCGGCAGACCCAGGCCTCTTCTCCTTCCTGCTCCCTTCCGTGTCTACACTGCTCCCTCTGGCTTTGGAGACGACATCCTGGGCCCAGCCTTCACCCTGTATCCCTTTTCAATAGCTCTCCGCCCCTATTTTCATCTTTGCTCTCTTGCCACTCCAGAGAGGGGGTGGTTCTGCCCCATCCTGCCTGGTACCCCCAGCCAGCCCAAACACAGTGAAACAGTTTATTTATATATATATTTTTTCGGTGAGACTTGAGTTTGAACTCAGGGCTTTGCAATCGCAAAGCAGGTGCTCTACAGCCTGAGTTACACCTCTAATCCATTTTGCTTTAGTTATTTTGGAGATGAGGCCTCATGAACTATTTGCCCTGGCTGGCCTCCAACTGCAATCCTCCTGATCTCAGTCTCCCAAGTAGCTAGGATTACAGGCGGGAGCCACTAGCACCCAGCTCAGTAGTTTATCCTTAACAGGGATCCTTTCCCCATCCAGGGCTTTGTTCCTAGAGGTTCTTCTGGTAGGGAAGGTGTTTATTGAAAAACTTCACAGCCAAATGGAAAAGTTGACTGAGGAGACCTAGGTGGGGAAGGAGCCCTTGTAGACCCTCATATCTGTGCTCACTCAACAGTGAAAGAGGCTGTGCACGGCCCCAAGGGTGTTTTTCCCACACTGAAGACAAGCGATCACAGGTCACAAATGACTGTCCATTGATCCTTCTGTGAAACCTCCTGGGCCTCCCCACACTTCAAAGGGAAGCTTATGAAGCTCTTCTGCTCTGCTGCAGAAATGTACACGTGACTGTGTTTCTCTCGGAATCCCTCCTGCCAAATGTGGCAAACTCGGTAACTTCAAAGAACACCAAGTTCTACATTTGAATTTGAAAATGGTTCTGGTGACAGAAAGGTGCACAGGTGTGAAACTGCAGAGATGTGCATTTCCCACAGCAGAAGCCTGAAGTGGGGGGGCCTTGCTGTGCCTATGCTTGACCCCTCTGAAACCCACCTGGCATTTTAGCCCTACCCTCTACAGTGGTTTCTCCTTCTTGATCAGTATTTATTCATCAAACTGGGTGATGAATTCATCACCACAATCAGGGTGAACTCCTCCCCTCCTAAAGCTCACAGCTCCAGCCAAACTCTACAAAAGCTCTTAGGTGCTGTCAGAGTGGCCTGGCCACCCTCTGTTCCACCCGGCTGCCTCCCTCCACACAGGCTCTGCACTTCCATCTCTTTTCCTGCCCCATCTCACTGACGCCTAGCAGATGAATTTTCCTGGGCTAAGCTCTGATTGTGGGACTCCCTTAGCAGGGAGGTCTTCCCTACCCTAGGCCTTTTCTAGACCCACTGGACTCCAGGCCTTGCTGGCTTTCCAGGGGTGATCCCATTGCAGGCGAGTCTCCACACATTCCTCCTTCTGAGCTGATCTTCCCTCCTGCCTGCAGCGCTACCTGCTCCTGTTCTTCACCTTGGCGGAGTTCTCCTGCTCAGCTCTGGGCTGGAGTTGGCTGTGTTTGTGTGGGTCTCCCTGTCTCCAGCGGGCACCCCAAGGACACAGGCTGGGTCCTGGCCTCTGAAGACAGAGGCCCAGGCTTGATGCAGTATGGCCCAGTGGCGAGGACACACTGGGCTTTGGAGTTCATCAGACTTGGGTCCAAATTAGTTTGGGCTGCGTCTTTGGGTGAGCCGCTCCTTGCTACTTGCCTCCCTTTTATCGGGGAAAGAAGATAACTACAGGTGTCTCAGGGCTTCTGAGAGGATAACTGTGATGAGTAACAGGAGTACAGGGGTCATCCAGCTCTGACAGCAATCACGGGCCATGACAATGCCTTCGGGTTAGCTTGCTGCTACTTGCGGTCACATGTCACACACTCACCTGGCAGGACAAACCAACATAGCCTGGGGGGCAGCGGCATTCCTCCACCTCGAATGCCTGGGGTCCATGGGAGGGCCCTGGCTGGGCAACTTCCAGGCTGACAGCACTGATGCTGGCTGCCCTTGGCACTGAGGAGAATGTGGCCCGGACCAGGAACTCATCCAGGTCAGCCAGCGCCATAAGCAGGTGCTCTCGGGTGGCCGGCTGCCCGTCGGGCCGGTGCCAGAATTCCTATGTGGGGGAATGGCAAGAATGGTTGGGGCACTGTACTCTGTATGCAGCTCCTGCAGCCTCCAACTCCTCCACCTTCTAGCACTGACCAAGGGCTGCGAGAGGAGGACAGGGTGGGAGAGGTAGGGGGAGTAGCATGAAAGCCAGGCTCCGGGTCAGGGTAGAGGGTGGGCAGGGTCAGACACGCATGGGCCCTCACCTCTCGGAAGATGATCTCATAGTTCTTCCTCTCACGGCCCTGTGGTGCTGGCTGGGATGCCACCAGCATGATATTGTTGCCCTGGAGAGAAACCAGTGGGATTGGGAGGGGAGTTGAGGAGTTCTTAGGGGGCAGGGGGTCTCCACCGGTCTTAGGCTTTCTGAACCACTCAGCTTCCCATCTCTCTTCTCTCCCAAGCTCGTGTCTCCATAGGAGTCAGGCGCCTGGTCACTGCCCCCTACACCCAGCTGCAGGGCCTCAGACTGGGTAGTGTCCATCCAAACAGCAAGAGGCCTGTGTCAGGTTGGCTGTGTGCTGGACTTAAGGGATAGACCCAGTAAAACAGCATTACTTCCATCTTCCCTTCTGCCTGCCTGCCACAGAGTCCAAGTGCTCACCGTGATCTGAACCTCAGGGTCCAAGAGCGGGCTACCCTGTGGCCCCGTCATGTAGGACAGGGTGTAGCGAAGCTTCCCACCATAAGCTGCCACCTGCAGAAAGGGAAGTGTGTGGTCACAGGCTGCCTCTGCCCTCCTCTGGAGGCAGTGGGTTGCGGGGGGAAGGGAGGGGGCATACAGGTGAGGGGTGGAGCCTTTCAAGGCCTTTCAGCACCTGTGTCACACCCTCTCCCCCAAGAAGCCAGTGCTTGGCTTGTGGTTGCCTGGGAAACAGTTCCTATCTCAGTCCCTTCCCAGCCTCACACATGGTGGCAACCTAAGTGGCCTCTTTTTTGGTTTTATGGGGTGCACTGTTTCTCATTGCCTGATCAAACTCCAGGTCCCTTTTCACACACAGGAATTTCTCATCAAGCAGATAAAGGTGATGACAGTGGTCACCAGGCTGGGAAGGTTCAAATGTTCTCAGCCCCAAGAAGGGCTGTTGTGGCCTCAGAGGCCTTGCCCCCTGGGCAGGTGGTTTGTATCTGTCCAGAATCCATTCCCTCTTCAAACAATGCCCTGTTCTTCTTTAAATCATGCCTCCTTCTCTCCATGCAGGTCACATGTTTTCAGGGGCCTGCCCCTTTTCCTCCCCAGTGGACAGCAGTCTGTACAGCTCCAAATCAGGGTATAAGATGGGGTAGGACTGGACACAGTGTTGCCATCCCATCAGGATGAACCAGTGAACCTGGCACTCATTTTTCTACTGGGACAGAGAAATTCCCTTCTCTAGTCAAATGAGAAGCTGGAGAATGACCCACTGAGATAAAGCCTTAATGAGCCTCTGGATCTCGCCATGCCTGACACCAGATGTCCTTAAACTCTGAGGCTGCATGAACCAATAGCTTTGTTGCAGACAAGCCAGCTGGACTTGGATTTCGGTTGGCACAACCAGAAGTGTCCTTATGCTTGCTGCAGGGGCTGTTATGCAGGTTGCCAAGGCCCCAGCTCTGTCCACTGGATGTTCCTTTCTCTCCTTGGCCACCAAGGCAGTCAGCTCAATACCACAACATCAGGCCTACCCCACTGGTCCATGGCTATGTTCGTCCAGCTGGTGAGGATTTCTCAACACCTGCAGACTGCTTGCTGGGTCTTAGGCTACGAAGACCGCAGGGCTGTTTTCCAGTAGCTCAGGGAATGGTAAGAAGTCAGGGACAAAACTAAATAACAACTCAAACAAGTGGTTTCCTGTTTGCTCGGGATGCCAGCAAGTTCAAAGCTATGTCCAGGGGCAGCTTTCTAGGAAGTTACAGTGATTAATGGGGGAACTCCACAGTCTGAAAGACCTGGGCTCAGATTCCAGCTGTACCGGCTGTATATCCTTGGATAAGTCACTTAACCTCTCTGAGCCCTACTTTCCTTACATGGAAATAGAAGAGTAAAAACAGCACTTTGCAGAACATCATGAGGATTACGTAACTCAGGATACGTGCAATAATGCACTCAGCAGTGTCTCGAACACACGTCAACGCCTGACAGCTCTTCACGCTTCCCACCCCACCCTTGGCTCCTGTCTTGCCTGCCTCTGAATGCTGTCTTAACTGTATTATGTATACTCTGAAGATCTCACTCTATTGTTCAGGAAACACCATGGAAGCAGTATCAATAGGAATATCAATGTCAGTGATATTAATTACAATGCCTAGGATAAGGTTGATTGATAAGAGAGAGCTCTGGAAGGCAAGGGCCTCTTCGGGCTGTGCGTAAGTGCGTAACACAGCACAGCACTCAGCAAGTACTTAATGAATACTTCTTGGGGGAATGAATACACTACCAAGCACAGGGAAAGGAAGGATCATGCCTCTGACAGTTCAAGATTCTCTGCTCCCCCAAACCTCCCAACTGCTTGTTACCTTGTCCCCCAGGAAGGCTCGGGGCAGCTGCCAATAATAGAGGTTTCCAGGAAGCAGAGAGAAGCTCTTGTAGGAGAGAGAGAACTAGGACAGAAGGGCAGATGGTGAGAGTTGAGGGCAGAGGCATCCTGACAGGGGACACAGACACTGCAAGGAGATCCAGAGGGCTCAAAGTCATAGAAAACCACCCCCCATCCCAGCTGGGATCCTGCTGTGCCCTTTGGGCAACTTATTTCCCCCTCTGGATGGGGCACTCCAAATGTCTTCTCCAGGTGTTGTCTGGTCACTGTCTCCCTATGTCTGGTGTGTTCTTCTTGTGGACCCCAAGATTTACGTGGCACACCAGTAACCATCAAAAAATTTAATGGCTCTTTAAGTGTATTAAAAAAATATATAACTAAGTAGCCAGGCATGGTGACACATGCCTGAAATCCCAGCACTCAGGAGGCTAGGAGAATCCTGAGGTCCAGGTCAGTCTGGACTATATAATGAGACCCTATCAAAAAAATTGAAAAAGAAAGACAAACTGTAATTGAGTTGGTACCTAATTGATTTAAAGGGACTTTTTTTTTTTGGTGGTGGTATTTGGGTTTGAACTCAGGGCTTCGTGCTTATAAAGCAAGTACTCTACTGCTTGAGCCACACCTCCAGCCCTTAAAGGGACATTTGAACTCAATAATTATCCTTGCAGTGCCAGAAATAATGAAACTGGTTCAGAAATGACAAGTCTAGAAAATGTGGTGGGTGGGGATCCCTTGGTGGGCACCTTGGAACATACCTGAGAGTTTGATGGGGAAGACAGAGAAGGAAAGGAGGAGGAAGAGGAGGAGGAGGAGGAGGGATCTGCTTGTAGAGTGGCTGCAGGTTGGGCGTGGGGAGGCAACCTGCGGGGAGGGGGCTGAGGGTGGGCAGCAAAGCTGGCGAGGAGCTGCCAGATCTCAGCATCCATCCGCATTTGGGCCTCATCCACCTGGGGGACCAGAAGAGGAAGGATAGAGAAAAGGAGCAGAGAGGGAAAGAAGGATGCCCATGAGGCTCTGCCCTGCCCCAGGCTGTGCCAAGTCTAGCTACTCCCATGTGTCACCCATGCACCGGTACTGATACCCACACTCTATCCTGTACTCTCTGCCCTTTTGCTCCTAGGAGCTAGGCACACGTGTCCTGGGGTGGGCAGGTGACCGTGGCTGGGACAGCTGGGGAGAAGACCTGCAGAGGGTGCCCAGCAGAAAGGTCAGACAGCTCTGGCAGCCAAGGCCAGCAGTGCTGGAAGCCGCCCAAGGGCCATGTGGGTGGTGGGAAGTGGGGAGCTGCTCCTTGGGCCTGACTCTCCATGTGCCCATGGCACCAGCCCAAGCCATTCATGGCTCTGGAGTGCTGTGGAATACTGGAGTGGACAGGGCATCAGACTGGGTCTGGACCAACACGGGGGAAAAATGGCCAAGGAGGGCCAAGGTCTTGTCAAGGCTTGTTCCCTGGGGCCCAGGCACAGCCTGCCCTGGCCGGGCACTGGGTTACCTGTGATGACCTCTTTGCCTGGCCCCTGCCTTCTGAGGGTCCCAGGATCCTCCCAGCAGTCACAGCTGCCCGCCATTGCTCCTCTGAGAGGGACGTGCGGTTCTGATGGGGTAGAGGCCACAGCAGCTCAGCCATCAGGGCCCAGAGCTGAAGCCACAGGCATGGGTCTGTTCCCATGGCCACAGTGGCAGAAAGGCCACACACTGACTAGGGAGAAAAAGGTATACTCCCTTCTTGGGGCTGGCACACAGAGTGATTCCAGGCTGCTGAAGGGGGTGGTAATCTGTACACATATAGGGCTAATGACAGTTGCTTGGGGGAAACTGAGGGGCCACATACAATCATGAGGACCAGCACTGTTAGTTTCCCAGCCACCTTAGCCACCGTCCTGACCTTAGAAGGCTGGTATCAGGACCAGACCACATTGCTGGTGAGCAGTGCATGCCCCTCCTGGCCCTCATGCTGGTGGCATACAGGGCCAGGCACACGTGCCCACACAGGCACCACATATGGCCTGAGCTCATGCAGACCAGCCTTGTCCCAGGTATAGGCATTTCCCACACAGGGCACATCCCCTTCACACGGCTCAGCAAGGGCCTACCTGATGAGCCTGGCGCATCCGTGCAAAGTGCGTCTCCCTCTGGGGTGCGGGAAGTACCAGGAGAGGAGACAGAGAAAGGTCTGAGAGCCCAGCAAGGGCAGCACAGAGGCCAGGAAAGAAGGAAATGAGCAGGAAGAAGGGACCAGAAGGCAGCTGGCTGTGAGAGGGTTGGGCACCTGGCTCCGTTCAAGGATCAGCCTCAGAGCTCCCTCTCCACAGTGTTCCAGAGGTACAGCTGCTCCAGCTCTGGCTTTAGCTAGGAAGGAAGCTAAACCCCACTTCCTGTGGGTGCCACCAGGAGGCTGGGACCACTTGAGGAACACATGTGGGCAATCTGCCCTAGAGTCTACCCCTAAGGCCCTGCCACCTTGCCTACAGTCCGTGTTTCAGAGTAGAAAAGAGAGTCCCAGCACCAACTAGTGGGGTATTTTAAGGACGGCTTCTGAGTTGGGTGTGAATCCTGCCATTGCCACCTACTAGCTGTGGGACTTTAGGTAAGGTTCCTAACCTCTCTCACCTTGATTTCCTTTATTATATAACAGGACAGTGGTGGCATCTGGACCATAGAGTCACAGTTTATGCACAAGTGCTTGGAACAATGACAAGCACATAGTAATTGCTCAGTAACTGGGACCTACGATAAGAATCACCATGCCTAGCACCCATCCCAGGGCCTGCAGCAGAGAGTGAGCTTGGAGAGAGGAGATGACTGAAATGAAAACTGCCTCGCTGTGCTTGCATCTTGAGGACTGGCCCAAGACCTGCTTATGGACAGCGGAGTGAAGATTGTGGTCACTAGCTGACACTCAGGAAGGATTTGTGGTCCCCACGTGGGTCCCACCTTGTCTCCCTGGTATGGCTCCGGCAGCTGCCAGTAGAAGGACTCGTGGCCAAGGTTGGCGAAGTTGCTGAAGGAGAGCTGGACGCCATCAGGCAGGGGTTCCACAGTGAAGCCTCCAGTCAGGCGGCTGTTACGCTGTGGGTTCACCAGGGCAAACCCTTGAAAGTCCCCAGGAGCAAAGTGGGTGGAGATCTGGCAGCAGGAGGAGGACAAGGTGTCAGTTTAGGTGCTGGGGTAGACACCTTGGTGGGGGATGGGACATGGGAGGTGTCAGGACAGGAATGGAGGCTTGCTGAGATCTGGCTGGGAGAGAAATAATGGGTGAGTAGGACAGACATGGGGTGGAGGATGGCAAGGCGCTGGGTTCAGTGCAGTTATGAACAATAATGGGAGACTGGGGAGGGTCTCAGGACAGGGCTCAGTGCTAAGATGGGCAATGATGGGCCTGGACATCGTTATGGGCAACTGGGAACCCACTGGGGCCAAGTTCTAGACCTACAGAGAGAGGTGGGCAGCAGGCCCCCCCAAGGGCCAGGGCAGTCTAGCTCTTACCAGGTGGCGTGTGTAGGAGGAGCTGGCACACTGCTGGGTGACACCCATGCAGAAGCAGGGCAGGCAGCCTTCAGGGTTGCTAGCACTCAGATGGAAGTGGTGGGGCCGGCAGTGGCTGCAGGTGAGGCCTTCTACCTGGGCCTGAGGTGGATGGATGGAAAAATGTGTGCAGGGAACTTGGGGATCTCTTGCACCCCAGCAGCCTTTGAGACCAGCTGTCCTAGCCACTCTGGCAACTCTGGGAAACCCAGCCTCCACCCCAAGTTCAGGCCCTAGCCCCCAGCAGGTACTCCAGACACCTGCAGTGGGCAGAGTCAAGCCTCAAGGATCTCAGGGTTTTGGACTGACCTTGCACTGGCACTGGCCAGTGGCATCACATTGGCTGCCGATACTGCCCTGGGGGTCACAGTCACAGCCTGTCACGTCTGGCACCTGGCCATCTCCTGACATGGAGGGAAGTCACTGTTGGCATCCTCAAACCCTCCACCAAGCACCCGATTCCCACTGCTGTCTAAGCAGCACTGAGAGGATGCAGCTGTTAATTCTGAGGATATAGGTAGAACCTCTTCGTAGCCCACATGACAGATGGAGAAGTGGAGGCTCAGAAAGGTAAAGTCACCTGTCCCAGGTCACAGGTGAACAAAGAATCTGTCTTAGCTCTACCCGAGCCCCAGTTGCCCTCCCAAGCCCTAAACCCTACTCACTCTGACAGGGCTGGCCCTGGCTGGGGTTGCCATAGTAACCTGGGGCACACCTGCAGAGAGAGAAAGCAGAATGCTGGGGAGCCTGCAGTGAGCCAAAGCCAGTGGGGAGGCCTGTGTTAGACTTGATGACCCCATAGCGCTGGATGAAACTAGCCTGCCCAGCTCACCCATTTTGCAGATGGGGAGACAGACAAGAGAAGAGCAGAGGCCCCAGACCACAGTCAGAGAGTTGGTTCCATCAGGCCTTGACCCTGGAACCTTCGGTAACAGCGAAAGGTCTTATGGAAGACACTAGCCAGGGTGAGCAGGGGGCTGGGCTGGAAGCAGACTGCAGGCCAAGAAGTCTTAGGGGTTTGAATGCCAGGATGGAGGCTCAGGCTCCTAAGGATGGGAGCTGACAGCTTCGAAGGCCCATGCAAGAAAGGGTGGAAAGCCACTGGTTCCTCCTGGATGGGAGGGCAACGCGCCTGGGGACACCTGGGACAGTCCCTCCTGCATGCCTCACACTCCTCCGCCACCTGCCTCACCTCTCACAGTGACGCCCACTGTGTCCTGGGGAGCAGGAGTCACAGGTGGGATGACCGTCTGTATCCAGAAAGCAAGTGTGGGTGGCCCTGAGAGGGTGGAAGCAAGCAGTTATTCAGTAGGGCAGTGCTCCTCCACCTCCCAACTCTCCCTCAGACCAGGGGAAGAGAGAGGAGAGGATGAGACGGGTGCAGAGTCCCACGTGCGTCACCTCCATCCTCACGCAAGGCTAATGTGGATATACTTCCCTCTTGCATAGATGAGAAAGCTGAGGCTCTCAAAATGAGGTGCACTTACAACAAGTGACACACTGGCAAACCAGGTTTAACCATGGCCTCTCAGTAGGGCCTGGGATGAGAGGAGTGTGCGAGGGGTGGTGAATATTTAGGGGAAAGGCAGGGACTGGACGCACTGGCCAGAAGAGGGGATTCCATGGCACGGACACGGCTGGCAGTCATATGGCGTCCCACGCTGGGCATCCCCGTAGTATCCAGGCTGGCACTGATCACACTGCGGGCCCTCTGTGTGGTGCTGGCATCCCTGGAGGGACAGAGTGTGGGAAAGCTGAGCCCCAGGAGGCCACGGGTCCCTGGGTGGAGAGGAAGGATCCCTGGGGTGGGGCTCACCTGGCAGGCACCAGTCTCAGGCTCACAGACTTCCGAGTGGCCATGGCAGCTGCAGCGTTCACAGGTGCCCAGGTAGAGGCCACTAGGCATGCGTGTGTAGCCTGTGTCACAGTCCTGGGGGTGGAAAGATAGCAGGGGGCACTAGGCTAGGGGGGCTTGGGAGAAGGGGAGAGCCAAAAGAGGAAGGTCCAGAGAGCACCACAGCTGGGCAAGCTGGTGGCAAGGGCTTACCTGGCAGGATGGGCCCCGGTATCCAGGTGGGCAGGTGCACTGCTCCACTTCCAGTGCAGGGTCCTGACCAGTGCTATCAGGTACAGCCATATCCATGCTGATGCCGGAGACCCTGGGTAGGGCGAGGTGCACTGTGAATGAGCGCTTGCACTGTACCAGACTGCCTGGAGTCCTAACGCCACCCACCACTGGTCCTCCTGTCAGCACCGGCACCAGGCCAATGGGGCTTGTCTAGGCCCCCAACTGGGGCCTTCATGCCCCAGCACTGGCATGAGCTGTGCCTTATTCCTGTGACTTTTCCAAAGGGCTATCTTTTCTTGCTTAGACAGGTTATACCCCCAACTCCCCTGGGGAGCAATGACAGGCTCATGCTGGATATGGAAGTCCCCCTGCCTCCAAGTAAGAGGACTCTGCAGGGCCATTTACTCTCTAGAGCTTTCTGTGGGCTGAGGCTGAGGCCATGTTCCCTGCCTGGCCCCTCCCTCTTCTGAGTCCCTCCCCCTGATTTCCTTCTTAGGAGCCTAACCTGAGACCTCACAGCCTATAAATAGCAGAGCTGGTGGTCTGGCTGCATGCACTATACCACTGAGCCTACAGCCCCAGCCCAAGCCTCCTCTCTGCTCTTGCCCTAGCCGCAGGCACCTGCTCTCGGCGGGGTTCTGGGTGTAGGATGCTTGAATCAGAAGGGTGTCGATGCCCGCCAGTGCCATCAACAGGTGCTCCCGTGTGGCTGGCTGCCCATCAGGCCGCTGCCATGCTTGCTGCCAAGGAAAGGACACGTGTGCTGAACTCCTGCCGTCCTGGGTGCTGACGCCCGAGAGAGAGTAGTAGGGTCCATCCTCGCCTGCACTCCAGGAAGGGCAGGGGGCTCACCTCCCGGAAGGGTATGGTGAAGGCAGCAGGCTGGCCGGGACTGGGCTCCCGAGAGGTGTGGTGCTCCAGGATGATGCCATTGCCCTGCAGCATCACCAGCGGCTGCCCATGCAGGGGTGCAGAGCCAGGCCGGGGCCGCTGAGTCACTGTGAAGTGCAGCTCTCCCCCGTAGGAGGTCACCTGGGACATGGGGTGGACAGGGGCTCAGTGGGGCCCTGCAGCTGAGCCATGCTGCTGCTCCAACCTCCTCTTCCACACAAAGTATCTCACTCTTCTTCCAAGGCCCAGGACACCCCTGCTCCTAAGCCTTTGCCTGTGTGGTTCCTGCTACTCACAGCTCCCTTTCCCTTACTACCCTTGCCCACCTTGTCCCCCCGGAAGCGTGACGGGAGGCTCCAGAAGTAGGGTCCAGATAAGAGGGTGTGGAAGGAGGAGAAAACCAGCTCTCCAGGTGTGGGGGATGAGATGCCCTCGCTGGTAGCGTGGGTGCCGGCAGCATTGGTCAGGCTGAACTGGGTGGGCTCCTCTGAGGCCCCAAGCACCTGAGTGCAGAAAAGGCCAGGTTGGGCCATGGTCAGGGACCAGCCCTTGGTTCATCCAGCCCTGGGCACAGCCGTCCCACTTGCCTGCCACCCCCCTCCTGTGGGTACCTGGGCACGGCTCCAGGAGGAGCTGGTGCACTGGCGGCTGACACCCATGCAGAAGCACTTAAGGCAACCGTCGGGGTTCTGCGAGCTCAGGTGGAATGAGCCATCAGCACACTCGTTGCACAAGCGCCCCACCACATTGTTCTGCAGGCACAGAGCTGGCAGCTGCAGGATAGCCCACAGGAGGGGCTGCCTGGAGCTTCCAGTTGAATCCTCCCACAGTTTAGATGGGACTCAGAGCCCAGGAGTGCCACAGAAAGAGCACAGGTATGAGGCATTACCACCATCTGATCAATAACTCCTAGCTAATGGGAGCTTATGCAACTATTTTTCCCTTTTCTCTTAGACTACCAGGGGGCTCACAAATAAGCTTAGGTTTGAAATAAAGCAACTTGGTTAAAAAAATGACTTCTATAATTTAGGGAGTGTTTCATGCACTGGGCTAGGTTCTCTGTAGTCAACATCTCACTTCACACCGCTAAATACCTCGAGAGGTAGAAACAGCTATCTCTTCCCTCCTTTCCCCCACTCTCATGAGGAAATTGAGGCTCAGGGATGTGAAATGACTTGTGCAAGGTCACTCAGCTTGCTCAGGCACTCTGGGATTGAAGATTAGCAGGCCATACTCCAAAATCTGTCCAGTCCTTTTCTCCACCGCACTCAGTTCTCCCACTGTTACTGTGAGGGACATGCTCCCTCTGAGTCTGTTTCCTCACCCATGAATCGAGGATGCTCAGACCTACACCACTGGTCACTGAGGCCTGGTAAAGTGTGATGAAGGTGAAGGCCTGGTGCCAATGTGACCACTGCACAAAGCACGGCTGTGACTGGAACTCAGCACCTGACTCCCTAACCAATGCTCCTGCCCAAGGACACTGCCCACAGGCCAATGCCCTTCAAGAAGGAGGGGCCTCCTTAATCCCTGGGTGGTGCCAGGACCCAAGGCTCCTGGGGTGGGGGTCAGGGCACTCGTACCTTACAGCGGCAGGCCTCTCCTGCAGTCTCCACACTGCCTCGCTCATCACAGCGCACAATCTCCTGGTCTGGCGCACAAGGCAAGTGTTGACAGGGCAGGGGAATTGGAACAAATATAGTTAGGCAGACAGACCAACAGAGTAGACAGCTCCCCAGGGATCTTGGGATTTGGGCTGGGCTCTAGGACAGGGGGTTGGGAGGGAGAGAGGAGCCAGCAAGGTACTGGGGGCGGGAAATAGACTGTGATACTCACTGCTGGGCCTGCACTTCCCGCCCGGCTGGATGGGGTTGCCTTCGTACCCGGGGGCACAGCTGGAGGACAGAGAGCCCCATCAGCAGCCATTCTGTGCCCAACCACCCAGAACAGCCCGCTGCCCCCAGGCCCTGCTGACAGTCCATCACCTCTCACAGCGTCGGCCTGTGTAGCCGGGGGCACATGCATCACACGTGGCTTGGCCATCCGTGTCCAGGAAGCAAGAGTCTGAGAATCTGGGGGTATCAAGTGGACAGGGCTGGGGGCCAGGCCTCACATGCCCACCCACCCTGGGAAATGAATGCTGTCCATCTGGACACATATGCTAGGAGGCACGTCTCCCTGCTTACTCATTCTCAATCTATAGCAACCATAGGAGGGCAGATGACCCCATTCTATGGAAAGGGAAACCGAGGCCCGGAGAAGTCAAAGAGAATGGGACAATTTAGTAACCAGATTAGGATGGGAATCCAGGCCAATCCCTACCCCAAACCTGTTGTGCTGCCCCACTCCGAGCGGGGTCTGACCTGCGGGAGGCATCAATGTACGGGCACGGGCAGGGCCGGCAGGCAATGGCGGTGGCCTTTGTGGCGTCCCCAAAGAAGCCAGCCTTACACTTGTTGCACTGTGGTCCTTCAGTGTTGTGCTGGCAATTCTAGGAGGGGGAGGGCAGGGAGTGACTCAGGTCCTACAGAGCAGAACTGGGTCAGATGGGCTTAACATCCAGAGATCCCAATGGCTTGTCTGGCAGCTATGGCAGTCATTCTAGAGGCTTGTGCTAAGCTTACGAATACAGAGGGTCTCCTACCCTGCCCCTATCCAGTATCCAAGTGCCACTTGGCACTACTTACCAGGCAGTGGCCATACACAGGGTCACAGGAGCTGGCATGGCCATTGCAGTTGCAGCCAGAGCAAGTGCCCAGGTAGGGCCCACCAGGGACTCGGGTAAAGTGGGCATCACAGCTCTCGCAGGACAAGCCAGAATACCCAATGGGGCACCTGCAGGACAGGACCGAGAGTGGCTGCAGGAACCGCAGAGCCCTGCTGTTTCTCCTGTACCCTGGCCAGAGTTCCTGGGTTCCCCACCCTGACGGGTCCCCACCTGCACTCCTCCACAGTGTAGGCGCGGCCATGGCTGGTGGCATGGGTGACGGTGGTGTCCATGGTGATGTCGCTCAGTCCCACGCTGGCCATCTTGGTGTTATACACGGTCTGGATGAGCACCGCCTCCAGGCTCGTCAGCACCTGCAGCATCTCTGCCCGCTGCACTGGCCGGCCGGACTCATGCACCCAGTGCTCCTGGGGTGGACAGCAGATATCACATCAGTGCCTCCCAGGCCTGCACCCCCCTACTGGCCCTCAGGGCTCAGGCACCACTGACCTCCGAAAGCTGGACCTGGCGCTGGTTCACAGCCCCAGGCTGGGTGGCCGTATGGCCTCGGGATAGTAGGCGATATCCAGCACCCACAAGGATCACGTCCGGCCGCTGCACTGGCTCCAGCATGCCACGCGCCAGCTCATAGCGCACCTTGTAGCGCAGGGAGCCACCATAGGAGTCCACCTGGCCGAAACAGAGTGTTCAGGGCAGGGCAGCACTGTGGGCACCCTGATGCCACTGTGCCCTCCAGGAGCAGCTGTGTTCAGTCCTCCAACTCCTCCCTCATTCTTCCTCCCTGGTGCTTACTGTGTACCTGGTGTTTAGCTGGGCATGAAAGGCTGAAAGAGCCTTTGGGCTGCTCAGTCCACGGGAGGGGGTAACTAACGCTGTGCACAGGGAGACCAGGGCGGGGGCACTCAACCCATCTCAGTGTGGGGGTGGTCAGGGAGGGCTCCCTGGAGGAGGGGATACCAGCCCCTTCCAAAAGCTGAGTAAAAGCAGCAGGCAGAGATCCTGCCTTGCAAGAACAAGCCACTGCCGCCAGGGCACGACCATATCTTTCCCCAGGGCTGCAGCTCTGCCCCCAGCTTCAGAGTGCACAGAGGGGTCCTAAGCATGGGATGAGGCTTAGTCCTCTCTCAGCCCAGGCAGCAGTCAGCCTCTCACCTTGTTGCCCAGAAACTGCTCGGGCAGAGCCCAGAAAGAGTCGTGGATGAGGAAGCGGCGTGACAGGTCGACCAGCTGGAACTCCTGCAGAGTTGTGTCGATCTGCAGCTGGGTGGAGGAGAGGGGTGGCATGCCAGGCTGTGCAGGCATCGTCACGTTCACACCTACGGGGGCAGAAGGAGGGGTGAGGATAGGAAGCACACGCCTGCCTGAAAACACCTGCCTTGGACAGCAGGAACCAGAAAGGGGGAAAGTTCTGGGGAATTCTGATTCAGAGAAAATTGCGATCTTTCTCCTGAAATTAAGGTACAAAAGTTTTTTTCTCTTCCCAGTCTTTTTCTATTTTGGAGCATGCTCTGGGGAATGCCAACACTGTAGTGTGATGGTTGTAAGTCCTCCTGGGGATCAGAGGGTCAAAGAAAGGTCAGAAGATTCTTTGCAGCAGGACTTCTCAGAGCCTTTTGCTTGTTAAGAGCTCCACGGACTGTCAGTCCAGGTTAAGAGGGATGGGGGCGTGTAGACAGCTACACAGGACTAACGACCAGGAGCTCAAGTCCTGGTTCTATCATGCTCCAGATGCCTGGGCAGAGAAACCTCAGTTTCCCAATCGGTAAAATAAAGTTATTACAAAGATAAAACACTTGAATTGATTTAAAATGCTTAAAACAGAAGGAAGCACCAAAAAAAAAAAAAAAAAAAAAGCCAGCTCTAATTGCTGCTTTGTTCTAACAGGTTGTCTGATCCAGCCCTCTCCCATGCGTACATGCACACATGCACACAGAATCAATTTCGTTGACAGTCTCTCCTGGTCCCTAGGGCAGTGCCATCCAATGGAACTTTCTGTGATAATGGAAACACTTGGTACCTGTGCTCTACCATAAGGTACCCACTCACCACCACTGGCAACTGGGCACCTGGAAGGTGGCTGGTGCACTGGAGGCACAGTGAGTTGCTTTATTCCTTTTTTGTTTGTTTCAAGACAAGTTCTCGCTATGTAGCCCAGGCTGGCACAGAACACAGATTCTTCTGTCTCAGTCTTCTGAGTGCTGGGATTACAGACATGCACTGCTATGCCAAGCTCACTTTATTGAAATTTAAATAGCCACACATGGCAAGTGACTCCTTATTGGATTACACAGCTCATTTCCTACTAAGGTATCCTTCCCATCTCTAGATAGTTTCAACTCTAGGAAAGTTCTTCCTTATACTGATCCCATAACTGTCTGCTGAGAGCATCTCCCCTTGACCCTGAACATGACCCCCTTGAAACCATGGAGGAGCCCAGCCCCTCATCTACAGGATAACCAGGCATAGCCTTGGAATCCAGGTTACAGTCTCCCAGCCTGCCTTCCTCCTCTCTTCAGGGATGCTTCTAGGCTCCTACCATCCTAGTACCCACCCCCACACAAATACACATGCAGGCCACCTGCTTGCCCTGGAATCCTTGCCACCCTAACCATCCGGTCTCCAGCCAGATAGCCTGGGGCTCCCACTCCTCCTGGAAACGGCATGGGAAACCCACAACCTCCCAGAGCCTTGGGCTTTCGGGGCTCTCATTGGACTAAACAGTCTGACCATGCAGGAATTATTGGCCGCTCAACAACTGTGTGTCAACTGCATGCTCAACAGATGGTGGTCATCAGGATTCTAAATATACCAGAGGACAATTCTGAGAGGTAACTAAGTTTTCTACGCCCCAGTGAAATGGCATAACAGACAAGATTCATCTGAACAAGGAGCAGACCTCTTGACGCTCAGCTAATCTGTGAAGAAGGGAAGAAGTGAAGCTCAGAAAGATGAGGGGCCACTTGATGTCAGGTGACAAACCTGCTTGATGTCCAAGTGCATCCTCTTAGCTGTCCTCCATTCTGCCTCCCAGAGGCAGAGAAGATGGAGCCCTGACCACCTTTACATTTGGAGAAAGAGGCACAGAGAACCAAAAGACTTGCCTAACATCACATAGGCAGTAAGTCGAGTGGCTTACTGACTGAGAAGATGCCAAAGCCTGGGTTTATATTCTGGGGACTCTGGCCCCTTGATGTCTCAGAATGACGATAACGAGGACGAAGATGGCATTAGTAAACACTAGGTGCCTACCATGGACCAGACACTATTCTGAGTGGCTCACACACATTAAGATTAATGATATTAATTAGGCATTAGATCCTTACAAAAATCTAGGAGGCAGTTCGTATTGCATCTCTATTTTAATTTTTTTTGGAGATAGGGTCTTACTATGTAGCCCAGGCAGCCCTTGAACCTGTGATCCTCCTGCCTCAGTCTTCTAAGTAACTGGAACTACAGGCACAAACCATAGCCTTGGCTTGCCCCATTTCATAGGTGAGCAAACTGAGCCCCATGATAGTAAGTTGGCCAAGGACACACAGGCAGGAAGGGACAGTCAGAATCTGACCCAGGAACCTGGCTCCACAGCCTGTGCTCTTCATGACCCAAAGCAGGAAAGCACCAAGTGTGGATTTGGCTTGTTCTAAAAGATTTTCTTCCCTTCAGAAATGCTCTTCCAACAGGGCCCCAACAGGGTTTCTTCTGCAGCCCTATTTCCCTCTCCACCCAATTCCCATCTGTCCAGAGCATGCTGTCTTCCCACACCTGTCCTTTCTCTGAGTTTCCTGGGTTCTGGTGTCCACCTCCCACCTCCCACAGCTCCTGCCCACCCGCCTACACACCCTTAAAGTCCTCGGGCTGGTCAAATTGCAGCCGGATCTGGTCCCAGAAGCGGTGGCTGCTCTGGCACACACTGGTCACCCCAAAGCAGAAGCAGGGCAGGCAGGAGGCGCTGTGCTCCAGGTAGAAGTGCCCGTCGGGGCAGGGACCTGCTGGGTGGCAGGAAGGGGCTGTAGTCGGCCACTGACAGATGGCTCTGCTCCACCCATGCCTGGTGCTCACAGCCCACTAGCCTACCTCGCTGTGGGACAAGCTCCAGCACGCCATCGGGAATGCCAAACACCATGCCACGCGCGTTCATGGCCTCACACGTGTAGGCACCCTGGTCTGCCTCCTTCACGTCACGAATGGTCAGAGTGCCGCGGCCACCTTCACTGGTCATTGTCACTCTGGTGGGCCCAAGACAGTGGTGGGTCAGGCCTGAGTCTGGGGCCAAGCCTCTGTCACATTCTCACCACCTCCCACCTGGGCCTGGATCACACCTGGGATGAGAGGGGATATGGCCCCAGTTGAGTCTCCAGTTGATGATGGGGATAGGGACGCCGATGGCCACACAGGTGAAGGTAACCGTCTGGCCTCGGGAAACCTGGATGGACTCCTGGGGTGGGGTCACCACCTGGGGAGGCACTGGGGAGACCAAAGCAGGAGTGAGGGGTTTGAGGGGCAAAGTGGGAGTAAGAAGGACTCCAAGGAGTCAGGCAGGGAAAGAATAGAGGCCAGGATGGGAGAGAAGCAAAAAGGGCCCCACCCAGTGCCACCCGCATTTGCCCCCAGCTCACTGCAACCAAACTCGTCGCTGCGATCAGGACAGTCGCTCTCCTCATCACAGTGGAAGCTGGCAGGGATGCACTTGTTGGTGGAGACGCATCGAAACTGCGTGGGCCCGCACACTTCCTCAGGGTGCTTTGCAGCTGGAGGACAAAGTCAGGTAGAGTAGGGTACCAGGGCACTGCCAGCAGGACCACCTGCAGCAGTCCACCTGCTGTCCACCTTCCCCAGGTGTCCCCAGAGTCACTCACACATCTCACCCACATAATCCTCAGCTGCCATCACCAGGACCAGCCATTGTTGCCACCACACTGTGCACAACCTTACATTCAGAGTGACACGGTCACTGGTTTGCCATCAAACAGCTCCTCACATTACCTGCCCCCATCCACCTGCATTCCCCGAAATGGAGTCCCACCTGGCATGTCACAGCCACAACTGCAGCATCACTCAGGTTGCTGTGGCTCAGATGTTATTCATCCCCCAAAGGTTGGGAGCTTGGTCCCAGTGTAGTGATATGGTGGGACCTTTAAGAGGTAGGGCCTATTGGGAGGTCCTTGGGTCACTGGGGGTGGGCCCTCAGGAGGGATGTGAGGCTCCAGTCTCTCTTAGATTTTCCGTTTCCAGATATAAGAGCTGGGGGCATGGCTCAAATGATAGAGGACTTGCCTAGAATGAGGCTCTGAGGTCAAGTCTCAGTACTGCAATTTTTTAAAAAAAGAAATAAATGAGATAAGGTGTGATCTCTTCCTCCCATATTGCTCCAGCCATTGCCATCTTGCCATGAAGTGAAAAGCCAAATGCAGCCCTTGCCAGAGCCTATATGATGCTATTTGGACTTCCAGCTGCACAAACTGTGAGGTCCTTTCTTTATAAAGTTAGCCTGCCTCAGCTATTTCATTATAGCAATGAACAACAGACTAAAACATTGCCCTCACACACGCAGTCACAGAAGTACCATCTTGGATGGATAAGACCCCTGCCGAAGGCATAGCCAAAGGTGCTGGTAGGGTTAGACATTGGCAACTTGTACTCTTCTCTCTACTCGACAGGAACCTACCTGTCTGGCAAGGAACCTACCAAAGCCCAGCCCTCCTGCAGGGCTCCATGCTTTGTATCTCCACTGACTGCTCCAGGGGTGGTGCCTGGCCTGAGAAAGTCACCCTCGACTGGCCAGAGGCCTGGGGTTGGCCTAGCACCAGGCCTGGGTCCCTGCCAGGCATCTCTACCAGCTGGTGACCAAATTTCTTCCTCAGGGAGACCAAGCTTGAAAGATCAGACAGAGACTCAGAAGCGGAAATCACACCCACAGAGGCACACCGAGAGGACCCAGGAGGCTACATCTACTGGCTTCTCTTCCTAACACTGAGGAGCCCCACAGCCATGCAGCTTCATGTCCACTGTGTCCTACACTCTGTCAACAGGACTTGGCCTTCCCTGGCTCTCTGCGAAGGGCTTTGCAGCTAAGCCCTCTACTACTTTCTCTCTCCCAGGGGGCTGGTGTTGTCACGCAAGCTGAGAGCCACAGGAAGGATACCATCTAATCCTGGAGTCTGTGGCACAGTGCTGCTTCTCTCCCCAGGGACCGGTGTGGGGCAGGGAAGTGTGGGGCAAGGAGGAACTGGACCAGCCTATAGTGGGAATGTCATGCAACCCATTTCCACAGAGGAATGGTTGAAGATTACCCCCAGTCTCAAATGGACAAACCCAGGCTTTATCATTCACCTCACAGGACAGGACACACAAGACAAGATGCTACTTGATGTGGTCTCTGACTCTCCAGCTTCCTTCACCTTTTAACTATCATGATGTCCGAAATGGCCAAAGCCTTGACAAGAGAGGTAGGCAAGCAATGGACAGACGGATGGTTGGATAGATGCACAGCAGGGAAGAAGAATGCTGGCCAAGTGGGTGGTGAATAGAGAGCTTCAAAGGTGGACGGACAGATGATGGAACAGACAGGAAGAAGGATACCGAACAGATGGGTAGACAACTAGATGAGAACTGAGAGAGGGATATTGGATAAATGGATGGATGGTTGGATGGTTGATTAGATAGAATGACAGACGGATAAAGAGCTGAGTAGATTAAGGAACAAATAATGCAGAACCAACTTTAGATGAAAACCCTCCATGCCCGTGCTGCGCTGTGAACATGACCAGCAGCATCTATGTATTGGAAACGATCCCAATGCAACAGCGCTGAGAAGCGGGACATTTAGGAGGTGGTCGGGTCCTGAGGGCTCTGCCTCAACTGTGGATTAGTACTTAGGAGTGGGCTCTTGACAAAAACAATGCTTGGCCCTTCCCTCATTCTGTCTAGCCAACGTGATGCCTTCTACTGTGTTATGACACAGATTGGAGGCCCTCATAAGACACAGTTGGTCCCTTCATCTTGGACTTCCCAGCCTCCAGAACCACAAGACAAATTTCTCCCAGCCAAGTACTAACCAGGCCCAATCCTCCAAACAATCTTCAATAGTTTTTAAACCACACAAGCTCAGGTGTTTTGTTACAGCAGCACAAAAGTGACTAGGACAACCCCTAGGGTCAGACTCTAACTCACACACACATCCAGGACCTGTCATCATGGGGCCAAACATCTCAAACTCAAGCCCTTTCAGCCATTCATCTGACCTCCATACAAGCACAGTGACAAAGAAAAGACAGTGTCTACAAAAATGTAGCAGAGAGACACAGACCAAAGCTGTCCAGTCAACTGCTGCTACAAAGGTGGCTTGGAGCCAGGGCCCCTGCAGTTCAGGTCAGAGTTGCACCTCGACATTTGTCTCATGGCCCCCAACTCAGCCAGTGAGGGGCTGAGTGAGGGGACGAGCAGCCTGGCAGGACATGGGTGGAAGTGGAACCTGGGGACACTCACGGCAGTTGGCCTCATCTGTGTGGTCCTCGCAGTCAAAGTCACCATCACAACGCCACAGCTTGAGGGCACAGTGCCCATTTCCACAGGGGAACTCATTGGGCTCGCAGGGCTGGGGGGGCCCTGTGTGGAACAGGCAGGGTTCACAGTGGCCCTCCACTGACCAGTGCCAGTCCTCAGCCCCCCACAATGCATGGTGCTCACCGCAGTCCAGCTCATCACTACCATCTCTGCAGTCCTCCTGCCCGTCACAGAGGTAGTCTTTGGGGATGCAGTGGCCGCTGTGGCATGCAACCTCCTGGTGGCCACAAGGCAAGGGCCTGTCTGGACCGGGGAGCAGAGACTGGGGTCCAGGCGTGTCTGGAGGTGGCTGTTTTGTAGTTGGCTCTGGCCAAACTGGTGAAGGTGTCATCTCCACCACAGAGGGTAGCAAGGAGCTGAACTCAGGGACTTCATCCTCTGTGGACAGGGTTCCCTAATGTTTACCAGATTCTCACCCTTCACCCTGCACTCTGCAGTCCTCCCTATAGTCCTCAAGTTCACCCCCTGCTGTACTGGTCCCCTGCCCTATCTCTGCTGTCCCCCTACTCCCACCCAAGCCCTCCTCAGAGCCCTCTGCCTGCCCCAAACCCTCACAGCTCAATTGACCCTGAGACCCAGGTGCAGCCGCCCCCCACCCCACACACCCACAGCCATTGTGCCCCCAACAGCACCCTCACCGCAATTGAGCTCATCAGACATGTCCCTGCAGTCAGGCCGCCGGTCACAGCGATACTCCAACGCCACACACTCATTGTGGCTATGGCAGGCAAACTCAGCCTCCGTGCAGACTCTTGGGACCTGGGGCACTGTGGAGGTTGGAAGGAGTCAGAGGCAGCAGGGACTAGGTGGATAGGAGGTGTGACAGGTAGTACAAGGGACTATGTGGCCGTAAGAGACAGGTGGCCTGTGTTGGGCCACAGTGGCAGACACAGCAAGCACAAGGAGCACTTGGCAGACACACAGGGCATGAAACATGTGGCAATGGCTTCATCCGCCCCTTTGATAGGACCACGCACAGGTGACATGCCACACACATGCAGCCACCATTCCACACATGTGCAGGCCACAACCAGGCCCAGTGAGGACAAAGGAGGGGGACAATGCAGCCTGCAGGCTGTGCCCAGCCAGCCGGCCTTTGTCCTTCTTTTCCTTTATCCATTACGTTCTCTGAGAACCCCACTGGACCTCAGCTGAGCTCACACTCTCACCTGGTGTCACTATGGCCCCCACAGCAGCCAGGGGTGGCGGGGGGGTCTGTGCTGGAAAGGAAGGCATGGTTAGCAACCATCCCAACAGCAACCTGGGAGCTGAGGGTGAGCCAAGCCCACCCCACCTTCCCTATTCAGAACTCAATGAAAAGGGAACAGAGGGCTGAGCCCCAGCAATCTTTTAGACCTGGTGCCAACAGAGCACATTTGATCTTTGGGTACATTAATTGAGTTTTTAAGTGCAGAACAAGACAGGTGATGGTTCACTATTTTTTTCCTGCTTGGACTAAACCACGGCACAGATGGAACTTGTTTTGTTATGGGTTATACTGGGTCAGAGGCATATGAGTAATATGATGGAGCCTTCCAGAGAGGGAGCTAAGATGGAGACAGAGCTGCTCACAGCCTGTGAGCAATGAACTGAAAAACTGAGAAAAGAAAAAACTCAGCTATCAAAACAGGGGCCACAGGGTATGGTGACAAGAAACCTGGCTGGCCCTGTGTATGAAGGTCAGACTTCTACATCTGGCAATTGTGTGACTTTGGGCTGGTTTCCTGTTTTCTCTGAGCCTCAGTTTCTCTTTCTTTTCTCATCTCATCACAGGTTCTGGAAGATGGGTGTACACTCTGGCTTTCACACATGTGAATATAACTGCTTCAGATCCCTCATTCCAAAAGCAGGAGGAATCCTATCTACGTCACGGGGATTTTCAGGGAGCTCAAACAGGCTGGATTTAAGGGCCTTAGCAGAGAACCCTGTCATACACTCAGGGCTCAGGAAACGGCTGTTGGTGTCTACTGAATGCAAAAGTCTTCTGAACTTGAAAAGTCCTATGTGAAGAAAGGAATCATTGCCTATTCCAATGTACGGAGGTCATGTGAAGAGAGAAGAAATTGGGTCTAATGAGCAGCTGTTAGAGGAAACTATCTGGCTCTACTCAAGCCAAGACTACATAAAGATGGTAAGGGACTCCCCAGCCCCAGTGGGGTACAATCCCAAGCTAGCAGACCCCATGGTGGAGATACTGAAAGGGGCCTCACCCTTTTCAGTGTCTGAGAAACAAGAGAAGGTGACCCCAGGTCTCAGGACGGGCTCACCTGTGCCCAGGCGTCGGAACTGGAATCCCCGGGGAGAGGTAATGTAAGAGCCAATGGAGCCTTCAGAGACGACCGTGTGCAGCACCTCCTGGATTTGAGCCCCATCTGCATTCCCTTCTGAGCCCACATCCAGCTCCACAAAGACCCAGCCGTCCAGTTCCCTATGGATGGGAAAGAGGCCTGTGTTCTTAGCTGCTCCTCTGGGTCCCTGCCCGAATGCTCGGGCTCTGTTCCCAGATAGCTTCTGCCCAGAGCAGGGCCATTTAAAGGCCAGATTATCTCGCCTCCAACTCCCAAATCATCCCATGTCTTCCCTGCCTACCCTCTTGGCACCCAGGCTCCTTTCCATCCTTGTTAGGTCCCCTCACCCACACCCCTGGTGGCTCCCAGCCCCTCCGCACCCCCCAGGGGACTTCTCACTTGATGAACACCACGCTGACAACCTGGTCTCCAGGAATCTTCAAGTATTCTGACTCCAGCTAGGAGGGTGAGGGGGTGGACACAGCACCATTAGCTTCTAGACATCGTCCTGCACCCTCCAATCCTGCCCTGCCATACTCAGGGAGGCCCCCACAACCACCACCTCAGCCTCCTCTAGCATACCTTGTCCACCACAGCCTCTGACACCTCTCGAAACTCCTTGGAGCCTGCATCTTCTAGCTGGGGACTGTACTCGATGGAGCGAGTGAAATTTACCAGGGCCCGGAAATACACTGAGGAAAAGAGGAAGGGGCTGAGCCTGGCAGGTGGTGGCCTCGGGCAGTTGGACTGATGTGTGGGAATGGGGCGATGACCCCTGAAGGCCTCCCATGCACAATGACTCCTGTGTGCCCACTATAGGGCCCAGCACTACCCGTAGGAAGACAGGCCACAGTGGTCTGGCCAGACTTCCCACTGCTTAAAGCTGAGGCCCCAACTTGAGTGAGGGTCTTTAAGTAACAGGGAAAAATGCCTCATCCAGAAACCAAGTGATGGGACCAAAGATGAGACCCCCTAGTGCTGAGAGGAAGGCTGGTCAGAAAGGGACTACTACCAGAGGAGGCTGTCTGTGCCATGTGTGACCAGGACCAGAACATGCTTCCCTGACCAATTCCTATTCATGTCAGGACTTGGCTCTGCCATCACATCTTCCGAGAAGCCTGCCTGAGCCACCCTGGCTGGCCCTAGACACCTCCTCTGGGCCCCCACTGCACCACTGCTTCCCCAGCAGAGCAGGTTCTACCCCAAGTCACATAGAACCTGCCAGTTACACTTGGATCACAGAGTAACACAGTGACAGAGTTCTGTGTCAGCACATCTCAGGCACTGGCCCACCTGCATTTCTTTTTCCTTAAATGGGAGGTCAGTTGCATTTACCACCCTGGATTGCAGAGTAAATAACCCCGGGTTTCCATGTCTGCTACCTATGCATAGATGCTGTAACCCTGAGCAGCCACCTAAGAATCAGATGTCGCTGGAGTCAGCTTTCTCTCTTGCCACCAGCCCAGAAGCTCCAGGAGGAGGAGCTTGGATCTCAGTCCTCCCATGGCCTGTCACACAGCAGGTACCACATAAATGATGGCCAAATAAATTCATGTTATTCTGCTGTGAGTATATACATATTGCTTCTTAAGCACCTAATAGATACAAGATACTTTCTAGTCATTAAGTTTCATTTTTGCTATAGTTTGGACCTTGAATGTCTCCCAAAAGCCCATGTGTTGAATGAGGCTTTGCCCCCAGCCTATGGGGCTACTGGGAGGTAGTGGAACTTTTAGGAGCTGACGCCTAGTGGGAAGAGGTTAAGTCGTTGGGGCGGGGAGGTCTTTGGGGAGACTATTGGGAGCCTGGGTCCTTCTTCTCTCTTGTTGCTTCCCATTCTCAATGAGGTGAACAGGCCTCCTCTGCCATGTGCTCCACCATGGTGTGACATACCATCAAAGGCCCAGAGCAACAGGACTGAAACCTCTGGAACCATAAGCAAAATAAATCCTTCTTCCCTGTAAATTGATTATCTCAGGTACTTTGTCACAGTGATGGAAAGTACAATGCTCATGAGTTCACACATGTTAAAAACATGAATTAAACATTCATTTGCATGAGTGTTACATATGCCTGTATGCACACGTACACAGAGTCTGGTACCTAGGAGATGCTGGAGAAATAACAGTCAGCTCAAACCATCTCCCTATGGTACACAGAGACAGGTGTGGGTACAGACACAGACACACATCCACATATTCCTAGTCATTTCTTGAGCCCCTATTATGTAGAAGGTATTTTTATGCATTAAATCTCATAATGTTCATGCATTAAAGTGTACATTATAAATACCAAGTTAATATGAGTTAAGAAGGAGTCTAAAACATGTACAACGTGCTTAGAATCCAGCCGGGCACAGAGGAGTGCAACCTGCCAGTGCTGTCACTGTGTGGAGGCAAGTTGCGGTGGTTAACAGCCCGACCTCTGGAACAGACCCGCCAGGGACAGCCTGTAACCTTGAGCTAGTACTTCACCTCTGAGCCCTAATGTTCTCATCGGTAACCTGACAGTACGAGTAGTGCCCACTCCTGAGAGCTGTTGTAAGAATGAAATAGTTTTGTAAACAAAGTGTTTACAATAGTGCCCGGATCATAAGGGGGCAGTTATTAACTCTGGCCCAGGAGAAACCCCAGGAACGGCTCAGCTGTTATTCCTTCCCATTTGAGAATGGCACTCATTCCCTTAGCTAGTCTACATCGAAGGCCTACTGCATGCCATGTGGTGGTCTAGGGACAGGGGGTACAGCAATGACCTCCACAAGTGAAAATTTCTATCCCCAAGGGGATCATTTTCTAGTGGGGGAAGAAAGGAAACAATGTACAGGGATGGACAGACTACAGGGAACAAACAAGGAAGATTAGGGGAGAGGGGCTGCTGGGGAGGGGTGGGTGGTATTTTCCATGGGGGGGTCAGGAAAAGCCTCTCCTTGAAGAAAAAGGATGAGCCGTGGGAAGTGTCTAAGAGAAGAGCATTCCAGGCAGAGAAGCAGCAAGTGCAAAGGTCCTGAGACTGAAGTGGGCCCATAGAGGTGACAGCTGGCCAGTGTGTAGGTGACAGAGCAGGAAGTGCCTTTCACTTTACACTCTGTCTGTCAGGCCCAGAGGTGCACAGGCCCTGAGTCAGGTGCTCTCCCTCTACGGTTCAGGCTCAGAGGGCCCTGGGTGAGCCACGATGGGTGCAGGAACAGACTCCTACTCCAAGAGAGGGTGCTTGTGTCACTTGTTCTGAACCTCAGCAACTGGCCAGGGATGGGCTCTTGGGTACTGGCTGGGTGGGGCTTTGTGGGCTGAGTGTGGGGCTGTGAGTGCTGCCACAGAGGCCCCTTGTGAGCAAGCACAGAGGCCCATTGAGAGCCCCCCACCCCAGCCCCTGGCCTCAGCCCACAGCCCAGCGCAGGCGAGGAAGCCGGGCCTCTGCCCAGGAATGTGCCCGCTCCCGGGGAAGGGGCCAGAGATCCACAAAGCCCTTTTCTACTAGGGCCTGGGAAGGGCCAGGACCCTCCAGCCTGACTCGACCCTCTCTCCTAGAACAGGGGCAGGCCAGGGCAAGCACTCTGGGTCATCAGCCTGAGCTGTGGTCATGTGCTGGTACCCAATGGCTGGGGCAGGAGAAGAGGCTGGAACAGCCCAACCTGAGGGGCTGGAGCAGCTGGAAGGCATGAGGCTGCTTGGAGGAGGGTCCTCTGGGTTCCTTTCCTGGCAGGCCATCCTGCTCCTGGCCTCCTTTTGAGTCTCTCTGGAGTGCTCACTTAAGGCTAGAGGCAGGCAGGAGGAAGGCCCACAGCACCGGAGGTGGGAGACACACCATCCCCCTCCTGGTCCTAAGCAGCTTCTGCACCAATTCCCAATGTCCACCACTGCTCAACAGAGTTCCCCTGTCGTGCTAGAGCTGTGTCTCCAGCCCTGAGTCCCTCTGGTCCCTCACAATGGGAACATGATCGGCCTGTCCTGAGGAGAAGACAGGCTGCCTCCAGACTCTAAGACCTTGTTCCCCAAGGGGTGCTGCCCCCTATCCTAGCCCTACCAGTGCCCCAGGAGAAAAGAGAGCCCATTATAGTTAGACCTGTGAGCTAAGACAGGGCAGGGACAAGGGCTTGCCTGGCCCCACCTCAGTAAGGAAGTGCCTCTGAGCCTCCTGTGTGATTCATGGCCAAGGTCAGTTGGGAAGAGAACAGGGAGAAAGGGGAGCAAAGGGCCAGCAGGGAGGGACGGCTAGGAGGGAGGCCTGGGCCTGACTACTGACTGAGGGGAGGCACCTTGTCTGGCTCAAAACCATCATGGCAGTCACAGGTGGACAGCCCAGGGGTGCCTCTGAGTCTGCAGAGTGGTGACAGAGAGGGAGGTGAGGAGGGGCAGCGAGAGGAGAGTAGAGGAGAGGAGAAGAGGGGAGAGGAGAGGAGGGGAAGGGAAGGGAGAAGAGGAGAGAGGAGGGGAGGAGAAAGGAGGGGAGGGGAGGGAAAGGGAGGAAAGGGGAGAGGGATAAAAGAAGAGGAGAGAGGAGGGGAGGAAGGGAAGGGAAAGGAGAGGAGAGAGGAGAGAGAAGAAAGACAAAAATGCCAAGACCGAAGCAGAGGGGAGACAGGGCAAGACAGACAGAGGCTGAGTTGGTAAGCCAAAGAGAGGGAGAGAAGGACAGAATGAGAAAGGGAGAAAGGGCTAGGACAGACAGATATGGAGTAGGAGAGTCCATGGCAAAGGAGGAGAGAACTAGGGACAAGAGTGGGAGAAACAAGAAGAGACAGGTCAGCAGATAGAAAGAAACTGGTGGGATGGGGTGCAGAGCCTGGGGCAGACAGGAAGAGGGCTGCACAGGAAGGTCCAGGGAGGGGCTGGGCAGAGCCAGGGGAGCCTCAGCCCTGCCTGAGTGAAGAGGAGGAGGATCCATCTCAGAGGCGGTATTTAGGGTCTGGGTTGATCCAGGGCCCAGACAAGGGGCACAACCTAGGCATGGCCCTCTCACAGTTATGATAGCCATCCTTGCCAGAGCATCCTTGCCCCTGGGCATCAGAGAGACATACTGCTCTTCTGGGCTGAGACCAAGCCCAGAAGAGCAGCTGGGAAGCTGTGCCAGGGTTTGGACCAGAGGGCCTAAACCCCACCTCCTCCCACAGATGAGCCCTGCTCACCAGGAGAAGCCTGGCTGGTGGCTGTTTCTCATTTGCCATTCCTCTCCAACCTCTGGCCTCTCCTGCCCTGTAGCCCCTTCTCAGGAGGAAGGTGGCTAGCAAGGATTACTCAGTGGGCAGAGCTGCCACATGGCAGCCCCACAGAAAAGACACAGATGCTGCTGAATGGACAGGGTAGACCAGACTAGGACCTCAGCAGGAGGCAGTTCCCAGGGACACATCAGCAGAGACCACTCTGGCATGTGGCATGTGTCCACAGGGTCCACTTGCTACTCGCATTCCAGAGCCCCACCTAGTTGCCAGGGATCCCATACTCTTGTACAGATCTACTCATGGGAAAATCTCAGGGAGAGGCCTAGGCCAGGTGCTTCAAGGTCATAGTCAGGACCAGGCTGCCCAGGGACCAAGCCTACTGCCTGCACTGCCTCCATTGGGATGCCACCCTCTGACGTTTGGATGGCCCAACGCTGACTGAAGGGAAATGAGCTCAACCCTGGACAGCTCTGAACACAGCCACTGGCAGGCTTTTCAAATCCCATCAGAACTGGGCTTTTCATGCCTACTGCCCTGAGCCTTGTGCTGTGACACAGGTAAATACAGAATCCAGCCATCCCTAACTATAGGGACTTCTCAACGAGTCCACACAACTGTCACTCAGTAGCTAGGGGAAATATCCCCACTTCTTGCAATGTACCCATAGGGAAGGTCCAAGGAGCCCAGGAGAATGGGGCCTCTGTGGCCCAAACACCTGCTTCCCTGGGGGGCAGGATGCAGACCCACAGATGCCCTCAGCAACTTACCCATCTGGAAGTCCCCGCTGCCCAGGTCCCCACTGCCCAGGCCATCTGCAAACAAAAGAGACCTATTTGTTGTGCACCCATTGAGTGTCAGGCATTGTTGTGGACCCCTGGCACACAGTGGGGAAGAGTCACACAAACACACCTCTAGGGAAGACTGGCCTGTAAAAGTGGATTGGAAGCCTCCATCAGAGAGGGTGTGAACCAAGGCCCCAAACTCCAGGGACTCAATGATCTGTCTGATAGCTAGGTCAGCCTGGCCTTTAAGTGAGGATGAGGAAGAGATGGGGTAGATGGATGGGCAGTCACATTCTCTTTCTAGTCCCGATGGTCCCGGGTTATAGAGAAGAGCAGTGACTAGCCCAGGATCACTATAGAGACAGCAAGTGGAGGAGCTGGGGTCATGGCAACTAGGCCTCAGGACACACATTGCCCACCTCCTACCACCCAGGATGACCTTCATGAGGCCTTCTGCAGAACCAGTGAGAAGACCCCCATCCCTTCCCCACATGGGACCCTTGCTCACCTCCAGATGCATCATCAGCCAGCAAGTCCTCGTCATCAGAAAGGTATGAGTAGCTCCAGCCAGCCCGGCCCACTGTGACGGTCTCTGTGTCCTCAGGCAGAGACAGGCCATCGTAGGCTCTCAGCCCATGGATCACCTGTGGGAAACAAGACCAGTTGAGTATCATTCTCCAGCTCCCACCAAGCCCCAGGGCCCTCCTCTCACTTCAGGGGGGACCCAGAGCTCTACCCCAGGTTCCCCATAGGTTAAGTATGGTTAGTTGTGGCTGAGACAGCCAGGCTGTGACTGACCACTGTTTTTGACCCCACTTCTCCAAATCTCATTAAGCCCTGGAGGCTTCAGAGCCCAACCATGCAAATTCCTAAGGAGCCTCAAATAAGGAGACAATGAAATGAAAATCACTTTACTAAACGATGTTCTAGGGTATCCAGGACATGAGGAGTGAGTGGACAGGGAACACTCAAGGTAAGAGGTAACCTGGACCAGCAAAGATGAGCAGGTGGAAGGTGGCCAGTGTCAGCATGGAAGGGACATTGGCAGGAACTGAGGGGAGCTGATCCAGGCCACTGTCTCCAACAGCTCCTCCTCCAGGTCATGCTGGCCTCCTCCTGCCTGTCCTGGCCTCCAATCCTCAGCCCAAGGGAGTGCATTCCTCCCTTTTGGGGAATGAGCCCTGGCCACAGCAGCCACACTGACAGGCGCATCTGCCTTGCAGCAGATGGAGCCCTGCAGCTGGGCTGAATGGGGACAGGACAAGAACAGTGTCAACTCCACGTGATCTCAGGCTAACACTGAGGCCAGCACAAGCTTGGCTCAGGATTCCTGTCCTCCGGGAGGCCTGTGGGAGCCTTGCACATAGACCAGAGTAGAAGGCCCCAGCAGCCACAGCCTAGGTTTCCCTCCACTGTGGGTATGGGCAAGGGATGGATGCCTCTTTCCCCTTAGGTGATATCAAGATGTTTCAAAAGGATGTCTCCAAGTAGCTCAAAGGGAGGCTGAGCCCACAGGCCCAGGCATGCAGATTCACTGGCCCTAGAACATAGTCCAGATGTCCTGGCACAAGACCCTCAGGCTTTGCCCTGCCTTGGTCTCACCTGGACCTATGGTGGCAACTCACATGTGAAAACCAAATCCACCAGCTGGACAAGGCAGTGAGGCACAAGCAGGAAGAAAAAGTGAAGAGTCAGTCAGCCCTCCCCCCCCAGCTCCCGTCCATTACAGTCCACATTCCCCACACCTGCCACTGCCTTCCTTCCTCAACCATCTCCACTCATCCTCCTCATCTGCCCTTAGACATCAGTCCCTCTAACTGCCCAATAAGCAAAAAGGCCCAGGTGATAGGTGTGCATGGCTGCCTAGATGAGCCTCAGACTCTGTGCGGAATGAGAAGAGTCAGACATGAAAAACCACACACTACATAAGTCCACTTCCAGGAGGCTGGGGTGAGGGAAAGATCAATAGTTGCCTGGTCCCAGGAAGAGGTGCAAGGCAAGCTTTGGGGTGATGGTCCTCAGTCTAGCCATTTTGTTCGCATTACCACCAGCACACCTGAAGTGGATGTTACTGTGTGTCATCTGTGCCTCCCTAAGGAGAACAGAAAAGCAAGTCTCCTGAGGGGGTTTGTCCTGACTCCCTATCCTTCATGCCCCCTCCCCCCTAGGCTGGGGCCCTGAGGGCTCACACTGTGACTGTCTGTGCCTCTACCGGATGGACACCCCTTGAGGGCAGTGATCCTCTCAAATCTCTACCTTCTCAGCCCACACTTAAGCAATACTTGAATGAATGACAAGTGTCATCGCCTATTAATCCAGCTGCTTCCAAAAGATGTCTGGCTTTGGAGGTGCCCCACCCCCACGTGGTCCATACGCACCCCTTCTCTAGGCTGTGCGCTCCTAGGGTAGAGGCTGGGCACCATTTAGTCACTTTGTGTTTCCAGGGCTACCACACCTGGGGTAAGGCAAGCACTACCCACACCCAACCGACCATGGCCTACTGCACAGCACAAGGACAGCATTGCCTCCTGATTCTTCTCTCTCCATCACACAAGCATGTCCCTGTCCTGAGTGGTGACCTCAGGACTTCTGGCCCATGTCCGTGGGTTGGCCTTCAGGAGTGTGGCTTTAGAACCTGCAAGGCTGGTGAAGATACTGATTCCTGGGCCCCTTCTCAGATCTCCTGAGTCAAGTTTGAGACCCAGGTCAGATGATAACAGCTATGGATTCCCAGGGGAGTCTGACAGCCACAGAATAAGAACAAGACCAAGGGTTCTGCCTCCTTCCCTAGCTAGGAGTGGAGGACAATGTTTCCACTGGCTGGAGAGTAGGTCATGAGCAGGCCCTGACTCACTCAAGGAGAGTATGATGCTAGGGCTGGTGCAGGGGCACTGACTTTGAGCAGAGGAGATTTGAGAGGGACATGCTTGAGTCCTCCCCAGGTAAAAGGAATCACTTTGTGTCACTGCCACACATACCCACACCCCATCTCATGCAAGCAAGGCTGTGGAGGCCAAGCCCAGGACACAGAGACTCCTGGCCCCCAAGATTTTGCTGTCTGGAAAGGAAACGCCTGGTGGTGAACAAGGTCCAGAGCTTTTCCCAGAGAGGGAGGAGAGAGTTCCTTGAGTCTGGACAGGAAATAGCAGACTGAGACTCACCAGGGAAAACATACCAGGCACAAACATCTACAGTGAGAGGAGGAGAATGCGGTGCACATCGGGGCCTGGACCCCTGGGGATCTCCTGCTATGGACCCTTCCAGCTGCCAGGCTGCCCTTGCTTGCAGCCCCCTCCCAGGGTCCTGGGATGCAGGCTCAGCAAGAGGCAAGTCAGCCAGAGTGGAGACTTTGCTTATAAAAAAGCTGTTCATCAAAAGGTCCCAGCAGCTGCATTTCACATCTGCAGGAGGAGACAGAGCCAGACGGGAAGAGGCTCCCGGAAGGCGCAGATATTTGACCATAGAAGGGAACTGGAGCACGAGCTGGGAAGATTCAGGATCTACTCAGGAATCATGGGAGTGAGTGCTCACTGAGCACTTACTGTGCACCAGGCACTCCTAAATTAGGTCATAGATGTTAAACCATAGAAAGGGGAAATGGAGCAGAGCAAGTCAGGTCACTGGCTTAGAGCTACACCTGGTGGAGCTGGGATGCAAACCCTGGTAGTCTGGTTCCTGTGCCTTCACGACTGTGCTGCACAGCTTTTGCCACCACAGAGGACACTGGGACTCAGTCCCCCAAAGCCCCTCAGAGCTGGCCTAGCAGCTGTGAATGGACCCCTTTCACAGAGGAGGGAACTGAAGGAGGTCACATGCCCAGGCTACGGTGGGGCTGTCCCTCACCTCCACGCACATAGGAAAGGAGGCAGAATTGGGCTGTATATCCAGGTTGGCCATGAGGCTGAAGGAGAGGGCACCACCAGGAAGCCCAGGACTTGCTGGACCTTCCTGTCTCCAACCTGACCAGCTCCCAAGATAGCCCCAGGGGATGCCCAAGCTGGCAGCAGTCTGGGCCCATGCAGCATGTGCCTCAAATCCAAAGAAAGGCCATTGTCGACAATGGTGGCTCCCAAGGTCAAAGCAGAAATAGAACCCAGGCTTCCTGCCCTCCAGCCTATCTCTGGCGGTAAGCGAATCCGGCTTCCTCCCAGCGGAACCCAGCACTCAAGCAGGCATTGGAGCGGATGGTGGCCCCCCAGAGAAGAGGGGGTTGAAGAGGGGGTCAGAGAGGAAGGAGCCAAGCACAGTGAAGGGGATTTTCCACCCATGCAGGTTCCTGGGGGGAAGGGGTAGCTGACTCATGCAGCACAAGGTCAGACTCTGTTCCAACATGCTGGGAACAATTGCTTGGGGCAGGGAGGTGGGTAGGTGGCCCCAATGACAGGCATCCCCTGAATCCAGATAGGAGGCCACACAGGCAGGATACCAGACAGGGAGGCACCCACTTGGGGGCTGGGAGTGTCCAGGTCCTCCCGGTGAGGACAAGGGTACACAGGAATGTAGCTCCAGATCCAAGTCTTCCAGAGGCCCAAGAGGACAAGGGACAGAGGCTAGACCCTCCTCTCTGGCCTGGGTGAGGAGGCAGAGGGGCCAAGGCTGAGTAAGATAGCTCAGGGTGGTGGAGAGACAGGCTGAGCCACCAGAAGCACACAGCTGGGAAAGTAGAAAAGGTATGGAGGGCAGGAGGCACAGGTAGACACAGGATATAGGATTTGAGACTTCCAAAGGTGTTTTTAAGTGTGGGCCTTTTAAAGGTTATATGCAAGGGCTAGGCATGGTGGTTCACACCTGTAATCCCAGCTATGCAAGAGATAGGGGTAAAAAGCCAGCCCAGGGCAAAACCATAAGAATTTATCTGAAAAATATCTAAAGGCAAAGGGGCTGGAGGTGTGGTTCAAATAGTAGAGTGCATGCCTAGCAAGCATGAGGTTCTAAGTTCAAGCCCTAGTGCCACCAAAACAAATAAAAAAGACAAGAAAAAAAAAAAAAAAGAAAAAGGTTACGTGTGTGGATAAGAGTTTCTAGGATGGCTAAAATCAAAGCTGGTGGTAGACAGGACCATGGTGTGGAGATGACAAGAACCAAATTCTACCAAGGGCTTTCTCCAAGCCATGCCCTGTCCCACGGATCATGTCACCCATCTCAATTCATCCTCCCACAACACAGGCCAAGCCCCATGCTGAGGGACACTGTCCCCCACCTGTAAGAAGGGAGAACCAAAGAGCTCTGAAAACCAACAGGGCTTTTTTGGTTTTTGTTTTGAGATGTTTACAGCAAGTTCATTTGGCACCAAGACCCGGCCTGAACCACCACAACCCAATTCATAGATCATTTACAGCCTGGCCCACAGGGTGAAGAACCAGTGCTTTCTGCAGCAGCAGACATGGGCTTCATCACAGAGCATTCCCCAGTTGCCCCTGAGGATGTCCCGTCAGCACTGGCACGTACTCTATGTCACGTTTCACAGGCTTGAAAACTGCTGGATTCCAAAACACAACCAGCCCCCCAGAGTTTCAACAAGGGGACTGTGAGCTTGTGTTCTTGCTTCCATTTTGTGGATGAGGAAACTGAGACCATAGAGGGTTGGCTGTGTAAACGGGATCAGGTAGGTGATGCCTCATACACAGTTAAGTGCTCAATGGGT